TACAATCCCGGACAAAACTGTTGAGACGTTTCTTAAAATAGGTTGAATTTCGATGATCTATTTGCCTATTTCTGTGCAATTCTCCCCCTTTCCCCCTCTAATCAATGTTGAAAGGACTGAACAACCATGCACACCCTTCTTGAATCACGTCACACACACAACATTGCTTGGTGGGGGGAGGGGAGGATCAAAATCAGTGATTTTTTAGAGATACGAGAAATGGGATATTTTGCAGTGAAAAAATGCCAGTGTCTCAACTAGTTTTGTCCGGGATTGTAGTTTATGATATACCGACGAGGAATCATCGGTCATTTAGAGCGGATTTCGTATGAGTGGGAAACGGACCGTACTGTACTGTGACCGTAATCGTACTGTAACCAAATTCTAGTGCCCCATTGGTTCACCAAAATTGTGCAGGCCAGGTTCTGTAACCGTGCGGTAACGGTGTCCCACTCTCACAAAATCCGCTCTATTATTATCGAAAAATTTATTAAAAAGAAAGTCAACTCAATCTCATTTCGATTAGGTGAGTTTTCTTTGTACAGTTCATCTTTACTGACCTTAGAGCTTCCTTTAAAATGTTCATTTAAGATTTCAGTGATGATGCATCGTAATCGATAAAACGGAGGTCCTCTTTGATCTGTCAGTGATAGTTCCATTAGAAAATCACTCTTAGAGCGAAGCATTTGATAGCAAGTCCATCTGAAAATTAATGAATACAAACCGGTTTGAAACAACACCTAAAACTAAAGCTTCAAAGTTTTGCAATCTTAATTATCGACTTTATAAGACTCTGGCCCACTGATAGACAGCGCCATACCACTACAATACAAAGACGAAAAGCTTACTCAAGATTATCTGCTTCAGCATCCCATCGAGTCATGGTATGAAACTGGACTTGTGCAGGATTAATCAAAGTCATTTCCCCTGACACCATGTTCCCATCCTTTCCAATCTCACAAGTTACTTTATTCTTCTTTTTAGACACCCGAAAATTTGACGAAGATGCACTGACTGGGCACGAGAACCTCAAGTTGCTTCTGTTTTCCGAGAGAAATTGGAAATTAGCGTTATGCGGACATATAAGGTTATAGCGATACATGATTAATTAAGAAGCAAAAGAGACAAGGAAAGAAAAAAATGAACTTCCCTTCGAGTTTTCTTACCCGCGGACCCCCGAAAAATAGATGTCGACCTCGGTTGGACTCGAATGTGGAGTGAAGTCGACTGACATGTCTTTAGCGTTGCACTTCTCTGAATCGAGAATATTAAGTTCTGCTTTATATAAATTGTCATCTTCTTCTATTTTGACTATCTATACCAAGCCAATAACAGAATTTATGAATCGGATTATAACCATGAAATCTTAATAGATGTAAGTAATCAGAACAGGTTTCAGTAATTTCTGCTTTGGTTGTTGGGAAATGAGAAACATCATCGTAGATCGGAAATCAACTGGGCTGTAGCTTTAATGCTCTGCTCTGCCTCGTGACAGACTGAGCCTGATATTAACACAACCATTGCCTGGCATTTATTTTCCGGGACTTTCATTACCAATGACTGAAGGCCAGCCTTGGTATTTCTTCAAGGATATTTATGATTAAAACTTGATGGTACAAACCTCTAACAGCGGGCTCGGTACGTCACAAACTTGGAATTCCTGGACAGCGAATAGACCAAATGTTGCTACTGGATCGACACGATGGACGCTAATCTTTTCATCATTTCGGAGCTCGACGGGTTTACAGCGGAAGGTTTGCAATCCTCGATATTGGGCAATATGTAACAGGAAATTCGGTTGAATTATTTCCCAGTCCCTCTCAAGCATATGGAAAGTGACGGTGTCTTCTTTGATGTTGAATCTAATAGTGTTGTACATCACAGGGCAATTCTCGAAACGATTCAAAAGAATCTGAAATTATATGAACATTTTCTACTGTTATTGATTTCTGAAAGCAGAACTTTAAGATGAGAACGAAAAAATAACACCAAATACTTAGCATGATTACCTTTAGGTGTACGTTATCTTTCTGGTCCAAAAATACGATCATTGGGATCTGGGAACAACTGTGTGCAACTTGATTGACAGTAATCTTCATTTGAACTTCTACTTCAATTATCGGTTCTGCAGCAGATCATAGTTAATAGAGAACTATGAGCAGATAAGCTAATATTTTGCTACCAAGCATAATAATCATTGTGATGAATTGTTGATCGTAATATCATGCATTTCGAAATACTTCACGGTTTACGATACGTAACTCACCACCATCTTGCATTGCTATTGATTTTAAAAGTTTCCATGTAAAACCATGTTTCTGGTAAAAGTCATAGGGCACTTCGCTTTCAAGAAGATAAAAAATCCTGGCAGCTGAATAAAAAGGAAAGACAATAATATATTAAACTATATTCTAAATTCATCGCCGCAACCAAATATCAGACTTGATCGATCTACAAACTATAAATGGATGAAAGTCATCCAGCAGCTCCATAACGGTAGCTAACAAGACATTTTCCAAAGTTATTTTTAAGATATTCCATCTTTACGCTTTCAATCAAATTCTCCAAAAAAGGTTTTTGGATCTTGATTACGACCATAACATATGAGTATAAGTACTTGGTGCAAGGTTAATTCTTTCTAACTACATGGCAGCATTACTAGCCCCGGATATTCTCCCCTATATTTGCTGTACGGGTATAGTTTTTCGACTTTCTATTTTTTTTAGTTAGGGCTATCAATTTTTGACATTTTGTCTAGTGGGAAAGGGTATGCTTTTGGTCTGTGATATGGTTACAATTAGGTTTTGCTCGGTTTTACTTTAAGCTGCGCTTTTGGTCGACACAGAAACAATATAAATTCCGTTTAAAAGTTAGCAAAACAGAGTGTACAATTCTTTAGTCTGGATAGTACTATGAAAAATCGAGGTCCTGCCCCCACACGCCTACCCAAGTTGGGGTGGTAGTTCACCATGTATAAAATGATATGTGGTTGCGGACATAATTTCCACAATTTACTGTATACTGCATCCAATACCTCCTCCTCGTACGAGTGGACTCATCTGGTGGATTATTCTGAGTAGGGTAAGGGGTGACGATAGTGGAGCGCCGTATATATCAGCAGCTTCAAGATCTTTGACGAGATTAAAACATTGTTTTGTCAGGTTCCACAATGCTGTTATGATATCACTTTCTTTATCTATCAAAATAGACGAAAAACCTTCTTAATAAATATACAAAATTTAATGCCCACGGCTGCCCCTGGAACGCGCTGTACTGCAATACCAACCTAGTGTAAGGATGCTTCTCTTGGTATCTGCTTTAACCCAATGAAGACTTGCCTCAGCAAGTTCTCCGTTATCTGGAAGTCTTCTGAAAAATGATTCATTTTATAAGGCCGGGATGTTTGCATTGATTTTGTCGTAGGCGTAATCCAGCAGTAGACGCGAATGATTCAAGAATGCGATAATGAGTCGCCATGAAAATTGCCGAACTTATCGTGAATTAAACTTCCGCTCGTAGGCTTACTATAGTTTGTGAAACGAAAGAACGAAATCTGTAGTTTGCGAAACCTTGACTTCATCAACTAAAATAACTCATTAAAAAAACTGCTCTGGTAAACAAGAAATAATCCTTGGATATAAATTTAACTGTGAGGGCTTATAAAAGTGAGTAGTAGCCTTTAATAAGCTTAATTTTTCAATTCATTTCGCAAACTACATATTTCGTTTCGTTTCACAAACTACAATAAGCCAACTTGCAATTAAGCGTATACGGCCAAATGCGGTGAGATAACAACAAAACCCAACTACTAAGTGAAAGTTAATTCTTGGCAATACCTGTTTCCCAAGTCAAAATCCACCGCAAGGTGTAAGCCAAGAACTGTTGGTAAAAGATTGGTGTTGATTCCAATACTTTTGGTGTAGTAGTCTTCGACGCTTTCGCAGTTGCCTGACCAAAGCGTCATACTAGATGTATGCAACATAGATTCTCGTTCTCTAACAATTCATAAACAGGAGCCCATTATAAACACATATCGATCACAAACAAATAAAGAGCAAAAAAGATGTGATATGAAATATTTAACATACTTTTTCAGTCTTGGTCCACAACAGATGAGTACATTCAACAACCCAACGTAATCACTGACATTACTTGTATCAATGACGTCAAACAGCATTTCACTTGGTAATCCGCTGGTACACAACCACAAAGCATCGCCGGCCCATAAGCTAATCTAGATGATACAAGTTGTGATAAACACACTTAATGCATGAATCCTAATAAGGAAGGAACATTAGATGAGGCTAAGAAGAAATATTTCAAAGTTTTCCCTCTTCTCTTCTTCTATCGGCATCATCATCCCAACTCCTTTTTACCCCCTTCCCCTAAAGCGACATGCGATCTCATTGATTTCATAAGGTTTTTATTTAAGTTCAAGCAGCAAATCTTTTTCCTCAAAAGAATAGGAAGGATAAACTTAATTAATAATTAATAATATTCATTCCTCACCTTCACTGGGTGTTTCTTGTTAAAGGTTTGAAATCTTTTCACCCACATCTTGAGAGTTTCTTTGCAAACTGCTGTCAAAGATTTGTGCCTCATAATATCACCACTGGTAAAATATAAAGAGAAAGAAGAAATTCACCAACCACGGAATGACTAAAATCACTGTGCTCCTCAGCTTTATTATTTTTCCTAAAATATCGAAAATTTCGGTCACCTGCCCTGAAAAATGTTGCCAAATTTGGAAAGTGTTTGGAGATTTGGAGGAAAAATTGAAATAAGGTTTCAAATATGAGACATAACAATCGCCTATAAAGATTTTAACCTTATCTAACGTTTTCGTTTTTTCGTTTTCGTTTTCGTTTTCGTTTTCGTTTTTTTGTGACGAAATAATATAAGTGTGTCGTGTTGAGAATCTGAAAGTATATTTGTAAATTGAACTCACGGATCAAAAGGCATGTATCCCTCGAAGGGGCTGGAGTTAACATTTAATTTCCAGATATGTTCAAAAGGAGAAATCAATGTAGGATTGATAAAGTCGCTATCATCAGTTGTTGATGCTTTCTCGGTCCAGTGATCAACCTCTTGTTGCCAATACCTCATTGACGTCTTCACAAATTCTGATTTAGAACAGATTGCTAGCCCTACTTTCTCAAGTAAATGCTCCAATATACCCTCATGACTTGCCAACTGGTTAATATTGAATTCGTGTCTTTCTTCTTTGACGGTTTCCACGTCCAGGTTGAGTTCCAGCCAGTCTTTCCACACACTTAGGCATTCCTGTTCAGTTCTGGAGTCTTGGAATCGCAGTGTTATGCCATTCTCATCATTCTGGTCTATATTTATCAAGGATGTGATAACTTGTCGTAGCCTGTCGCCATGAGACTTGGATAGAGTCATGTTGTACGAGACGTTCCACAAGAAATCCATATCATCAGGTATATCAGGGTTTATATACCCGATAATATCGAGTATTATTGCATTGCGAGGCAATATCGTGGGGTCGTAGTCATTCAGGTGTATATCAATACTCTTGGGACAGTGATGAGGTCGTCTTTGTGAAAGTTCGGATACTGTACAAAGAACATTTCTAAGATCACCACAGCCAAGAAACAGTAGATCAAGGTGCTGTTCGTTAGTGGTTCCTATCTGTTCTGTAATGCTACGATTCCTAGTATTGCCCATTGGAAATGAGATCATTCCAGTTGAATAATAAATAGTCTGTGCAGGGTTGTGGAAATTCCAAATTGGGATATTTTCTCCATCGTAATCCATCATGATGGCGAAGAGCGACTAAAAGACTACGTGTAATATTTAATAAAATCAGCTATTTCCGTCAGGGTTCTTGGAAATCGTTCCGCTATGACAAATCAATAAATGCTTACGACATAAACCGGAAGTAGCTTAGGAAATTAAATTTATTAAGAAAATATCATTTTTCTACAGACAACAACTTTTTTCTTGAAGGGTAATGGAATCCCTAGATATATGCCATCATAATGTCTGTAGAAGGGTTAGGCCTCGTTTCCATTCCTTTCCTTTGTTTTCTGTTGCTTTCAATTCACTTCCGGCCTTCGTTACTTGGTGAGTGTGATTCATACTTGGAGAATGTCGAAACAAAAACGTCATCGATGTGCAAATTAGTTGACGGTAAAGTCCACATTGAAAGTCTCTTCACGTTCTGGTTGTAATAGATACATTAGTACTGATGAGAGTACATTACAATAGTAAAAGTCCTGGTGGAGGAGGGGGGGCACTAATATAGATTTAATTCTAATTTTTAGCTTTCTCTTTTTCCAAATTTATTTAATTTAATTTAATTTGCAGTTTTTTCACATGCAATTCAAAATGAAGAACCAGACTTTTTTTGCAGAGCACGAGATAAAATGGACCTTCCTGTTAAGGGACAATATCATCTAGACTTGATTCATTTGTTTTTGAAAGGATTAGAGTTTGTTTAATTAATTTTGGCCCTGACGTTTATAACACACGAGTTTGTGTTCCTTTTTCCAGTGCTGCTTCTGACATTCTCGATTACAGTAAAATACTTTCTTACACCCTGTGCATTTCTTGAGATCTTTTGATGGGTTTTTGCAAAACGCGCAGCACAAATCAAGGGATGGATGTAGATCTGTTGTTATTGATTTGCTTTGGTCCATTGGAAAATTTCCTCCAACATTTGTGGCTTCTGGTAAGTTCTTGTGAATCAATGGTAAGTCCAACAGATTCATCATTGCATCTAAAACAATCAAAAAAAGTAAATCCTGTCGACGCGTTTCTTTAGAATACGGTCAAAATAACTCACCCGTATGAGGCATACTATCCCTTGGGTAGAGAGGACAAATAAAGGAATTCTTAAATACAGATACCGCTGGATACTCTTGTTCAGTGCGGGCTGCGTTGATGTACAGCATTCTACGAAACAGCTCAATTTCCTGGAAAAATTAATTTTACGGTCAGATCCAATGATAGCATTAATCCCAATTGACTGAGTGCATACTTACCTCTGGTTCTGCTGGTATTCTCCTGTCTCCGTGTGCTTGACGCGTGTTATGAGCTTCTTTCCAAAACTCAAGCGCCATTTTGTCAGCTTTCACAGGATTGATATTTATGATATCAGTATGCTGTTTACAATCATAGAATATACATTTCGCGTAAGGTATGCTATTCCACTTGTAGATGGGTTCCTTGATTTTGATGATAAGACCAATCTTGCTAAGGATATCGCGAGGTTGCATGATGAGACTTTGTCTGTGGTCGTCGTCTTCGACAGAATACACAAACTGAGAAGACTGTAAACAGCATACATTATAAGTACTATATCTCACGCACTGCCAGACATTGCACACTGGCTGATTCGAGTGTAGATTAAAGTTTGTGTTGCGAGAATTTTAAAAGTTACAATGTGGTGAAAAACAAACAAACAAATTACGCTCGGCTTTGAGTTGTCATGTCCTCTTATTGACCCACTCACTGTCATAAAATGTTCAGCGTGGAGGCCCAAGAACACGAACTAATATTATKTCTTAGAGAGCTTTTATTCACTCCTTATCGATCGCTAACCTGATCTTTTAGCTTCTCTTGTAGAATGATTGCGATGGATTCTCTTAGAGCATAAAATGGCGGACCAGTTGCTCTTAAAGACTTCAGTTTCATATCATGTTCACTGCGGAACATTGCACCACAAATCGATCTGGAAATAAACGGGCGAATAATTGGTGAATTTCATCCAAGGATGAAAAGATGGATGAAAAAACAGTTAGTGGAAAGATGATTGATTAATAAAAAAAGAATGAAATGTAAGTTAACAAATAAACATTTCTCTAACATTATATCGTCAGACTTGGTGTCCCACTTGTCCATGGCGTAAAAAGGTACTTGTGCTGGGATTCGAAGCACCATTTCTCCAGTCACCCAATGTTCTTTCTTTGGAATGTGACAAAATATTCTTTTTTGCTTTTTAGATAATTGGAACTTTGACGAATGCGACACGACGGGGCACGATAAACGTATTTTACATCTATATAAAAGATCATAGACTGAACACAAAATATACAAACCTACAAACATTAATTGTCAAAATACATTGAAATACCATGAAATGAATAGCATGCAATATTGTCCCATTAAGTCAATGCAGCTTGTAGGCAGTCATCATATTTTGCATGGCGACATGTGTCACGTTATGCGCAAATATACGGGTATTTTTGGGCAGTTATATATTCGGGCCTATGATGAGGCGCTCCCCCCGGGTTTTGGAGAATTTTCATGGTTTTGGTGGGAATCAATAGGGAAATAAGAGCTTATTTTTTGGATCATTACATCAACTTCAATAATAAACACCTTGTAATCGGATTTTTACGACTTTTACTCTTCTTCTGGGAAGGCCTCTTATATTTTTCCTCAAAATACCTCACTTTCATTTTTTTTGAAAGAAGCGTCTTGCAGCAAATTGTCTATTTATCTCAATTTCATCATATCATTATTTATTTATTGATATTTAAAACCAACTTGGAAAACCTCACGTCGAAAAAGAAAAACTCTTTTCTTACCCAATGCTACTAAGAAAATAGATATCAATTTCGATTGGACGTGATTCAGGAGTGAAGTCTATTGTCATATCTTTGGTATTGCACTTGTCTGCATCAAGTATTGCAAGCTCTACTGTGTACCAAGAGTTTTCTTCTTCAATTTTGGTCATCTGTCATGACAAAAAGATCTTTGTTATTTTCTGTCGATGGGTTAGTTCGTGCTACACTCATCGCAAGATCATCCTAGCTGGAACAAAGTTGCTGAGCTCGATTTACATTAGAGATTTTTACTTAACTTGGTCTAACCTTGTTCACTACTGAACTAAAGATCTTCTCTTCACGAAATATCTCTCAGTTGGGTAGCGGCCCTTGTAGCAGGGACAAGGTCTGCCCAAGTAAACAAGTTACCCCATGTAATTAACACCCTAATGAATCATAGCTGATGCATAACTTACCTCTAACAGTGCACTTGATGATGCAGTATCATTTTCGATGCAGAATGTTTGCACAGCGTGAAGTCCAAATGTCGCCAAGGGATCAACATATTTAAGGCGAATCTTATCATCGAAAAGAAGGAAAGGTCCGCAGCAAAACACTGGAATCCCAGTTTTATACTCAACGATGTTGCACAAGGATTCTGGTTCAATACTTTTCCAGTCGCTCTCTAGCATGTGAAATGTGACGGTTCCTTCCTTAACATTAAATCGAATACTATTGCTAATGACTGGGCAGGAGTTAAAACCACCACTTAGAAGGATCTGCAACGTGAGAGAATTTCATAGATAAACCATGGGCGTGTGCAGGGGTTTCAATGAGGGAGGGGGTGATTTCCAGCTTTGATTTGCGATTCCAAGACTGTGAAAAAATGATTCCAAGAGTACTGTTTTAGATTCACGCGCCGAACAAACATCTGGACTACTGAAAATGCCTTATCCTATTTATATGGCAAATAAAGTCGGTCTCATATTTCAAAAACTTCATCTGCCAAGGAAGGGGAAGCACCCCGACAATATTCAGAATCGACTTTAAGTCAAAAGCAAAAGCCTATTTTAGACAGTTTTAGATTGAAATATTTTCAATGGTATCTAGCCATGCAACAATTACGATGCGTACTATCTTTTTTTTTAATTTCCGAAAAGATAGATATGAAAATAATCATCATCAGTAGCAATAACGGTATTTACATCAAGCGGATGCTGTCCAAAAAGCGTAACTACCTTGGGAATTGGAGTTTCGTCCTTAAACATTTCTGTAACTGACAGTTGAAGACGATTGACTTGTACCTCAACAACAGAACCTGGTGAACAAGAACAGTTTTTGTAAGTAAAACACCAACCTGACTTGCCAAAACGTTCAAGATCATGATGTTATTCTTGTCACTGTCTCTCGAAAGACTACGGAGTCACACATTCCTTTTTCTCTTTTTCTTTTCCCTTTAGAGTCGCGTGGCAAGTGTGCACAGGTCAAAATGATATCAAAAACTCTACGAGCACTTAGAATTTGTCTTGTTCTCTTGAACGTTTTTCACCATATCAGGTGATGTAACAAGACTGAGCAATGGTTGAACATACTGAATGCAAACAATCATACTGAAATTATAATAATCTGAAACGTTTCCAACTCAAGTACGAGTACACAGGTGGTCTTTGACAAGAGTCTTACCGCCATCTTGTTTTGCTACGGATTTAACCATTCTCCACATAAAGCCATGGTCTCGGTGAAACCCACTGGGCAGTTTGGTTTCCAAAAGGTCTAAAATCCTTGCAGCTAGACAAAGGTGCCAAGATCACCGGCAAATGAATAAAATAGAGGATTGAAAGGATATAAAAGTGAAAACATTCTGAAAACAGTACAGGAGGAAAGAAAGAATTGCAAAAGTGAAAACATTCTGAAAACATACCGGAGAAGAAAATAATTCCAACGTACCTCCTCCTTGGATAAGTGGGCCCATCTGGTGGATTATTCTGAGTAGAGTAAGGGGTGACGATAATGATTCCCCGAACACTTGGCCGACAAAAAGATGTTTGATTAGATGAAAACATCGTTCTGTCAGCTTCCATAATGCTGTTATAATGTCATTTTCTTTACCTTCAAGACAACAAGCGGAAATTAAACAGCTTTGTTAATAATGAGTATCATCGTTTCGACTAATCATATCTGAATGCCTGATTACTTATAGTGAAAATATCTCTGCTTCTCTAACTAATTTTCAGTTGCAATGTTTGAGTTACTAACTTGTCAGAGTAAGAGGAGTCCTAACAGTCTCTGCTTTCACCCAATAAAGCAATTCCTCATTGGAAACGTTATCGGGGAGTTTCCTATAAAATCAAAAAAACGTTCTTTATGAGGTTCAAGATTGGCTGGCTGTCATTTTCAAGGCGGTGCAGCGCTGCTATAATAATTAAAAGAACGTGTGTCAACCTCACAAATTAGACTCGGAACTCGGAAGGCGACTAAAAACATCGTGTTTTTATGTTTGACAGTAACTATGGTAGGCCCTCTTATGACAGATCACTAAAAATTGAGGTGTTTGTCTCGTGGCGGTGAGTGTTTTTAAGTGGAGCTGCGGTCTAGTAAAGAAATCAATCTAGTACGGCTCTTTTGAAAAAATCTGGGTATCTGTGCCGCCCATGAGTTTTAGATTATTTTCGAAATGTCCATCATCACCTACCTATTTCCCATGTCAAAATCAACAGCAAGATGTAAGCCAAGAACGGTTGGTAACAGGTTAGTGTGGATACCAATACACCGATCGTAGTATTCTTGGATATTTTTGCACATACTGCACCATAAAATGCTTGACGTCTGTAGCTGAGATTCTAATGGACTGAATGTTTACTTAAATGATTAATCCCATGTTGTTCTACATGTAACAAAAGCAATGATCAAGCAATTTTTAGGGAAACTGGGAAATGGAATGAAAGGATGAATGAGAATGAGAAGAGGATTGAAAGGAAGAAAACTGCTTTGGTCAAAGTAAAAGTTAAAAGAAAAATAACAATACTTTTTCAGTCTTAGTCCACAACAGATGAGTACATTCAACAACCCAATGTGATCACTGACATTACTTGTATCAATGACGTCAAACAGCATTTCATTTGGTAATCCGCTGGTACACAACCACAAAGCATCGCCGGAACATAAACAAAACTAAAAACAAAGTTGGTCTGATTTTATTGGTTTACAGTTGCGAAATTTCTTCTATGGTATAAATACTTTTTGTTAAGTTAAAATGATAGAGTTTACATCAAACCTTCATTGAGTGTTGCTTGTTGAACTGCTGAAATTGTTTCACCAATAATGCGAGGATCTCTTTACAAAGAGATGTTAAAGATCTACACCTTTCAACATCAGTCCTGGAAGAGCAATGAGGTGGAAGTATCAGAGCCGTATCCAAATTACTTTACGCGAGTGCGCTTAAAATGTGGGCTATGCATTTAGGTAATTCATGCTAAGTATATAAGTCTCAAAGAATTTTAAACGGAAAATAATTGTTGACGTCCTAGGAAGCACATAAATTACTACATAGTCTTATGTTTGTCATTTTGTCTATATTTCATGGCCATGAAGTTCGTTCTCGGCTGCGCGTCGGAACTAATTGTGAGTACTTTGAAATGCCTACAAAGCGTGACTCAGGTAATAGAAACACTCAATAAATCAAATCTTTTAGTTAGTATTTTGATGTCACTCTAAGATTTAAAATATTTTTGTCTACCGTGATAGATATTTTCAATATAAGCATGCTGGGAGTGGCCTTTTCGGGTGGGCAGACCCCTACAATGCTTTATTATAATTTTTTTCATTGTCACAATTTTGCAGTCTCTCCCAGTGATGGTCATACATTTACGAGACTAATAAAATGTAGTTATAAATGTAAGAATTCTCGCCGGACACCACGTAAAAGTCTTGAAAGGAAGCTGGTAATATTTACCTATTAAGGGGGCAATGTCCTTCAAAGGGACAGGAACCATAGTGAACTTTCCATTCATGAGTAAACGGACGGATTAACGTTGGATTGACGACAGAAGTATTCGTCTGAGCTGTGGTCGTTGTACCTTCCATAAACCAGTGTTCTATCTCGGAATACAACGGATTTGACTCGTTCAAAAGACTGGAGTTAAGACATGGCATTGCCGTTTTTAACAATACATCCGAACATCTACCTCTGATTGACATTTTGCGTTCAATGAACCGTCTTCTTTCTTCCTTGACGGTTTCCACGTCCAGGTTGAGTTCCAGCCAGTCTTTCCACACATTAAGGCATTCCTGTTCAGTTCTGGAGTCTTGGAATCGCAGTGTAATGCCATTCCCATCATTCTGGTCATTATTTATCAAGGATGTGATAACTTGTCGTAGCCTGTCGCCATGAGACTTGGATAGAGTCATGTTGTACCAGACGTTCCACAAGAAATCCATATCATCAGGTATATCAGGGTTTATATGCCCGATAATATCGAGTATTATTGCATTGCGAGGCAATATCGTGGGGTCGTAGTCGTTCAGGTGTATATCAATACTCTTGGGACAGTGATGAGGTGGTCTTTGTGAAAGCTCGGATACTGTACAAAGAACATTTCTAAGATCACCACAGCCAAGAAACAGTAGATCAAGGTGCTGTTCTTTGTTGGTTCCTATCTGTTCTGTAATACTGCGTTTCGTAGTATTGCCCATGGCATAAGTGTATAAGCCATTAGGATAATAAATGGCTTGAGCAGGGCTTTGGAAATTCAAAATTGGAACATTTCCTTCATCATAAGCAGTCATAATGGAGAAAACTGATTAAAAGACTGCATGTATTTGGATATATTCAGCTACTTTTCCGGTTGGGTTCCCAGAAATCGTTCCGCTATGATACCTCGATGACAGCATGAATGACTCAACCTCGTCCCCAGGGCCCAGCCCTTTGGTATTTTTAAAGTGGCGGACGCTATATTCTGGGAATGGGTCACGGTTATTAAATTAATGTTTACTTTCAATATCTTGTGTATCCCCGCACTACCCCCGTTGTGGCAAGACATTGATAGGCGCATTATTGTTAGTGACTCAAAAGAATGTTGGAATAATCCAAAAACGTCATCAATGTGCAAATTAGCTGACGGCAAAATCCAAATTTAAAGTCTCTCTTCACGCTCTGGTTTTGTGCATCAGTACCGATGAGACTACATTTGATAAATAGTCACTACTGAATATGATCTTGATAGATAACAAAGCTACAATAGGAAGCTCTGAACGTTTAACCGAAAAAAATGCAAAATTGTATAATGAATTATATATCGTCTGCATGAAGCTAAGAGTCCTGGGATGAAAGGGGCACTGATAAAGATTCTTTTTTTATTTGTTTATCATTATTTTTTTAAATATTTTATTCTTTTTTTTCGCTACGCCACTGTTATAAACCAATTCAAAATGAAGAATCAGTCGTTTTTAGCAGAGCGTAAAACCTGCATTTAGGGACATTCCTTTTGAGGACAATATCGTTTAGATTTGATTCAAGCGTTCTTGGCCGGTATAGTTTATACAGTTAATTTTGTCCCTGGCGTTTATTACACACAAGTTTGTGCTCCTTTTTCCAGTGCTGCTTCTGACATTCTCGATTACAGTAAAATACTTTCTTACACCCTGTGCATTTCTTGAGATCTTTCGATGGGTTTTTGCAAAACGCGCAGCACAAATCAAGGGATGTTTGTAGATCTGCTTTCATTGATTTGGTTTGGCTGCATAAACCTTTACTTGGTGCACGTTCAGTAGAAACTAAACAATACTGTCTGTGCTGTTTCCTCCAGTGCTGCGTCTGACACTCATGATTACAATAAGACACTTTATTGCATCTGTTGCATCTCTTAAGATGTGTAGATAATTTCTGGCAAAATGCACAATGAGCAGGTTCAGCTGTTTTGTCACCGAGGTTTTCTCGCTGGTTTGTATGGTCCGGTGGAAAAGTTCCTCCCACATTTGTGGCTTCAGGTAAGTCTAAGTTCTTGTGAATCAATTGTAAGTCCACCAGGTTCGCCATTGCATCTAAAACAATCAAAAAAAATAAATCCTGTGGACATGTTTCTTTAGAATAGGGTCAAAATAACTAACCCTTATGAGGCATACCATCCCTTGGGTAGAGAGGACAAATAAAGGCACTCTTCCATACAGATACCGCTGGATTCTCTTGTTCAGTGCGGGCTGCGTTGATGTACAGCATTCTACGAAACAGGTCAATTTCCTGGAAAAAATTAATTTTACGGTCAGATCCAATGATAGCATTAATCCCAATTGACTGAGTGCATACTTACTCCTGGTTCTGCTATTATTCTATGTACTGCCTGAACTTTCCGAGTATTACAAGCTTCTTTCCAAAAGTCTAGCGCCATTTTGTCAGCTTTTACAGGATTGATATTCATGATATCAGTATGCTGTTTACAATCATAGAATATACATTTTGCGTAAGGTATGCTCTTCCACTTGTAAATGGGCTTTTTGACTTTGATGATAAGACCAATCTTGCTAAGGATATCGCGAGGTTGCATGATGAGACTTTGTATGTGATCCTCGTCTTCGACAGAATGCACAAACTGGGAAGACTGTAATTAGCATACGTTATCAGTACTATATACCACGCACTACTAGACATTGCAAACTGGTTGATTAGGGTGTGGATTAAAGTTTGCGTTGCGAGAATTTTAAAAGTTACAATGTGGTGAAAAACAAACAAGCAAATTGCGCACAGTTTTGTGTTGTCATTCCTTCTTATTCATTCACTCTTACTGCCATAAAATGGTGGATATGAATCAACCTGAGCAGTGATCCCTTAATTTAAATCACACCAAGGGTCTTAGGTGAGATTTAGTATCCTAACTTTCCCTAATACCTGTTCTTTTAGCTCCACTTGTAGAATGATTTGAATCGACTCTCTAAGAGCATAAAATGGCGGACCAGTTGCCCTTAAAGATTTCAGTTTCAAATCATGACCGCTGCGAAACATTGCACCACAAATCGATCTGGAAATTAACAGGTAAACACTGAGTAAGTTTCAAAGAATGATGATAAACTATACCAGTCAGGGCATTTAACAAATATTAAGATAGATGCAATGAATAGAATAGAATAGAATGAATGATAAAAAGAACTATGAGTCTAATGTAAATGAACGAGTAAACAAATTTCTAACATTATATCGTCAGACTTGGTATCCCACTTGTCCATGGCGTAAAAGGGTACTTGTGCTGGGTTTCGAAGCACCATTTCTCCAGTCACCCAATGTTCTTTCTTTGGAATGCGACAAACTATTCTTTTTTGCTTTTTAGATAATTGGAACTTTGAAGAATGCGACACGACGGGACACGAGAAAGTTATTTTACACCTATGAACAATTTAACACATTTAAAAAAAACACAAATGTAAAACAGAAATCAACCATAACAGGCCAAAATATGCATGGAAACTTCAATTCGAAGGATTGCAAAAGGTTTCTTTTTTCTTACCCAATAATACTAGGAAAATGCAAATTAATCTCGGTTGGACATGTTTCAGGAGTGAAGTGGGTTTTCATGTCTTTGATATTCAGAATATTGCACTTGTCTACATCAAATATTTCAAGCTCTGCCGTGTAAGATCTGTTTTCTTCTTCAAGTTTGGTAATCTGTCGAGGCAGGAAGATCTCAGTTATCAATTGAATAAGCAATAAAGAACATTGAGAATTCAAATATTGAGTCGGTACTGAAGAGACTCTCCACCGTTGAGAATTAATTAAAAAAAAAGTTCAGTAAAAATGCCCTGATAAGAGACTAGGTAACCCCTCTAAATTGGACAACCATCATTTTGTTCTGGCACGCAAATTTGATGTTTAAGGCTTCTACCTAACAAAAAACCGATGACAGAAAACAACAACAACAATAACAACAACCACCAAAAGATGTAAGCGTATAATAACTTACCTCTAACAGTGCACTTGATGATGCAGTATCATTTTCGATGCAGAATGTTTGCACAGCGTGAAGTCCAAATGTCGCCAAGGGATCAACATATTTAAGGCGAATCTTATCATCGAAAAGAAGGAAAGGTCCGCAGCAAAACACTGGAATCCCAGTTTTATACTCAACGATGTTGCACAAGGATTCTGGTTCAATACTTTTCCAGTCGCTCTCTAGCATGTGAAATGTGACGGTTCCTTCCTTAACATTAAATCGAATACTATTGCTAATGACTGGGCAGGAGTTAAAACCACCACTTAGAAGGATCTGCAACGATTGATATGAAACTATAGACATGATAAAGGATACTTTCAGAATTTGTAAAGGAAAAATCACAAAACAAGATACTAAAGAAAATAAATGCATCTCATACGTGCAAACGCTTAATCTTTTCTTGACTATCCAGTCAACAATGGTAGATGGCTCGTGCGCGTGTACTATTTTCAGTGTCATTCCGTACTAGGTAGATTTGGAAATGCTATAAAAACGATACGTATATAGCGTAACAATATGGTATTTACATCAAATGGATGTTGCTTTTCCGAAAATATAACAAGCTTGGGAATTGGAGTTTTGTCCTTAAACATTTCTGTGACTGACAGTTGAAGACGGTCGACTTGTACCTCAACAACAGAACCTGGTGAACAAGAACAGTTTTCGCGAGTACGTAAGTCACTTCCCTAACAAAACGTGTTGAATGTTTTTTTTTTATCGTGGTTGTTTTGGCGAGTATGCAGGGATGTCTTCCTGGTAAGTCCGGCAAATGTTCTGATTAATTTCATCAATAACTTGGGAATACAAACAAGCTACTTATGGACTTTCCTGTCAATTCAAGTCTACAGTGTTATTTGACAAGAGTCTTACCGCCATCTTGTTTTGCTACGGATTTAACCAATCTCCACATAAAGCCATGCTCTCGGTGAAACCCACTGGGCAGTTTGGTTTCCAAAAGGTCGAAAATCCTTGGAGCTAGACAAAGGTGCCAAGATCACCGGCAAATGAATAAAATAGAGGATTGAAAGGATATAAAAGTGAAAACATTCTGAAAACATACCAACGTACCTCCTCCTTGGATAAGTGGGCCCATCTGGTGGATTATTCTGAGCAGGGTTAGGGGTGATGATAGTGAAGCTCCGTACCTTTGACCGAAATGCAGCTCTTCGATGAGATTAAAGCATCGTTCTGTCAGGTACCATAATGCTGTTATGATATCACTTTCTTTACCTTCAAGAAATCGATGTTTTATGATTCAGTAAACCACTGAATTGTTTAACAGAGTACGCTTTCCTGGGTCAACAAACTGAGCAGCTTTTTTATGGATCAGTTTATAAGGACGTTTTGACAATGGAAATGAAAATTTTTGCAGTTAATGGTCTTTTTTATTATTTTTAGTTTTGTCAGAAGTCTCATTATAAGTTGTGCAATGCGTTCAAAACTAACTTGTCAGCGTAAGAGGAGTCCTAACAGTCTCTGCTTTCACCCAATAAAGCCATTCCTCGTTGGATAAGACGTCATCGGGGAGTTTCCTACAAACCCAAAAGAACGTTTTTTAGATATGAATACATCCTGCCCCTCAGTGCTACTGCATTGCTAAGAAATTCGACAATAATCTTTGATTTGATCATTTGATTTCGACCTGTATTTATATAAATGAACTGTTATTTTTATTATATTCTTCATTTATTCCCCAACCTATTTCCCATGTCCAAATCAACAGCAAGGTGTAAACCAAGGACAGTTGGTAGAAGATTAGTGTTGATACCAATACACCGATCGTAGTATTCTTGGATATTTTTGCACATACTGCACCATAAAATGCTTGACGTCTGTAGCTGCGATTGCAGTGSTCTGCAAAAGGAAGAGTCGAGTAATTAAGGAGTGGGAAGAAATGAAATGAAAGGATGGAAGGGAAGGAGTTTGAGAAGAAGAAAAGAAAACGTAGTTGTGCAGATAACTAAACCTTTTCAATCTTGGTCCACAACAGATGAGTACATTCAACAACCCAATGTGATCACTGACATTACTTGTATCAATGACGTCAAACAGCATTTCACTTGGTAATCCGCTGGTGCACAGCCACAAAGCATCGCCGGACCATAAACTAATCTAAAAAAAAAACAAAAGCTTGCTTCTTATTGGTTACAGTTGCGAAATTTCTTCTATGTTATAAACACTTTTAGTAAAGTTAAAATGATATAGTTTACATCAAACCTTCATAGAGTGTTGCTTGTTGAACTGCTGAAATTGTTTCACCAAAAATGCGAGGATCTCTTTACAAACAGACGTTAAAGATTTACATCTTTCAACATCGGCCCTGGAAAAAGAGGTGGGCTGAGTAAGAGATCATTGTAATCGCGTATAAGAGGACAACATGGTAGCCTCCTACGCAGACGGTAACGGGAAAACTTCTCTTTGTTAGGACGCTTCTGGGAATGCACAACTGTAAATTAAAAAAGAAACATAACTCACATTTTGAAGGGAAAATACCCTTTGAAGGGACAAGAACTATAGTGAACTTTCCATTTATGGGTAAACGGGCGGATTAAAGTTGGGTTGATGACAGAAGCACTCGTTCCAGTTGCGCTTGTTGAACCTTCCATRAACCAATGTTCTATCTCGGGATATAACGGATTTGACTCGTCCAAAAGATCATCTGACGTCAGTATTTGTAAGTTTTTCAATACATATAGGCACATTGTTTTGATTGACATTTTTCGTGCAGAAAACCTTCTTCTTTCTTCTTTGACGGTTTCCACGTCCAGGTTGAGTTCAAGCCAGTCTTTCCACACACTTAAGCATTCCTGTTCAGTTCTGGAGTCTTGGAATCGCAGTGCAATGCCATTCCCATCATTCTGGTCTTTGTTTATCAAGGATGTGATAACTTGTCGTAGCCTGTCGTCATCAGACTTGGATAGAGTCATGTTGTACCAGACATTCCACAAGAAATCCATATCATCAGGTATATCAGGGTTTATATGCCCGATAATATCGAGTATTATTGCATTGCGAGGCAATATCGTGGGGTCGTAGTCGTTCAGGTGTATATCAATACTCTTGGGACAGTGATGAGGTCGTCTTTGTGAGAGTTCGGATACTGTACAAAGAACATTTCTAAGATCACCACAGCCAAGAAACAGTAGATCAAGGTGCTGTTCTCTAGTGGTTCCTATCTGTTCTGTAATACTACGTTTCCTGGTATTGCCCATGGCATAAGTGTATAAGCCATTAGGATAGTACGTAGTCTGTGCAGGGTTGTGGAAATTCAAAATTGGGACATCGTTTTCATCGTAGGCTGTCATTATTGCCAAAACTACCCTTTAGGAAGAGCAGACTGATATATTTTATACTCAGTCACATTTCCGGTTGAAATCCTTCCCAGAAATCGATCGTTCAGGCACGGGCTTATAATCAAATTCTTATATTTTTTACCATAAGTGCCAAAAAAAAGTTCTGGAATATATTTTTCAATGCTAACTCACGTGACTATTTGACCAATTGGTCATTTTGACATCTTGATTTTTGAATTCATTATCTAAATTCAATTGTTTTTATTTTATTTCACATGATCAAAACAATAGTTAAAAATAGCAGAAAAATCCATCAAATGAACGTCCCTTGGTCCATTCGAACTTTTACTCTTTATGCTGGGCTTCCTGTGGTGTCTTCTCTTCGTGACACGTCCTCATTGAGTATGCAGAATGGATAAAGACAGGAATACTGAGAGTAATAGAGGAAAAACCAGCAAGAAAAGTGAACAGCAAGCCAGTAAAGGGTATGGTTTCTAGCATTCAAAGTTTTTTATATTTTAAACCTATCATTTGCATACATAATTTGACTTAACAGTCGTACTTTGAGGCCTCGATTGTCCATATTATTGTCAGAAGCCACCTAGTCGCCCAATAACAGGTTTTTCCATTGTTCCAGTTTCCTCAAAGGAATTTAAAAAACCCGTTTTGTACGATTAAGTCTTATGTAGACACTAGCAGGCTTTAGGCCACCGACAAAACTAGGCTTAACGCATTACGRTTGCTCCGTGTTACCGCAATCAATTTTAACACCTTTGGAAATAAGGACACAATGAGAGCTTTTGTGTCTAAATTACAAAAATACAAATGATTGATTGGGGCATTACAGGTTTTTTGCAAAATTTAACAAAAGTCAACAAACATTATACTATTTAAGCTGCATCATGGCTGCATTGTGGGTAACTAGTTGTCATTGTTATTACTAAACAGTAACTCTTGATCACTTTCTGAAAACCAACCTAAAATGGTTAATTATATTTTACCATTGACAGTTATTTTTTTTCTTCTTCTAGATCCTGGCTTGGAACATGTTTGGTCATCCTCTTAGTAACCTTTGGATTATTGATTGCTGGCATTATTATAATACCATCGCCTATAGAACCAGTGGCATTTAGGTTTGTTCAGGATGTAATAATGTTATTCATAAACTTTGACCTCCATTTCATGGCCCATTCACTATCTTATTTCAGCTATCCCGAACCACTTCCCACTCTTGAAGGTCCTCTTGCACCCAATGAAGAATTAYGCAAAACACAGCATCTTTATGAAGGACAAGCACTTGCCCCAGAATCCCTTGCAATTGATTCATCAGGAGTGGTGTATTCTGGGCTAGCAGATGGTCGCATTGTTAAGTTTGTAGATGGAAAAGTTGTTGAAGTTGCGCGAACAGGAACATCTATGCCTTCATGTGGTCAGTATTATTGTTGCCATCATAAATCCTTATTTTTCTGTTATCCACTGAAAGTAACAAATGTGCCCTCTAAGACAAATAATCACATCTTTCTGAAGGATGAATGTCAGAGTTTTAAACTTGCTTCTGAATGCTGTTCTTTGGTTAAGAATTGACATCTTTGTTTGTAGGATCACTTGATGTGGAGCAAACTTGTGGTCGTCCTCTTGGTATGAGATTTGATCGATATGGAGTTAATCTGATCGTTGCTGATGCATATCTGGGATTACTCAAAGTTGATGTCTCAAGTGGGGCAGTCAGCACACTTGTGTCTTCAAAAACCGGTGCACATGGAGAACCATTTAAATTTGTTAATGATCTTGACATTGATCGACATGGCACTATATACTTCACTGATTCTAGTGCAAAGTGGGATAGGCGCAATCATAAGTATGTTTTAAGCATTTAGTTTTGAGATTTATGATTGTCACTGCTGGATTTGATTTATCATATTGTTGCCTTATTGCTATTTTACTATCATTGCTGTCATTGTAATAATGCAATTGTAAACGTTTTTCATTGTGGAATTACATTTTTGAATGTCTTCAGGCTATCAATTTTAGAAGGTGATGMAACTGGAAGACTTCTAGCTTATCACAAGACAGGAGAACTTGACGTCCTTCTTGATGATCTCCAGTTTGCTAATGGTGTTCAAATTTCTCATGAAGGAGATTCCATACTTGTTGCTGAAACAACAGCAGCAAGAATACGCAGGTATATCATGCAAGTGAATTACTTGATGTTCAGATTTGTGACAATTAGTAGGCCCACTAAGAGGGGTTCTTGTTTTTCCTTTGTTGTCATTTTCCAACTTGCTTCTTGCTGCATAAATATTTTTATCTGCAGTCCCTGAATTCACGTATTCATATTTAACGTAGGTATTATATCAAAGGCAAAGATGAAGGCAAAGTAGAGATTTTCATGGAGAACCTCCCAGGTCTTCCTGACAACATTCGCCAAAGCAGTAGTGGTGGATATTGGGTTGGATTAAGTGCTGTAAGAAAGGCACCGTTTGCCATGCTGGACTTTCTTGCTCCTAAGCCACTCCTTAGGAAGTTTTTAGCAAAGGTATTAATATATTTTGACAAAAGAAATGAATTCTTCTACCTCATCTGATCAATTCCACCCAAAGAGGCAGGCTGAAAGTTACTTTAGACTTTAGAAGAGTGCAAACTGTTTATGATATGGGATTTCTGTGTACTTGTGTTTGACCATACACAGGAAACCCAAGATTAATAACATTTACAATGTACTTGTTAATTTGCTCAATATATTATGTACAATTGATTTTATCAGATAATTCCCCAAGAGATGGTCGCCAAGTTTGTTCCAAAATATGGCCTAATAATTGAAGTTAGTGAATCAGGGAGAATTCTGAGAAGCTTCCATGATCCTGGTGGCAAAGTGATAACTGAAGCAAGCGAAGTCCATGAAGAAGACAATTACCTTCTTTTAGGTTCTTATAGAGCTCCTTTTCTTGGAAAACTTAACTTGTAAACTTGTAAACTTTTTAAAACAATGTGAAAATGGTATTTTTGATAGTTTTTGTACTTGATTGTTTTGTAATAAATAATATTTTAGTTCAAGATCATGTAGTAGTAGTTTTGGACTTGATGTTAAATTTACAAGTTATTACCCCAGATAGATAGCTTGTTCTTCAGTTCCTCCCATTCCAGCTCTTATTCTTCCTTTACACAAATTTTGATTGCATTCATTATTAAACATTTTAAGCATTAAACAATGTGAGACAACAAATATAAGGTGTTTATTTAATTGCACCAAATATAAATTCACAATATTTTCTGATAAATTATGTCTTGTCTCTGACAAAACTATAGCAATCAGATTATCCATATTACAGTATATTCAATATTAGTTTCTCATACAAATGCAAATTCTAACCTTCCAATCTTTATTCCATTGAAGAGTTTCTTTACACCACTTAATTATCATTCAATATTGACACAATGGTTTTGTAATAAAAATATAATTACCTTAGATGTTCACAATGCTCTAAAATAATTTTACTTTTGGCAGCTTTTGACATGCAATGAAGTTAAAGATCTACATGCTTTAGTTGAATGAAAGAAACCTTCCTGTGTGGACAGATGTGAATAATTTAATGTGGAAGACAATGCCAAACAAATATTTTAGATGATCCAAAAGTTTGAAACAATGTCTGAGCAAACAAATTACAGTTTAATTATTTATATCTTAAATTTGCTGTTTCTTCTAATGTCTGCCATCCTCTAAAAATTAGCATTTCAATATGAAAACCATTGAAGCGCTCAATAATTTGACTGCCAGTCCCTGTGTCTTTACTGTAAAAATTACCTTAGTTCCACTGGTGCACTTGTTAAAATGTATGGATAAATATGTACTCCTTCATTTCAGAGGACCATTGATTCATTGAGACATGGCTTATTTGGCATAGATATCAACTGGATACTCATGAGGATACTTGGCAACATGTTCCAAACATTCTTTACATTGTTCTTCTATGTGTTTTGGCATTTCTTTATACACATCTTTAAACATTTCTTTGACTGATGGTTTAAGGGCTTTTTCAGCATCAGAGAAAGCTTTCATGACTTGGAGTCTTGCTTCCTTTTTCCAGTCCTTCTCTAGTTCTTCATTCCACCATTCGTTGTTTTCCATGTAATATCTAGATAGGCAAATATAATATCTCATTGCTATTGTTGTTATTATAAATTGACATGTAAAATTTTGATATGAGCTGTGGTGAAACTTATGCATTGTCAATGACTGATTGCAATCTGATGCTTATAAGTACAGTCTAAAGATCTGTTTATTTAGGGAGATCACTCATGTGTTAGCAAATGAAATTACCATTACCACAGCCTAGTACCCAGGCATTCCATGCAAGAGTGAATGCGTCCTGGGACGAGTGATCAAAAGTCACTTCATGATGTCATACAAGACTAGTAGGGACTATGCTTCCATTATCATGTATATATCTAGATGTATGTACCTCAGTCTAGAAATGGGATGATCCTCTTTATCCCAGTAATTAACTTCTTTAAGTGAACGATACACAGACGAATCATCACTTGTGCTGTGATGACCAATCCTACAAGACCACATAACTTACATCAGCTTATAATAACAGACAGATCTTTTCATAATATAATGGTATCAAATAAACATAACATAGACACCCAGGGTTCTCAGTAGAAATAAAAGTAGATGTCAAAATAAAAAAAATTCAGCCAAATAATTTGCAAATAAATTCGTAAGCAGCCAGGGATTAACTAAGCTATAACTGGTGATTTTTGGCAGTTGCCGGCTTCTACCGAGAACCCTGGACACCCTGTAGGTTGGGTACTTGCCTGTATGTCATTGCTTCAACTAACACCGGTCTTTGTTGACTCACAGAGATTTCCCTTGCTTTCTTTGTTACATTATACACAGCAAAAACATCATTGCCATCAACTCTTATTGCTAACATCCCATAACTTCTTCCCCTACAAGCTGTAAATACATGTACAAGATAGGATTAAGGTAAGGTTTCTATCTCTTATAAGGTAATTAATCTAATGTATAACATGCAGTGAGTTTTCTTAAGTGAAAAAAAAACATCAAGAACATATTATCCATGAAAATCACAATAATATTTGATATTTACCAATTCCATCTCCTCTGTACTGTTCATGTGTTGGGGTAGATATTGCATATCCATTATTACGACTATAACAAAAAATATTCACTATATATTATGTAAAGTTTTATGAAATTATTAAAGACTATGTAAAGTTCTTACCAGAAAAACACTACAGGTGCATCTAGAGTAGCTGCAAAGTTCAATGCTGCATGAGCATCTCCTTCACTGGCAGCTCCATCACCAAAATAGCACACAACACAATTAGGTTTGCCCTGTCTCTTGATGGCATATGCTGCACCAGAAGCTAAAGATAACACAAGTGATAAAGTTATTAGTAATGTAGCAAGGCTCCCATTAAGTGATTATGGTTTGAGTTGGCTTGGCCAATTGAATTATAAAAAACAGATGCCATAACCAAGCTCTGATTATACCTTGAGGCATTTGTGTAGCCAATGTTGATGAAATGGTAACAAAGTTTAATTTCTTTGAACCATAATGCACAGGCATTTGACGTCCTTTGCCAACATCATGCTCATTGGCATAGCACTGACTCATAAACTCTGTCAAAGTGAAACCCCTCCACATCAGGACTCCTGCTTCACGATATTGGCCCATAATCAAGTCCTCTGGGTCTAGTGCTGCTGCACTTCCAAAATGGGTTCCCTCTTCTCCATAGCTTGTCATATAAAATGAAATACGGCCTTGCCGCTGGGATTCATATAGCACACGGTCCATAGTGTTGAGAAGTGTCATTTTTTTGTACATGTCAACAATCATGTCTTTGTCAAGCTGAAAAACAACATATTAAGTGAATTCATTCATTCATTTAAATGAATGAGTCAAAGAATGTTCAAATGAAATTTCAAGTAAACTTTAATTTCTATTTTGATAAACTTTATGAATATATTAATCATTGATACGTTGAATAAATATGTTGCCATTTACCTTGGGGTCATGCTCTTCATTAAGGATTTTTCCATTTCTATCCATAACCCTATACACTGGAATAATCCCTTGTGGATCACTTGGATCAACAAAGTCCATTTCCTCTATAAATTCGCAGTTTATTGCTCCCGGGAATCGTGGCTTGTCGGTGTAGTTTGAATGAGATGATGTTGAAAATAGCTAAAATGGTGTACAAAACGTTAATCATATTACACATTTAGAGCTGCTAATATTTGTACATACTTTTGAAATAGCTTGTGAAGACGGGATACATCGTGGACGGAGAGTACGAGGCGAACTTCTTTGGAGAACTGTTCTCAACATCCACATTCTGGCCGCCATGTTGAATCAGTGAGACAAAAAAATCACACAATCGGGAGAGGGGTAGGCAAGTAAGTTAACAATACTCAAATTTTCACTTTATTTGAAAAATATTCATTGAAAAGTCAAGGAAAAAGGAATTAAATATAAGTATCAATAAATAAAATGCTTGGATAATGACATTTCTTTGCCACATTTACTAAATTTTATTATTCATGTTTGCTAACCCACCGTTCCCCGACCGTTCCCCTACACAAATTTACTAGTAACCAGTCTCTCTCGAAAACGTTAAACAAAATGGCGGCACGTGTTTTATGGGGGTCTTGCTACATCACGGGCGTTGATAGAGGCCCAAAAAGTCCTCGATTTCAAGGGTCAGCGGAGTACATAGTGATACCGGAAGTTCAATACACAGACTGGCGTGATATAAAGCGTGATGTACAAAGTTGCAGGATAGAAGCTTTAATATAACATGAAAGGCTACTATTACAATTAATTCCTAGGAACCCATGGAACCCCTGCTGGATCCGCCACTGTGTATTAAAATTCACGAAATGTTCTAAAACGAAACTCGGTTGTGATAAGTAAGACTTGTAATAATACTCTGACTGATCTATTTTGATGTAGAGCACGTGAAATAGCGTGACAATGCTTCACTAGCTGCCATGTCAAGGCAGGATGCGTGAAAACATCAGTGTCCACATGCATCACAGCTGACCCAGTCTTGGTGGTCATCTACACACTTGCATTTTTTGCAGGAATTATTATTTCTCCTTTGAAAATAAATAAATCGAAATTAAAAAAAGATGAAATGCGTTGATAATGGGACGAAATAAGGATTAAGTATCCCGCTGTTTGTACACTATGTTTTATCCACTCCCTAAACTAACACCCATCTTTACTATGTACGCTTTGCACTTTCATTCTTTCATTTATCTCCACTTCTCCCCATTATACCCTTCACTATACCTTATTTCTACAATTCCTTCATTAACACGCTTATCATCGTTTCATACTCTCTTGTTATTTTATGCTGCAAGTGCACCWCACATATACTGTTTCATTGTTCAAACACGCCCTACACGTTCAAGCAAACGTACTATTCTTTTCGTTCCATACTAGCCACTATTATCCACATATACATATTATCTACACCTTATAGATATAGACACCAATAAATTTTAATTATCCTCCGTTTTCCTTTTTATTTTTTATTTATCTATTTTATTTATTTATTTATTTATCTATTTAATTGTTTTATTATTTAATTATTTTATTTTTATTCATTTAGTTATTCATTTATTCTGTATTTTTCTTAATTTCATTAATTATACCTTGTCTTTATTATATACCTGGCTTTCCAAATTACACGTTCTTACCATAAAAGTGTTGATCTCACTCTCTACGATAGACTGCACTTTCGATGCTCCCTCCGACATTTCGAAGAGAATGTAATCACATCAAAGTGTTTAAATGATTGACAATTATGATAGTTTATTTTGTTAACAGAGTTAACACTACTTTGTAACTGAAAACCGATCCGCTGGAAAAACTCATTAAAAATGAGTACAACAATTTTATCAAAATTGCAGAACTACAAATCGATCATTTGATATYAATTGTTAGTACAGCGAAAATTGAAAAACTACAAATAGATCTGACATGTCTTTTATTCATTTGATAATTGTTCAATGACGAGCATTGGAGTAATGTATCACGCCAGTCTGTGTATTGAACTTCCGGTATCACTATGTACTCCGCTGACCTTTGAAATCGAGGACTTTTTGGGCCTCTATCAACGCCCGTGATGTAGCAAGACCCGTTTTATGGTGAAGGACGTCTTGAGGGCTTACCAAATTCCAACATGGAGACGGAAAGTGTACATGCATGTGAATTACGGACAATGCTTAGTGAACAAGGGCTTTTGAATCAAGCAGACGGGTCAGCAGTGTTCAAGCAAGGTCAAATCAATATATATGTCAAGCTTTAATGTTATTGACAAACACATGCATTAATTTAATGGTTTTATTTCTCCAGGTGATACACAGGTTATGGCAGCGGTTTATGGTCCTGTTGAAGTAAGAATGAATAAAGAATTGCTTGATAAAGCTTTGGTGGAAGTTATCTTTCGACCTAAAGTTGGACTACCAGGTAATATACTGCATTGATTTAGTTAATTACTACATGTACAGTTTGAACCTAAAAACATCTGCTGTTGTTTCACATTGTCTGGTTAAATCTTTTAATCGATATGACTGTCATAGTCTCACTATTCTTTTGATATATGCAGGTTGTTCAGAAAAGATGATGGAACAACTAATAAGACAAAGCTGTGAGCCAGTGATACTAACAACTCTGCACCCAAGGTCTTCAATGACAATCATTGTACAAGTCATACATGATTCAGGATCTGTATCCAATGATTTGCTTTCTCACTGGAATAAGCTCTGAAATTCAGGCCTTTATTAGTGAAGGAGTAATGGAAGAACAGGGGGGAGAGAGGAAGGGAAAAATGAAGGGGTCCCTTGTCTTCCTTTTGTCTCTTTCCTTAAAGAAAAACTGAAATAATTTATTGTATCATTTATTTCAAGCTTTTTGACAATCTCTGAAACCATATTTTTCATGGAAAGTTCACATGTTCACCATTCAGTTTCCTGTGACTGACTTGCCGCCATTCATCTTGCACTTGCCTTGCTTTATGGAAATCATTGATATGTTTCTAGACAGAGTGAGAGGTGATTAGTGTTAAGTCAGTTCATTGGAAGAAATAAATGGATTTTTGTAGTGATATACTTAACAAGATTTCAAGCTCTTGTCATGTGCCATAAATGCAGCATTCTTGGCCATGATTGATGCTGGTTATCCAATGAAATCTACAATATGCTCTGTGACGTGTGCGATAACAAATAATGATGAGATTCAGCTAGACCCCAACTTACAACAGCAGAAGGTAGTTAGTGATTACAGTCATGAATCTTAAAGCCAGACGCACATGAAAGGAAAGTTCGTAAGGGAAATGCCACTTGAGTTGCTTTGAGCAGTTTGTGTGCACCAATTTTTGCTGTTCACAGTGAGCAAAACACTGATCAAAGCACCTCAAATGGCATTTCCCTTATGTACTTTCCTATTTGTATGCAGAGGGCTTAAGATAGAAGTAGTCTTTAATTACAGATAATTTACCATATTTTTTTTAAATTCATTATTTTCAAGGAAGCCTCATCCGTTATGACATTTGTATTTGATGGTATTAACAAGAATGTAATGACATCTTCTACAAAAGGCGAATATGCTATTGAGCAGGTATTAATAGTAGCAGACGAATTACTTGAAGAAGAAAGTTAAAAAAAATGAGCAATTACAACTAAAACAATACTGTGTTGGAGTAAAAGGGAGGGTGAATAACATCTGGAATAATAATTCAGTCTTGAAATAATACTTTTTTTATGTTAGTTAAGAAATGTTAAAGCTCCTACACTACCTACAATATTGTAAAGTTCCATTTCAAAGTATTACACAGCACTGAACCTAATGATTTTCAAATTCTTTAAAAGTTTTTCAGATATTTTAAGCACCATTTCATTTTCCATTCCCATCTTTTCACTTTTCCTTTCACTATTATTTCTAGTATAACAAATGTCTCTTAGCAAGTGTTTCTGCTGCTGACCACATACTACAGTTCTTTAGACAGTCAGTAGAGAGAAAACTATCAAGGGTAAGGACTTTTATTGATAAAACACTCATCACATCAAGAAATTATTTACATTAACTGCCATGTTCAAAACATCTCCAAACATTTTTCTATATTATTTTAATTATAAGTATAAAAATACATTGTAAATTAGCTAAAATTCTACATTGAAAGCTCAGACAAGATTATTGCACTATATTCTAAATTGCTGATATTTTTTACCCTAATAAATAATAAAATGTAACAGGGAAACATTGCTAATTTGGTTTATTTTGCTGTTTCAGGATGCCAAATATCAATGCATAGATTCAAATTCTATGGATTCTTGAGTATTTAAATTGTAAATGCTCACCTTAAAGACAATTTTGTTAAATTGTAACTAAAAGCTCACACAATTATATATTTATACATGAAAACTGCTTATCATATAATTATCTATAAAATAGTAACCTTTATTTCTCTATTATGTAAAGTTGTTATTTTATCTATTGAAAAGTATATTTTGGTATCTATATATTAGATGTAAATAAAAGTTATTTTACAACACAATTTGCTTTCATAGATAATTATATGATAAACAGAATATTACAGTTGCTTGGAGATAAGAGTTTTATCTGTTTTTGTTGAAAATCTCTCACAAGTGAGCATATTGTAGAGATAAAATCCATATCTCTGAGCTCCCATGTAATATCCTCTATATATCTATTCAAGAAAAAAACGTAGGTGTTTTGCAGGTGCATTATTACAACTGTACCATATTTATATTTAGTACACTTGGCTAATTAAATAATTTTATAAATATTTGTAATATACCGCAAGCAGTAAAAAAACAACAACACCTGTACAGCAAGGTTTACAAAAAGAGACTCTAAATTCCTACAACACATTGATATCACTTTCAATTGAGAATTAACTTCAACAATACAATTCCTTTTTTTATTCGATTCTGATAATTCTGTAGTGTGGACTTTAAAATTAAATCTAATACTCAAGCTATGTTTAATAGTGAAGAATAGAAAATATTATGTAACTCACATCTATTTCATGGTCTTAATGTCCTCATTCAAATAGAGAAGATGCACTTTATACAAAATATGTGCTAAATTATGCCAATTCCTTTTTGTCTAGTCAACACTATTGAGTAATTAATACTGGTTTGTTTCAATTAAGTGCATCTACTCTATCATGAAAAAGTTACTAAAAAGTACAAATAGCAGTTTAAAATGCATTTGTGCTTGTTAAATCACTACTTATCTCATGTAGTGTCACACACATGACACGTTTTTATATATTTCTATAAAGTAGAATGATCTGTTTAATCTAATTATCCTTATTCTTGAGTGCTTGCATTTTGTTATATGGTATGAGGTCTTCGTCAGGTATCTCTTGTGGTTTTCCTAACATTGCCTCTACAATAGCCATGCCTGTTTTGGCCGTTTGCAAAGCCTCAATCCCATCTCCAAGTTTTGGATTGATTTCTACAAGATCCAATCCTTGAAGATGTCCTAATTATATCAAAGAAAAAAGTGAAAAAATCTTATAAATGTTTAAAAATAGATTTTTTTTACACTTCATGGTACCTGTTTGTGAAATTTTCTGTGCGATGTACAGTCCCTCGCTTAATGTCAGACCTCCTCTAACTGAAATAAGCATGAGACTTAATATATATATAATTTCAATGAGAATAAGAAAAATTATTTTCTTACTTGAACCATTAATCACATATTGTGCTTGATCTCTTTTATTTTCACTTTTTTCCATTCTGTAAAACTTAAAGTATACATACCTGATGTTCCTGTGGTGGGAGCAATTTCTGGATCCATTGCATCAATATCAAAACTAACATGAATTGGGCAGTCATTCCTGATAAAAATAAAAAGATTTGTAAAGGAATGGTAATATATTTACTGAAATGATTAACATTATTTAAAAGAATTTAATTTAATTTATTTGAATTGATGCTTAATGGTAAAACTACTCAGAAACATATTATGTGATGGTTCAATCACTCACATAAAACCTCACAAATGAAAACAAACCTTGGGTTAATATAATCCAAAGCTTGTTCCATAGTCAAGACAATTCCAAGTTCATCAATATCCTCAATAAAAAAGGTCTTGATACCAAGTTTATTCAAGAGATCCCTAATGACATTAAAATAAGGTCAGTTACAGTAAATCATTTCATTTCAACAGAGGATAGCCTCCTCAGAGCCTATCCTTTTCTTGGGCTTCCTGTTCCTTAAGAAAGGGACAGGAAACCTGGCAAAAAGTTGGGCTACCAACTAAGGAAACAGAATGCTATCATGTAAATCTTAGTATGAGTATTCTAAAAAACAATTTGAAATATATAATAATGAAAATGTTCACTTAAAATTTCACCTTTCTTGTGGCTCTACATCTCGTAAACCAACATAAGCAATCTTTTGCGGAGAAATACTGCACAACAAAAAGTACATAAGAATAAAAAGACATTTTAGCTTTAATTTTGAACATTTGAAGTTATATACTTACCAGCGATGGACCCACTCATACCCAGGAACTACAGGAAACTATGTAAAATAAAATAAAGATTTTAATCAGCAAATGTAAAGCAATATCATTTGAATTGATCGTTTTCAATCATTCCCATGAGATTCAAAAGATAAAAGACCGGCGGCCATGTTGGAGGAATGAACAATAGATACTAATGAGAAATCTTTTGTTGAAGTTCATCCAAGATGGCCGCTGTGACGTATGGTGAAAACAAAGAATACTTACATGTGGGAAGTTTGTAATAATCCAACTCACTGACATCCCATGGATATTTCCACTTTTTGTCACAAGAGGTGAATTGATATCTGCATGGGCATCAACCTATAAATAAGGATATTATAATTGACTTTCATATTGCATTCACTGATAATGTACTCAGAGGTCTTGCAGCTCTAAATAAAAGTCATTGTGATTGGCTGGCTAGAACAATAGGCTCTATTGTTGAGCCAAACAATTACCAGTAATGTTCTTTGGCGCCGCGACCTGACCCAATATACTGGCATTTAATTACATGCAATAATTTAAAAATATTAATCTGCTATAGTAACAATATCCTTACCCACAATAGGCACGTATCAGGATTAAATAAGTGGTGGCCAAAAGCTGTACCTGTTCCAATACTGAACAAGATAATAATTGTCATTGTTAATTTGATTTTTTTGTCTTTTATACATTTTTTATCTATTGGTAAGCTTCAAGGTGCTTGTATGTGGTTGCTAAGAAACCTTGGGTGGGGTTGTGTCRCTGTGACCTCAAAACCCTGACCCTGTTCCAGAGTGATATGGACTAGCGAATATAGGAGAGTACCCCCCCCCCCCCCCCTGGCTAAGAAAGTGTCCGCTATCAAGTGGTTGTTAAAGTTCCAGCAAGTGGTTTCCATGTTGTCATTAAGTGGTTGCTAAGTAATCAGTAAGTGGTTGCTAAGGTGCTAGTAAGTCTTAGCTCAAGTGTCTACAGCTGGTTGACTAGTTTTCAGTTAAACGCTGCTGAAATAGTAGTCTTACCTGTGATCACCACCGATAACTACTGGCATCTTTCCCTCTTTCAAAGCATGAAGTACTGCTTGAGCAGTCTGATAATACAAGTTCAAAATAAGGCCACTTGGTCAGCCAAATTTGATATCAAAATGACAAGATGATGTTTCAGAATGATCAGTAAAAATATTGTTGAAAGTCATCTTGACCTTCCTATCAAAATGGAAATCTTGTAAATTAGAGAAAAATGTTGGAGTAATAAGAGATAAGTGGAGGTCTTCTCAATTATAAGTATAGTTTACAACATGAGCGGCCGTGTTGTATGGGAATTACAATCTCGAGCCGCAGGCGAGAGATTGTAATTCCCATACAACACGGACGCGAATGTTGTAAACGACTTATAAAACTCCAACACAAATTAACATGAATTACAGTGAGATAAATGACGAAAAATGACAAATAAGGTAACTGCTGAGTTTAGTCCCTATTAAGCATGCGCAATTTACTGCAACACAGAACATTTTGAATAATTATCCATCCCACATGGAAAGCAAGCCATCTGTTGCATAAGCCAGTTCTGTTATCCGTCTTTGATTGCTTCAAAACCTAGTGAAGGTCTATAATGCGACACTAAAACTGAGACCTTTGCTAGTGTTGGGTTGTCTCAATGGTGACGACCGTGTTGTAAATCTGGTTGTATCAGATTTACAAGGTCAATCACCTGATTAAATGGTCAGCCCTTATTGGAGCAATAGCTTATGCATTATTAATAAGTTTTATAATATACAATACTTTTTGTCTGGTAATAATTATGGACTTAAAAAGCTATTTACTTATTTATATTTTATTTCAATCAACAAAGTAATAGATCTTGCATTACCTGTTTGGAAACATTCCCACATGTGACTGGGTTTTTAACCATTTTATTGTGGATATAAAGCTTACATTCTGACTCAGAATCCAGATAATCCAGGTTGATATCACTAGCAGTACTAACATTGAGCCCTGCAATTACAAGAAATGGACATATGTCATAATAACATTTGGAAAATAAAATTTGAAAAATTGGCAAAAAAAGAGATTGGTCAAATGAGTATGGGTGAGAAAGGAATAGTTAGAAATAATTAGAAAGATTAGAATATTTATATATGACATAGAAAGAAATACAAAAAAAATTGTATACCTAAGAAATAGGTGAATAAATAGACGAATGAAAGAAAAAATAAAATATAAAAAGACAATAAAACAGATAGAAATGGTAAAAAAGCGAAAATTATGTACATGTAATGTACGTGGGACAAGCTTGATAAAATATCGCGTTGTGATCTCGTAGGGGATGAAGGAGTCAATCATGGTAAAATAAGGAAGGCAAGGGAGGTCAAATGCACTGGCTACCGTACATCATCAGGGGGTTGGGACGATAGACAGAAAAATCTTCCTTGGCTTGACGAGATTAATGTGCGGCGGATTTAAATTGAAACTATAGATAGTCAGGAAGGTTAAAGGTTAATAAACGAGGGGAGAGATAGATATATGGGCGACATATGATGGAAGAGTTCTTACTTGTTACCCATAGTGTATGCTAAATACTGATTTTCTATTATAGGTTTTCTGTAGATTTTCATAATAATCTTGTACTGGTTAAAAACTATGTGAGGAATGGGGAGTATCTGGATATTGCAATGTTTGTAGGGAACACATCAAGTGTCATCAAGTGAGTCTTGTTATGCTGGGCTGCCTGTGGAGCCAATCATGTGATAGATATGTAAGGGGGTGTGTGAGAGGTGTGTAGAGTAGCAAGCGTGTAAGTAACACACTGTTGTGAAAGAGGTTTGTAGAGAGCGGGGATACAGATGTGTTGAGACAATGGTATGTGGACACGGAATGCATGCAGTGGAGGACATGTCGGGAAAAGCGTGTAGATTAAACAGGTATCCGTTCCAAACTGGAAATAAAATAACGCGCACAGCTGAACGAGTCGAGAATGGTGTTGAACTTACCAAGATTTCTTAATCGATCGTAAAACCCCAAATCTCGTATAAAATCCGGTGCCAAATCAACACCTCCTTTTGGCTTTAAAGATAGAAATATATTGATGAGACTTTGAAGTCAATTCAAGAGACTTGACCTCACTGAACGTTAGATGGCTTACCTGTCCTCCCGAAAAGGGAACATTGATGATTTCYACWGCCTTCGAACCGSATGAAGAGAGTGTGGATAAGGCACGAGTACAACTCCGAATTACTTTCAATGCAAACATTASTAAAATGCTTTCAAATATAAAGCTATCAACATTGATTTACTATAATGACGTTTTCGTCTTTGTTTTGAATTCGCATTTGACGGTCGACGGGACATGCGAAGTATCGCGTCTTCTTGATGTCCAGGCCCCACACCAGTACACAGGAAGCCCAGAATATATTATGCCAAAATTTATTTGGAGAAAAAACCCTTGCTATGAAAATTAAACAAACAAATCGGCAAGCAAATAATTTTGATATGAAAAGTCAGCAAAAGAATGGAAAGAAGAGAAAAAAGAAGGGAAAAAGAAAAAGAAGATAATTAAATAGAAATAAACAATAAATTTATTGAATTTTTGATCAATAAAAAATACTATTAGTCTGTATATCTTCTAAAAGTGACTGTACCATATCTTTAAGAGTCAACTCTCTGCCTAACATATCTGCAACTAATCTATTTGGATCTTTACTACCTCCATGAGCTAACATTGTATGACGATATCTTTCTCCCACTTCCCTATTGAATGGGTCTGCAGCAAAGCATTGATGCCAAATCCTGGATGCAACAGCACGGGACCAGAGATAAGAGTAATAGCGTGCACCATAACTGTTTAGATGGCTGAATCTCTGCTGCCAAGCTGTACCTGATGAATAAAAAAAGATACAATGAGAAAATTGATTCTTTATTTATACATCACAAGTTTTCATCCAAAAGGCAGGCTATCTTGGAATTGCTTACCATCAATGTGAGGAATGACTGTGTACTCTCTTTGAAGATCGGCCATGATTTCAGTGGTTGTCTTGTCCAAAGGATGCTGTCCATGGTATACCTGGTCAACCAGAGAATACAGAACCTGTCGCTGCATTTCAATAGCACCAAACATGTTCTTTGATTGACAAAGTTTACTAATCATCTGTTCAGGAAGTGACTGCCCAGTTCTGTGATGCTTAGCAAACTTGGAGATCACTCTAGGATTCCACACAAAAGATTCCATCAAAACAGAAGGGACCTCTGCAAAATCTGTAGCACATCTAGTCCCAGTGACATGTTGGTACTTTGTCCTTGCCAACATTGAGTGCATTGCATGGCCCATCTCATGAAAGAGATTTTCAACCATTGGGTGTGTTAACAAAGATGGCGCTGATGGGGTTGGTGTTGGGAAGTTACAAATCACAGCAACAATGGGCAGCTGGTAGGAGCCATCAGAAAGTGTACGACCACCTTAAGTGACAACATAATATCAAGGTTAATACCTCTTCAACTAGAATTCTATTATACAATTCATTTACAAAATACATACCTCTAATTGTAAAGTGAGAATCCTGATGGATCTTGTTTTCTCTTACTAGGAAATCACAGTATATATAGCCAAGCAATCCCTCTTTCTCATGTACAACACTAAGTTTCTGCACTTCAGGGGACCATAACTCACCCGGTGCAGCATTTTCTGGTTCAAGGCTTATTCCATAAAGACATTGAAATAAATAATTTAGTCCTTCCATACATGCCCCAAGTGGAAAGTATGGGGATAATGAAGAACTATTCAGTTTTAAGCTTTGAGATTTAGTAGTGCTGATGTAATATTGTAAGTCCCAAGGCATTATTTCACTACTTTTATCGCCTGTTGCAATTTGTTTCATGTTGGTAAGTAAAGCAAGTTCCCTTTTTGCAGGTTTTTCCAGCATCTCTGATGACATTTTGAGAAAAGTAAGTACATTTTCAGGGGTCTTGGCCATAGTCCCTTTCAAAGCCCTGTGAGAAAAGGTGGGGAAATCCACCAAATTTGCAAGTTCATCTCTTACTGAAAGCAACTCATCAAGATGTTTGATTTGTGATTCAACAGGATATAGATTGGCTTTGAAAGCCATAGAACGAAGATCTTCATTGGGTGACTCTAAATACATGGTATCTATGGCAACATTACCATCACTTCCTGGAAAAGAACTGGCAATAGACTGAGGACATTCTGTCTTTGGTATCAATGCTGGAGCATTGGCTCCACACGTAAAGTAAGCACCAAGAATAAGTGCCTTTTCTTGAAGGGCTACAAACTGTTTCCTCTTCTTTTCATTCAAATGAATTCCACTGAGTTCAAAATCAAAAAGGAATAGTTCTGCTACTTGTTTTGCGGCGTCATCTAGTTTCTCGCCATGCTCATTGAGCAGGGATTTCATGGCATCGTATARCGAACGATCTGTGTTTAAAACTTCTACAAAAGCACTTATCCCCAAAGAGGTTTCTTCTGCTGCCTTAGCAAACCGCTTATCGGGATGCGACATCCTGACAAACTCTGATAAATCGGCAGCACGACATAGAACATCGGACAACTCGTCAAAAATATCCACAAGCTCTGGCCTTGAAGCGTTTTTTAGAGCTTTTTTTACGAGCTCTTCACCTTCTTTCAATGCTTCTTTCTTCAGAGAATCAAAGCCAAAGCAATCTTGTAGCTGTTGGAGTTTGAAGAGTCCTGTTGATGGAGCACAATTAATAGCTGTGTTGGGAAAATTAAAAGCTGTCGTTAGTGGGCCCCAGTTATGAACTGCCTTAAGCCGCAGAAGAAATAGCGGTGAAACGGTGTTAAAACGAGACCTGAGACCTCTACAAGCCTGTAAAAAGTTCATCATTTTAACGAAACTAACTCTTCAAAAGCCTTCCTTGCAAACCAGGCCTTCCAGCCAGACTCCTCACATGGTTGGCTTGGCACGAGGACTTTTTTACACAGCTATTCCGAAGAGAGACTACCGACTAACTCTAAAAGATATAGTTAAATTATTTTTTTTTTTAATTTTGTCGTCCTTTTATTGAATGAGATTATACTTCATTATAATTCAAGCATATAAAAATTGATTTTGGGCTTCCTGTGCTAATTATCACGGGATTCCTGTGTAAAGATTGTGAAACATTGAACATTGTACAGAAACGATACAGCCATATCCCCAAATTAAATATCGAAAATGGCTTTGTTGTACTGCCTACTGGCTGTTCCTATTGTATTAATGATTCTGATATTCCTTAGTGATTGTGATCTCAAGTTAAAGCTGTACGAATGGTTTGGAACTTCACCAAAAAGYCGTTTTTACGGCCGAGTGGTTTGGATAACAGGGGCTTCCAGTGGCATTGGAGAATATCTTGCTTATGAGCTCGCGAAATGTGGCAGTAAACTTGTTTTATCGTCAAGAAGAAAAGAGGAACTGGAGAGAGTTAAAAGGAATTGTGGAGGTAATTGAATTTCGCTGTTTTTACGAGAAATTGAGGGGGAGATCTAGAGCAGGGAAGGAGGCAGCATTTCTGTAAGGGGGATATTGCTGTATACTTAATATGATCAGTCATCAAATATCTAAACGATAATCATGAATTATTCCATTGTTTACAATAAGCTATCTTATTGCAAATATGGTGTTTGTCTGGTCAAGGGTTGTGGATAAAATGAATTGCATTTTGCTTCTCTCTTCAGACATAGTGCAGCCTTTGTACCCGTCATACAATATTGATCAAGATATATTGGTCTTACCAATGGACGTTACTGAATTTGACAAACATGTGCAATACACAGATACCGTCTTGAATCACTTTCATAAGGTAAGAGTACTAAGTCTTGACTTTGGTTTAGTCCTCGGCATTCATGACACATATACTAGTAAGTACTACAATATTAGATATCACTCTTTTTAAAATGTTATATTTTTATAGATTGACATACTTGTGAATAACAGTGGCCGTAGCCAACGTGGAATGGTTATTGATACACCAGGGCTTGATGTTGAGAATGCTATGTTTAAGTTAAATACAATGGCAGTTATATCATTGACAAAATCAGTTCTACCTCATATGGTGAAGAGAAAATCAGGACACATTGTCGTCACAAGTAGTGTGGCTGGCAAGTTAGGTATTGAAAAAATGTTGTTTCTAAAATTATTACCAACAGATGGTGAATTTCATACATGTGATACAATTGAAAACTACACTACTTAAAAATGTCAATGTAGTCAATATTAGGTAGGCAAATATCCAATAGTCTCCTTCACGGTTACCTACGCCATGTTGAAAGGTAGCCGTGCCTTTGCATCAAAGCGAGACAACCGTTGAGCATGCAATGATAGATACCTGTAAATAATTGTCTGTAGGTGTGAAAGAAGGTATCTATCATTGCACGCTCAACGGTCGTCTCGCTTCGATGCAAAGGCACGGCTACCTTTCAAGATGGCGCAGGTAACCGTAAAGGAGATTATTAAAATCATTTGCTGAGTTTCTTTATACATCAAGGTGCACCAATGTCTGCAGTTTACAATGCAACCAAGTTTGCACTTCAGGTTTGTTACACATCTCAAAAAAATACTTTATCTACTGTATGAACCAAGTTTGAATCAATTCTTTCACTTTTCAGGGATATTTTGATGGATTGAGAATAGAAGTGTATGACTCCAACATAGATGTAACCATGATCTGTCCAGGACCCATTCTTACCAACATAAGAGACAATGCATTCACAGAAGATGTGAATGTGGTAAGTTGGCTTTGATAAGGTAAAGACATCAAAGATAAGCACAGTCTAATAGTTCAAGTTTGATCTAGACTGTTAAGGAGAAAGAGAAAGCAGCAAAGTCCTCCAAGGATAACCGTATGGACCCTGCAAGATGCGCATACCTGATCACAGTTGGCATGGCAAACAAACTGGATGAGTTATGGATTTCAATCAACCCTATACTGTTTTTTCTCTATGCCAACCAGTATCTTCCAAACTTATTCAACTGGTAGGTTGATTACAGCCTTTTGCAAAAATTATGAGAATTGTTGAAATATCTAAATATCATAATATCGAGTGCATGATGGGTAATCCCGCGCGATGCCCTTAGTCCCTTGTCTTTGTAGTTTAGTTTTTTTTTTGGCGACAGACTTATCCGTAGTTCTGAACATTTTCTCGATGTCAACAATGAATTATTCTAGCAAACCCGCGTGTTCCGGACAATATATGGATATAGATATTATGATATTTAGATATTTAGACAATTCTCATAATTTTTGCAAAAGGCTGTATCATCTTGAACCATGAAATATCAATATAAAGTACTTGAGATACATGCATAAAACACACACTGATTGGCTGATTACAGTGCTTTATTATTAGAGCTAAAAGAATATTATAGCAGTTTACTGGCCAGAGATTTGTACTTATTAACTTAAAAGCAACCAAATGGTCATTGATTGATTGTTGAATCATTGTAGGTTATCTAAAAGACTTGGGGTTAAACATATAATGAAAATGAGAGAGATGGCAGATAAAGGTTAGTAGATCACTATATTTGTATGTGATTTTTTTATTGCTATTATTCGTACTACTTCATACTTCTGGTGCCTTAGTGGTACATTTATAAATAGAGTTAACCATTTTGATTAATAGCAGTCTATTGCTAATAAGTACACACAAGAACTTTGTGTGGGCAAGTTACATAGCAATGGTCAATGTCAGAATATTAATTAATGTTGACATTGAGGTATGAAGAATACACAACATAGTATTAAATGTCTGTAGCTATACTGGTATTTGCTTTCTTTATTCATTATTTTATTATTCTTATTTTTTTCCAGATAAATAGATGTTTGTTATAGTTTCTGTGTAACCAGTAGTGACAACTGTATTGTTTTGTTCATACTTGTATATCAACTTGGATTTGACTTAATATGAAAGATGATTTTTTTTATAATGCCAGCTATGGTGTAAACAAATGAAAATATACGTTTATTAAATGAATAAATGAGAAATGCAATTGAACCAATGTTATCAATGACAGATCTAGAAGGGTGGGTGTGGTGGGCATAGGGGTAGGGGTAGGGGAAGGGGTAGGGGTAATACACCACCCTACTACCTTAACATACAAGCATACACATCAGCTGGTGCTTCTAGTGGCAGAGGCATTTTTTATGCATAGTGAACCCCCTGGGAAAAATCCTGGATCTGGAAATACAGAAGCTGTACAACATCTAATTGTAGATAAAAAGATCTGCCCTCCCCTCATTCCTTGTACTACTTCAATCAATCCATCCCTCAATCCATCTATCAATCCAGTCAATCAATCAATCAATCAATCCATCTATCAATCAATCAATCCATCCATCCATCCCTCAATCAATCAATCAGTCAATCAATCAATCAATAAGACAATCAATCACTCAGTCAATCAGTCAATCAATCAATCACTTTTGTTTCTATACTGATCCTTTTATTTGATAAAAAGTTTAAAAATTAAGATAATTCATAATTCAAATGATATCAAAGAGGCAAGATTTTGCTGTAACTCCGAGTTTCGTGCTATGCACTCATCAGACAGTATTTAATCATAATTAAATTAATTTAATTCATATATTTATGATTTTTTGTGATAAATTGAGACCACTATTAATGCAATAGTACCAACGCCAAGCACTGACAGTCCTAATAAACCTGGAACTGATGGCATCAAGTATTTTTGTGTGAAACTGAACTGAAGGAATGGAAAGCCAGGTGTCTGAAACAAACATTGATGCATACAATTCAGTAAATATTGCTAAAAAATGATGATGGTTAACAATGTACGTAACATGTTACACTGTGTAATATCTTTTTACACCTACTGTTGTTTGGGAAATTAAAGATTTGAATTCTTCCTCATTGATTTTGCCAAGAGAGTGAGCAACCTGCCAATTAAAGTAGCATTAAGAGAATTTATGGTATGACAGTAACATTACATGACACAGCTTGTAGTTTTACCTCCAGGGAAACCCTTTCTGCTGACTCAACAGCTCCTTCCATGTAACCAGCCCAGTGAGAGGCTGTTATGGTCCCAGCAAAGTGTACATTCTCAAACCTCTCCCTTAAGACTCTAAAATCAAGACTTGTTATCAATTTACTGATGAATAGGATATGGCCAACACAAAAACGTTGTCCATCCTCTCAATTGATCTTGGTTTTTTTTTAACAGGTTTTTTAACATTTTATTAAACAATTAAATAATGCCGACTGTGCAGAAGAATAAACAATGTTTCTGGGTGTAGCTGTAATTTTGAGAAATAATTTAACTCGATTTTTAGAATCAAGAGATAGTATCACCCTTACTTTCCATATTTAGTCAGAATTCCAGGAGGAAACACTCCAACATAGCAACCACCAGCATACTCATCTTCCATCCAGTTTTTCTCAATATAATTAACAGGCTTGGAGTTGAATAAATAAATAAATAAAAAAAAATGAATGAAACTAAAATGTGTTTTCTTGGCAGATACTCATGATAATAAAATTCTCTATTGGAAACCTTTTTGTTTTGTTTAATAACTTAAAGCAAAAGTTAACTTACCTGTAAGGCTTCTTGACATCCATACATCTCTGCATACTGTTCACAAACCAACTTTTTTCTGCAAGCCACCAAAGACTTTGAATGTATTACCAATTCTCTGAACACTAAACTATTATTGGTCGCAATATCTACCTTTCATCCTTGGTTAGTTTGCAGACATCTCTTGCTGAATCAGCCAGTACAAATCTACCAATATTAGATAAATGAATAAATTATTTTTAAAGCTATTACTTCAACTTAATCTCACTATCTCAACAGCCCCCTATAATTTACTGACCCCTTTTGACTCTAGTGCATATTTTTTTGGTTAAAACTAATAGCGTAGAGTAAAAAAGTGAGGTACCCCATGATTGCAGGGTGTGTCCCATCTGGTTTAGTGTCATCATAGGCTTCTTCAACAGGAACACAATCACATGTAAACATTCCTGACAGATCTATAATCATAAAGACAATCTTTCAGCAATAATGCAATGAAGAAGTGAAAGGAGAGTTTAGGGCCGTATAATACTGTGAAATTCAATTTATATCTTGACAAGCTTTTCAATATAATACTGTTATATTGTATTTTCATGACCTGAAGATGCCAGCATCCTGCGAAAAATCATCAAGACACAATTGAATTTCACAGTAGTGTATGGCCCTTAACTCTCCTTTTACTTCAATATGCTACTGAAGGACAACTTCTTAACTCTTCAATGAATTAAATTATACTAATTAGTTTGTTTTCAATACAAGAAATTGCATGAATGCAAACCATGTAATATATAGATGGATATAGTGATTACAAAATGTGATATGTTTGCGAATGAAGAATAAAGCTCCTGTTTACCCTTTTGTCTCCAGAATGTCTTGTCATAGAAAGTAACAGTTTTGATAATAGATCCAACAGGCATTCTTTGATATGCCTGCAGAGTTAATAATAATGATAAATATTAGAAGAGGTATACAACAATTTCATTTATACAATGATATTATAACCTGTAACTTTAAACCAGGCAAAGGTGGGTTGAATCGTATCCTATTGAGTAAAGCAGGGGGAACTGTACTGATGACTTTCTTTGCCTGAAATATAAGGTACGTGTGTAAGTTCAGGGTGAACTTGGATTGATTTATTCTTTATATGACAAACAAAAATTTAAACTAAAGTTTCTACCTTGTATTGTACTCCATAACCACAAGTAATGAGAACACTCCCAGAGTCTTGCTGATAAATATGGGTAACATCACTGCCAAGGTGAACCTTATCAGATCCTTTAAGAACAGTTAAGTAATATATAAAATATGAGCTGGAGACCTTAATGGGCATATTTAAAACTGCGAGCTGCAAGCAAGCAGTTTTATAGCCCATAAAGGTCTCCAGCTCATTATTTTATTATTTGCTTAAAATGATAACATGCAGTCTCATTTGAATAATACCCCTTTAAGCTAGACAAAAGGGTAGGGTGCAAATGAGACCAGATAACATGAACAAGTCTTATATCTTTCCCAAAGGGATCCCAATAGCAACAACATGTCTTAAGGCAATTAATAACATTTAATTTATTATAAAACATAAATCACTCACCAATCCTATTTGCCAATCTATTACTAATTTGCTGAGAGCCACCCACTATTTTAAATTCCTGTGTAAATATAAAAATAAAGGTTCCAGAGCTTGTTTTAGTCTTTTCAATAAATAAGAATTGGAAAAAAAAAAAAAAATAAAATAAATAAAAATAAAATTTGCTTATTTTATGCAATTCACTTACTTGAGCACCTCCATCAGATATTTCCCAGTTTCGTATTATGCCTATAAGAATGAATGAAACAACTGCTATATATCTGTATCTACTATAATATGTTATTTTTTATATAGTAGATATTAAAATACCTGTATACAGCTATTTCAAAAAACGTTGTTGGGGAGAACGGCAATTGTCGAATTGAGATTGGATGGCCGAAAGGGACTATGGTTGCACTGTTTTGATAAACAAAAATTCACTTTTTGGATTCAACTTAAACATAGAAATGATGACTAAATGGAGCCGTCTGTTTACCACTGATCATCTTACAATACAAATCAGTTGCTATTGCCTTAATTCAACTATCAAAACCTGTTGTTACTGTGACCAGGCCAAGGTCCTCATTTACAGAGAGTATTATAGTGGATGATTGTCATAACCTCACAAAGTTACGGTTAGAGTAATATGTAACTTTGATTTCAACTAAATAGACTACATATTACATTACTTTCAGTCGTCATGCAATCGCCGTTCGACCATTGACATTTGCCATTTTATCTGACAACCTTTTTTGAAATAGCTTGTATAATATATGTAACTTTTCCAACTTACAATAAAAAGTCAAAAATAATACTGAAATAAAGGACACTTGAAGAAAAGTATTAAACAGATGGTATAGAAAACTAAAAAAAAAGGATATGAAAAAAGCAGTGTTGATGCAAATAATGAATTCATTATCATTACACGTCTTACCTCCCCCTGAATGAAAATACCAAAGGAAAAGGAGTAGCGACAGTGTTGATGCAAATAATGAATTCATAATCATTACACGTCTTACCTCCCCCTGAATGCAAATACCAAAGGAAAAAGAGTAGCGACAGTGTTGATGCAAATAATGAATTCATTGTCATTACACGTCTTACCTCCCCCTGAATGCAAATACCAAAGGAAAAAGAGTAGCGACACTTCATGAGGCTCTGATGTGAGGATGCCCTGAACAAAACCTGAAGCTGCAGATCTACCATACCTGTTCATGAAAATTATCATGAAGATTATTACTCATTAGAGGATCTGATAAACAATCATGATAACACACTGCAAGTAGCCTAATGAATATGCAAGCACGTTTCTCTTTCACAATGTGAAGAATAACATGCAATTGTATTAAATCACCTTGTCCAACACTTTTTGTGGATATATTCTTTGACAGTAAGTTTATCCCATTCATCAGCCTTGGCTGCTAACCATGGTTTATCTAAGGGAACCTGTTTAGACATCTTGTCAATATGGATCCAAAAGTTATTGACGTCTAGGATGCCCAATAAAGAAGATCCCAATGGTACTGTTCCTTTATTTAGCTGTCTTTTACCCTTAAATAGATTTGTCTAAATTAATGCTACTAAGTATATCAAGCCATAAGAAAATCATTCATTGATGAGACTGTACACAGACAACTTTTAGCTTAGGAAGTACTGTGGGTTAGTTTATCTGTGTTCTGTATTTTGAATAAAACTAAAAACAGTTTTCAACTAAATGTTTGAATTGTATTTGAGTGGAACCACCATTAGATCACTGGAGAAGCTAGACGGAGGCCTTACGCACCAATAGTAGGTGCAAAGTGGTTCAGTAACAGTAACACCATTAATTGGTCCCACTTAGGGTGGTAATGACAATAATTCACCAAAAATAAGTTTTGTGGTCACTTTTAGGATATAATTAGGCCCTAAGCTGGTGGCACAAGTTCAATAACAATGCTATATGTTGTTATAAACTGATATCAGCCTTTGATAAATAAATACATAAATAGTATTGTTGGTCCTACCAAGAAATAATGGACATCATAGCCTTTATCATTGATCTTATATAACTCCAATGAAAGATCTTCAACCAACTGTTTGACTTTGATTTGAGTAGAGCCTATGTACGAACCACCAAGATCACAGTACCCAAAGGACGAATCCTTTGATTGAATACATGGGATAATTAATTCATTTAAAAATATGAATCAATAAACAAATGGATTAATGAATAAGAAATTGAAAAAAATGGATAGATAGATACAGAAATGATAGAATGAATCAATCAACAATGGGAAGAATGAATGGGATGAATGAATTAAAGAGGAAATAAATAAAAAGAATACATTTTTACATGTAAAATAGCCCTTTTTGTAGTCATAAGAAAAAAGTTGCATGAGGAGCCTGGGGTTTTGCACCAAAGTGAGTCAGAATCGGGTAACAACTCAAAAACTGTCATCTTTGAGCTTGTTTATTCTTCTGCATTGTCAGCAAAAATAATTTTTGAAAGTCATAATTTTTATAATACTGAGTTAACTCTTTGAATGACCACTCTCGTAAGCGAACATATCCCTTATATATGCGGCCACCTTTTAAATTTCCTGTTATAATTGTTTCCCATATAAATTATGTAAAAAAAACTCTCACGTAAGCGACCATCTCTTGTAAGATCCTGAGGTGATCCCGAGGTGGTCACTTACGAGAGTGTTGACTGTACTTGGCACACTTATTCATTTCAGTTCTGCAGCAAACATGTTGCTCACTTTGGTTTTAACCCTGAAAAGGTCTGTTGAACAATCGTTCAAAATGTTCATTAAACAGAGAAGCTAAGACACAAAGAGTACATGAGATTGTAATGAAACAAATGAAGTAATAAATGAATGAAAAAATAAATAAACTGATAAATAAATATAACAATAATAAACATAATGAGATCAATAATATTACCTCTCATACCATAATTATTCAACATATTTCAACATTGTTTATAGTCTTACCTTTACTGTCAAAGTTCGGCCACCAACCCTATCCCTTGCCTCCAAAACAACAACATTGAGACCATATTTTTCTTGTAAAATTTTGGCAGAGCACAGACCTAATGAATTTTACAAACAATTTGAGATTATTTCTAAAATTTACCAAGATGTGAACATAAAGTATTAACTTAATTATAATAACTAATTGTAATAACTATTAAAATAGTGTTGATTGGACAATAGGAAACAAAGGAATCAGAGTGGTTTTCATAAACCCGTGAAACAAAAACTATTAGTTAAAGTGTAATAGTCMGATGACAACAAAAGAAAACAATGGTATTAGGGTGTACTAAAGTGTATTAAACTAAAGTGTATTTCACGGTTTTATGAAAACCACTCTAGCATAACGTTAGCACTGTTATATGCTACTTTTAAATAGTAAAAACAGTATTTTCTAACGCAAAAAAGCCTCACCACTTATCCCTGCACCAATAATAGCCACGTCATACTCTGTGGACATCTTTTGAATAGTTTTCGTGTCCACCTTTAACATGCCGAATCCATGCCGAAGCATTAATTTACAGTCGATTTTCGCTCGGCAATCTAATCGATAACTGTCCGTTCTAAGTCGAGATAGGTGCATTGGGTATTTACTATACACGAATGGCTGTCACCAATGAGAAATGTGGTTCGATGGCTTCAAATGAGGTAAAGTTATCGTTAGAGAGGCTCATGTTATAGCTCAGTAAGACGTTGATAACTGGTGATACGTTCAGACATGCTGAATTTGACGTACCGGCTCTACGGTACAACGCGCGTGTCATTCGTCTCTACACTAAGTCACGTATTAATCCCAGCAACAATATTAGTCATTAGTTTTTTTCCCACTATTTAACGCTCACTTCCGAGTTCTTTTGTGGTAGAGCATTTCTCGAATAGTTGTATAAATAGCATAGGATCTATCTCGGGAAATAGTTACGACAATTGTCTAGTTGCATTGATATGGTAAATCCGTTACTGGAATAGAGGCAAGACAATTCGAAGCAAGATAAACGGATATAGAAAGAATTTATAATCTAGCTTCACGACAATATACTTATCATCGTTGGTCAATATGGAAGGCAATGAGCAACACTGGAAAACTCGTTGTGGGGTTTTAGAAGAACAGTTAGCACGATTCCGAGAACAGGCCGCTAAAGTTCGAGAAGTCATTGGAATCAAGGTAACAATCGAACAGAGTTGCAATTATCTATAATCAAAATCCAAGCAATCTTGATTTTAATGTTTAAAATACATAGTTTTATGTGTTGATTTTTGGAAAATTAAGCTTCCTTTTGAAGGTGTAAAAAGTAATCAAGTGAAGTCAGTCTATGTACAGCTTGACCTTGGAATCTAGTTACAAAATTTACGTTGGAATGTTTGATCCGAATGGTTCGAATGTTGACCAGTGATATTGTCAACAACGGAGGCACTAATAGTTGATTCTCAAGTATAAAGATCAATCATTAGATTGAAAAGTCATCTAAATGGACAGTACATCATGACTGCACAACATCAATGCTCTTAATTTTCATTTTGTACTCGTGTACAAGTCTTAATTGTTGTGTTATTGAGCCACATTGTAGTGGTTATAGCTCTGTTAGTCATGACATGAAACAGTACGATACTTATACAATTAATCGAATTATCATCTCTGAAGTGTAAAAACAAAGGATGAAATTATTCCTCGTCGTATGGAAAGGAAATTGCTCTTTACTTTGAAACCAAAATAAAACACCAGTTTCATTCTCAATTTTCTGCAAGTAGATTGACTTGAAAAATGCTGAAACCAACACAAAAGAACAATATGCTGAGCTACAGGGTTCGATCGTCATGTTGAAACACGAAACTTAAAGAAAACATGTGGTTCTAAGCTCTGTGTCTTTAGTCTGTCTACATGGGAGTTGTTTAGCCGCGTAGTCTGACCACGAGTACATGAAAACACATGTGTATTTAGATCGATGATCAAATTTCAATTAGTAGGTGTAAGAAATGAGGTATTTTATGGAAATGTTTACCGGTCTATTGACAGGCTAATGGCTTCACAAAAGCCTTGTTTATTTAATGGTGTTTTCATAGTAAAAGAGTCGTGTTTRATGTTTTGGAATGAAGGGAATGATGTAGTGATGTGATAAGATCAGTGTTGGTCCCAATGGTCTCCCTGCAGAGTTGTTGCCACTGTTTACTATAATTATTATTCCCCTCTGTAAAATTGCATGTGAAGATGGAGTTTGATATGTACTTCAGGGACTGATGTTCAATTATGCTCAACAATATAGTTTTGCATTTGACAAATATCCAAGTGAATCAAAATTAAAACAAACCAAAACAGTACTATCATATGAATGAAATAATCTTAGAGTTGTATAATATAGAATTCATTGAGCGGATAGCTGTACAAGATGTATCAACGACTGCAAACTAATATAAAGCTCCTAAAGAAACAATATAGTAACATCAGAATTCAATGTGCTCCAAAATTGTCTACTTGGAGTTCAGCTTGTTTGAGTTATGGCTTTTGATTGATAGAGTTCAATGTTCAGTAATTATTTCATGATGTTAGTAAAATGAGGTTAGCAAGATTAGCAGTATATCAGATAAACATGAAATGTTGATATCTGTATTGACAGACATTTTCCATATGTTGAAATAAGTGCATAACTTTATGATTATATTGCAGTTATTTATCAATGTAAAACCATCTAATCTAACTTATAAAATGGGCCATGGTCAACCAGTATAACTTACAAGTTTTTGGTTTATTTTTAAAAGTAAGAATATAATATAATCCATGCTCTATGAGTGGAGGTGTAAGATTCGGACATAAGACCAAGGGATGGCAACAGATTGAAAATGCGTAATTTTCTTTACATGAAAAAATCTAAAACTTGACCACATTGCATGCAGTTTGACTATAATTCTCTCTATCACATTTATTTTGTCATTATTTTTAAAATAAGGAAAAAAGGAAAATGAAAAACAAAACAAAAAATATAATATAAAAACAATGAATTTTCTCATTTTGCCACTGAGTTTCCATAAGTTATCTATTGTTTGTATTTGTCTTGTTTATTGCATGATAGCACATACAGCAAGAAGAAATACCACATGATAGTTATTAACTTTCAAGATAAGGTTATCCTGGATTATTCTTATCTCTGATTGGTTTCGTGTGAAGATTAGAGAAAAGACAGATTTGGGAACTCAGAGTTAGCCTGGGAAAAACCAATGAAGAGAATAAATAGACCAAATTAAACTCCAATTGACTTTGTTAACAGAAATGAACATCCCAGGTCAAATATAATGAATTTTATGACAGCTTTTAAGTGCCAGTGCTTAAGCTATTTTATACTTTGAGATTTTCTTAGTCTACTTTGGCTGTTATCTACTTGTAGTGTAAGTGGTCATTTGACAATGATAATATTTATTTAAAACACCAGAGAAAATGCACTTAAATATAGTCATGATAAAAGGATGTAAAGATTAATAATGTCTAACAGTCAATGCTCAACTATGCAATAATTTTGTACATTTGGTTTGTTGTAGCTGAAAGACTTGGAACAGAAACTTGAAGTTTCAGAATCAAATGTCACTAAAGCAGAATCCATGGTGAGTGTATTATAAGTGTATTATTCCTATTATTTATTACTATTATAATTTAATTTACTTAAACATCTAGCTGTAAAAAACTATTTTTATTAAATCTAGGTTCATGAATTAGAAGAACAAGCAAAATCAAGCGAAGAAGAAGCTCAGAATGCCAATCAACGAGTTAGTATAACTTCATCATTAATGTTTTCAACAGCGTACAAATTTCAACACAAAATGACCTCTCAAATTCCTGATGGTTTTTGAGAGCCATTCCTCAGTCCTCGTGCTTGCATTTTACCAATAAAGCACTGCAATCCATCCTATATTTCTTACATATATTAATAGCAGAAAATTGTGTCTAAACACAGTGTAGTAATTAGCTAATCCTGTACCTGCTTATTTAGGTTAAGCTGTTAGAGGAACAACTCCAGAAAAATCAAGAATTTATGTCAAAACTACAGAGTGACTTGGAATCTGAGGTATGCAATAGGGTTGGCAGCTACAAAGTGTGGGTTTGACCCCAGTAATGATGGTTTTCCTTACACATTTGCCAAGTTGTCAAAGCTGCAAATTAAGGAAATACCTTGTTGAATTGCTTTTCCTTTTATGACTAGAACAGCAAAAAATGATAATTGCACTTGGTGTTGAATATTTATTATGGATAATATGATTGACAAAGAATTGTATAAAATAACTTATTAATAGGTCAATTTTGGTTAATGCTCCTTTTGCATTTCAATTCTTTGAAAAATTGTATTTTTTCAAGGACTAACTCTATGTTTTTTTTCTTGTAATTTAGAAACAAGAAAGAATACTACATGCACAACAAGTGGAGGAAAAGGCTTCAAGTATCAGAGAATGGGTCCAAAATAAAATGAGAGAGGTATCAATGTAATTGTATTTAGATACAATTGATTTTGAAAAGGGAAACCTTATTCAGTATTAGCTGACATATACATGTATAGATAAGTGTTAACTGAGAATAAATGTCATAAACTGAAAGAAATGGATGTGATACATCCTACAGAGTGCAGGAAATGTGCTTTATCGTTTGGTATGTTGTCAATTTGAAAGCTGGTAACATCTGCAAGGAAGCTGCGTGACCATAGTCCGTACCACCAAATAAGCTTAAGCTTTTGTCAAACACATTTCACAGTCATTTTCATTGCAATTTGCAATGAGAGAATATTTACATAATATTTTTCAGTAAAGAATAAAAGAAAATAATGGATTGGCCGGGTAATATCTACTGTAAATATTGCTAATCTTTTATGGTCAAATGAACACCACTCGTCTATGTTTGACAACACTTTATCATTTAATGTGCTTATTTCATGACTGAATAAACAGAATTGTTCTTTCCTAATTATATAAACCCCTATATCTATAATAAATGTTTCTTTGCAATAAATTGCATTTGTTGGTAAATATTGATAAATGAATGATTTGTTTGCAGTTTGAAACCGAATCATCTCAAATGAGGCTGGAGAGTGAACATATGAAAAGAGAGAATGCCAATTTACGTGACGCCAACCAACAAGCAAATTTACTACTCGGTGAACTTAAAGAAAAGCTGTCCTTCAGTCAAGGTACAGACTTTTTTCTAGCTTGGGCTTCCTTTGGTGTACTTGGAGGGGAGGGGTCCTAACTTCCATTGTCAATCTTTGAAGTTTAAGAAGGTCAAATGACAAATGTTTTGATGTTTAATTTTAGAGCAAGTTGTCAGGCTATCTGGAGAGTTATCCAAAAATGAAAGAGGTGATGAGCAAAGTCCTGAGTATCAGGTCTTGGAGTGCCTTGAGATTAACAATGACAAAAAGATTATTTCACCTGATAATCATCATCATAATTCAACATCAGTTGATGACCCAGTCTCCCCGACTTCACTTGAACTACCAGCATCTCCTATGTCAACTACTGGAGACAATCTGTTGGAAGAATGTCAAAATGATATCTGTGATGAAACTCAGGACTCAAATAAACACCTAAATGATGATTCAGAAAATTTGGATGACTCCAAGAAAGATAATTCAGAGACTGCAATTAAGAGAACTTCTAGTGGTAAATCACCATCAAAGATACCTAGATATGTTGGTGAAACTGGAAAACAAGGCCAGCAAACAAACTCAGGGAAGATTTCATACTATATGTCATTGAAACGAGGCAAAGAGAATGATGGAAATGAAGCTAAGTTTTACATTCAAGTACATGATCTGGAAAATGCAAGTCCTTATATGCAACTGGTTCGTCAAGAAAGTAATACGACTATTAATTCTGAGAGGGATAGCTGTATTTCGGATATATATACAAGCCCCTTTCAAACTAACAGAAACTCTGAGGTTTTTCCTGATGAAAACAAACGAAGTATACTAAACAGTGTTTCATCATTGTGTTCTAATGATCCATCAGCTCTGGATGTGAATAAGCTATATGAGGCTTTAGTTCGACCAATACAAGCAAAATGGAAGTCACCTACTAAAACAGACAAATCCAATGATCGTCCACAAAGTCCTCCCCCACCCCTACCCCCTAGGTATCTGGACAATCTAGAAGACACTAAACCTGTACCACCATCACCTAAAAACAATGTTAGCCCAAAAGATGTTGTTAGAACTGAAGGGCAGTTTACCAGTTATTTACCAAGTGAATCGACATTTGATTATGATGCTGATAGTACAGCTCCTAGTCTCCCATCTTGGGTTATGAGTGAGTCAGTCACTTCTCTGGGTAAGCATGCTTCTTGAATGACCCAAGTTTCATTTTCCATGTTGTAATTGGTCTCTTTTTGCTGTGAATAGCGACCGATTCTCCTCCATATGCAACCCTGGAAAGCACAAAAGATTTAATGCTTAAGGTAAAACTACATCACTGAAATAAATAACAGCAGTGGCTATTGGAAGGGATGAATCGTATTAGAAATCTTTTCAAATTTCTTTGATATTTTTTGGTAATTCCTGGAAACTCTATGAATTGGTAACTTATCGTTATTTTTTTTTAGGAACAAGCATGTCCTGTTTATGCTACACTTAAAGGAGTAAGTTTTACAATTTGTTTAATAATATTTCATTTCATGGCGGGGAGCTCAACTTTTACACTTTAAATTGAAACTTTATACTACATTACTTAGTCATCAAGCTTCACAAACCCTCTAGATTGCCTTCACTTAAATACCTGAACACTTCTTCAATCGTTTTGGTTGTACGATAGACTATTTCACGAAAAGACGTTCTCAAGATCCTTCTTGAGCGCGCGCACTGGCTTCTTGGGCTATCAACCAATCAAATTTCTCGTCTGAGATACACCTACTTGCGAAAACGTTGTCATAAAAAAATAGGACATTTGTATTTTAGTAAAAAGAAATAAATTATAAAGACAAAAGAAGGTCACTGAGGCTGAACGCTTTCTTTTGTTTTGTCTTAATTTATTCCTTTTTACTAAATTCGAATGTTCTATTTTCTATGACAACGTTTCTGCAAGTAGGTGTATATTGATTTGTGCTTCAAGGATATTTATTTGGCGCGAATTTCGAAAAGAAACACCTTAATTAAGTCTGCTAATGCTTTTATATTCTATTCTTTTCAGAGGGCATCCCAAATCCGCAATTTTCCATTCAGTGGTGAATCTACGGATTCGTCTGATCACGAGAGCGATTCTGGTCGAGGCGATGATTATCTGAAGCCCGTAGACTCAGATTGTCCACAGGACACACTTGATCGTGTGGATGACAAAAAAGAGAAAGTTTTAAAGACGTGTGCAACTTATACAACCGTTAGCTTAAAAAAGGTAATCATAAACTCTATAACGATGTTTTTCAAGGACTTAAATTATGTTCGTCAATCTAAAACAATTTTGTCACCATTTTTGTAGGGCGATCAAAGGAAGGAAGGGTTTCTGACAAAACTTGGAGGTCGTATCAAGAATTGGAAAAGACGGTGGTTTGTGTTGGAAGATGGCAAGCTTTACTACTACAAAAGTCCTGTAAGTATGCCGGTTTTATGGAACTCTCCACTCTTATTTATCATGATTGCTAACAAACTGCATTAATGATTCACAGACTGATGTTGGCCGTAAACCACTTGGTCAGGTTCCACTGGATGGTTCTTGTCGGATATCAAGAACTGAGGGAGCATTGACTATCGAGGTAATATTTCACTTTTACTCTTGTTTTTTTTCTTTTATAGCCATTTTGATTTGTTAGGGTTTCATTTACAAGTGATTGGTCGCAGTTGATTGTTTTTGATAGAAATGTGTTGCTATTTCAGATTGCCACAGCAAATCGTACTTACTATCTGACAGGAGAAACTTTAGACGAAGTTGACGAATGGTTACGAGGTATAGACAACAATGAGTCATTCATGTTTGATTATTACCCACACTGCACCTAGTGATAATTGCTATTTTAAGAACTAGCTGTTACTCATGCGATCAGTTGTTTGGGTGTAAGTTGTTCTTTACCTTCTTGAGGTATTCTGCGCTCTCATGAAGGTCTAGCAACCTATTATACTTGACAAGAAAAGTGTTATTTGAATAGTGTATGTATAATATATTCCGGGCAGTTTAAGGTTCAATTTGCCCTGTTGGAAATCGGTGAAGATTTCCTTTGCGAAACCTTCTGTTTGTCTTGTAAAGCTTATTGTTGTTGATAATTTTGTTGATTGTCCTTGACTTTGCATTTCAGTTCTTCATAACGTGATGAGAAAGTTTTCGACCAGCCCGCTTCTTGCTCAGATGCCGGAGAAAGAGGTTATGTCAGGATGGATCACTAAGGTACTCAAATACTTCTTGTACAAGTTTTCTTTTAGATTACTGTAATCAAAAAACTAGGAGTGCAGACAGAATGATTTTCAAAACTAAATTCAAACTCGTGACATTCATATACTTGCGAGACACTATAATGTTTCGTTATTACAAGTTATGAATGAAGTCATTCCAGCAAGCTAGCCTTACTGAGAGTACAGTGCCCACCTCAAGCATTAAATTTTGATTTCCTAATAACAGGAAAGGCTGTTTTCTATAGATGCCTCATGCTTTCTTCTGCTTTTAATTGTCTACAATTCTGTTCATTGACTGGGTGCATGGTTTAAATTAACTTGTCAAATCGAAAGCGTGCGTTTTAAGCGTGGCCTCAAAAGGTGGTAACGGTTCGAAAGTATTTTTACAAAGCTGCAAACAAGCCTCAAAAATATCTATTAAGCTTTAACACGTTACTACTCTCTCAACTCCGATTTACACTACAAGGCATTCGTGGGAGGGCGTTGCATTGCCACGTTTCCGTCTGGCGGTTTCTAAATAATAACAGTAGAATCCACATGGAACTTTACGTGTACGTAAGTAATCATCAAACGTAACCGCAGACAATTAGCTTCATATTGGATTTCTTGCGCTTAGTCATCGATGAGGCTCATTCATAATGGCACTCTTCAAAACATTTATATAACTTTTATCAGATATTTATGTTAACCAACTGAAACGTTTTTGGTAATACCCAAGAATGTTGCTTTTTACAACACCAGGACGCGATAAGTTGTGGCTTTTTGCACCGGAAGGAAATAGACTTTTTGTTTTGTCGAGATCATCTGTATGAAAGATGGGAAGGTCAATTTATGCAGACCGCACATTTTTAATATCGATTATATCGAGATGTAATACTACGCTAATGTAATTATCCACTTGTTTCGGGATTTTGAACATCCATATAAGAAATAAATAACTAAACTTAACATGGCCTTTATTTTCGTAGGTAAAGAATGGATTATCCAAGAGAAGTTGGTGTGTCCTACGTGGAAAATACCTGTGTTATTACAAGAATAAAACCGATGCGGTGAGAATGTGAATTTATCATTAGGTTGAAGAATTAATAGAGCGTAATCAAGAACGTAAATAGTGCTAATTGCGGTATAGTCGTAAGGCTAAAATCTGAAACTGAACGTTTCATGCGATTTTTGAAAGTTGGAGCAAACATGTCGTTACTTTTTCATTGTCAAAATAAACAGGAGGAAGTTTGAATTAAGTTTATAGGTCTTTATAAATGGCTGTTCTTTGTGTAGGTACCATACAGCATGGCTAATCTAATGGAGATAGTAGTAGAAGAACTAGAAACTGCAGATTCTGATGAAGAAAGAGAGCAAGCCGTAAATTCCTACAGACATTTTACTCTGGTTCTCAAGGGAGGAAAGCAATCAAGTCCGACGTATTTATTGATAGATAGCAAAGCTGAAAAGGTATGTTATGGAATTTCAGATTAATCGTTTTAATTGTTTATTTATTCATTTCGTTGTGTTTATTATATCTTTTTAATTTGTATTTTTTTTAAATAGAATAATTACATTAACATAGCTTTAATTTTTCGAAATGTGGTCGTAAAGCCAATGCAGTGTCTTCATAGAGAAAGCCAGTCGAGTGCTCAAAGGCCTTGTTGAAAAACAAGCATAATAAACAATATGATACTTACCTAGTATCCTTGTTATCTCGTAGGACCTGTGGATGTTTCATTTGGTTGTCTCGTCTGGAAGTGGACTGGGTAACAAAGGAACAGACTTCGAGAAGCTGGCAGCGAAATTAGTTATGCTAAACGGTGATCCAGGTAATGTAGAAAAAGCGTTGATTTTACTTTTGATAATATAAGAAGTATTTCTAATCATCAGTTTTCCAATGTAGAAAGTGACTTATGGAATCAGCCATTAATGACGTTCACCAAAGAAGCCTTGACAAAACCCCTCACAACTTTACCTTCACTAGAATTAGAAGAAGAAGCACTCAAGTTATTCAAGGTGCGGTTGACTCACATGCAGATTTTTACTTTCAATTATCAAAGGTCCACGTGCGTCCGAGAACTTTTGCGCGATTTTCTAACATACGAAAATTCGCCATCTTTGATTTTGAACCAATCAGAAAGCACCTTTCGTCATGAGGTTGTATGTAAATCACGTGAGGTTGTATGTAAATCACGTACTTACATGGCCGAGGGTAGTCATGGTAGTGCCTCATTTCTCATTCACTTCGCCTATTTTATGCTGAAAACGTCTCTTATTGTTTTATTTTCGTTTTCCAGTCCATTCTTTTGTTTACCACCGTCGCCACTGATGAGGCAGCCATCGATTATCACGTGTCTTTGGCCCAGAATGCCTTGCAAATCGTACTCGATCATCCCGAGTTGCAGAATGAGATGTACTGTATGTTGGTCAAACAAACATCCAAACAAATTCATAGAGGACCCGAAGATCTAGGGGTGAGTAGTAAAGATAAGGAAGGGTTGAAATCCTTGTTGTCTTTGGAGTAATAATATAGCAAATGCGTCCAGATACTGCTGTTTGATGGTAAATACTTTAAGTATTATTCAAACTTTTTATGAAGTCGAGCTTTCGCTGTTCCACAGCATCATCATAAAAGTTCTCCAGATAAACTTGTTTCCTTTGGTATCAACACTTGGTACCAAGTATTGTTTTCGGAAAAATCTTCCCGACATTTTGAGATAACAAATTTATTCTTTTAATAACCTTATTTTTGAAGATGAGTAAGAGCGGGATAATTTAGGAATTTCCTTCCACTATAGTTTTCATTGTATATTTTCAAATGTTTTTTTCATCGCAGCATTTTCTGATGAACTGTGCTGGTAAGCGATCGTGGCTTCGAGCGGATTCGTCGGCCATTGAAGATACCATTGATCTTCGTCCAGTGCAGGAGTTTGTTTACCTCCAATCTTGGCAGCTTTTAGCTATGTGTACTTCACTATTTGTTCCTAAACAACAACTGCTGTCTTTTGTCAAAGCCCACTTGGAGAGATCGTGTAGTCTGAAGTAAGTTGCGCATGTGCAATATTTCCTTTTGCGTGCGTCTAAATCCCACATGGAACAGCGAACAGAGCAAAAGATCCACATTGCTAATTTGAAGACGTTAGAAAACAAAACTGAACTGAATGAAACTGGTAAAAATCTAGTGTTACATGTAAGAGAGACATTTAAGTATTGCATATTTGTATTAATTGTTGATTTTTCTCTCGTAGAACTCGTCAGGGCAAGTACGCTGCTTACTGTGCACGTAGTTTAGATAGAACGTTAGCCAATGGGAAAAGAGAGGCCAGGCCATCAAGAATGGAGGTACATAACCAATCAAACATAAGTCACTTACAGAACAATGTCAACTAATTTTATGTTATTGTGTTACTCAGGTGATATCAGTACTTCTACAGAACCCCTACGACCATATTCATCACATGAACTTGGCTGTGCATTTCGTTGACGGAAGGTCACATGTAAGTGACATTCTGAGATGTTAGGGTGCTTTTAAAAATATCGCAGCCGAGCGCAAAAACGTAGTATTTCGGTCAGAATTTCGATGTTCGCTTATATACCTCCTTTTGGCGCGCGCGCACGATATAATTTTAAAAGCGCCCGCGCATCTCCGATATCGTTTCTTTCTACTCTAGCTTTCATAATTAATGATCGTTTGCTTACATGTCCTGCTGTTCCAGGTCTTTGGATTTGATTGTTCAACGACTGTTGAAGAATTCATCGAAACCATAAATTCTGTATGTATTGAGTATTTATCCTTCCCTGTTTATTATTGCGTACTTGTTTTTTATTATGCGAATCTCTTTTTTTCCTTTTTGTAGAATCTCGGTATCCGCGGTTCATCTGAGAGTGGGTACGCCATTTTTACAGATAACCCAGTTTCCCCTGTTGAACATTGTTTACAAGCAAGCGTCAAGGTAACATAGTGAAATAGAGCGGATTTCGTATGAGTGGGACACCGTTACCGCACGGTTACCGCACAGTTACCGGACCTGGCCTGCAAAATTTTGGCGAACCAAGGGGGCACTAGAATTTGGTTACAGTACGATTACGGTCACAGTACAGTACCGTCCGTTTCCCACTCATACGAAATCCGCTCTAGTAAAATATTCATTTCGCCGGTTCACGGGTTGACGTCGAACCTGACGAATATCTAATACACACATTTATCTGTGTTTATTTTTAGCTTTGTGACGTCATATCCAAGTGGGAACAGGCCATGCGCAGTAACTGCAAGGGGAGACTGGATACTAGTAGAATAATCAAATTGTCTTATAAGAATCGGCTTTACTTCAAAAGTCTTCAAGCCAGAGAAAGTCCTAAAGAGAAATACTTTATGGTTTTTCAGGTAGGCTGATTTGGGCTTCCTGTTGGTATTTATAGCACAGGGTTACCGAATATTCTTCTAATGCGATCTCCTTTTGTTTTAAATAGACAAATCTCAACGTGGTGAAGGGTAGATTCCCAGTTAATAAAGATATGGCGATTGAATTTGCAGCTTTGATGGCTCAGGTAGGTACAATGACTTACTTTTGGTATCATACAAAAGTGTTGGTGCGGGAATTGGTGCAACAACAACGAAAGTCAAAAGTGGACTCGAGGCAACGTTTATTTATAATTGTCCAGATTTGTTGTGCAGTCTCTTAGGGGTTAAAAATCAGTCAGTCACGAACTTTTTCAAGACTTCAAGGATCTTTTAGGGGTCGTTTTGAAAAATTTCGACGAGTATTCCCGGAACTTTCACATCGGAGTACCTCCCGGGGAGTGTGCGCAGAGTTTCAACTGATTTTGACGACGTTCTTATCAGTTACTGTATTTGTTATAGATACAGTATGGCGACTACAGAGCTCACAGCAACTCGTTACCAAGTAAACGAATAGAAAACGTCATTGCGAAACACTTCCCAAAGCACATACGAGATTGTAGCGACAGCGAGAAAAGGTCTCTGACATTAAAAATGGCGGAGAAGTGGTCAACGTACCATGGATGGAGCGTACGGGAGAGTGTAGACAAGTACATGGAGAATGCCAAGCGATGGCCATTCTTCGGTAGCAAGCTGTTCAAAGCAAAGGTTTGTCAAACTGTTATTTTGTTCATTATCGCGCAATGTTTTGCATGGAATTGTGTTGTATCCCATCATAATGTGTCATGTCGTATAAAAATGTTGGTCTACGGCTACGGCTTTGTCGGGCTTTCTCGGAGGGACAGGAAGTCCGACAAAGGGTAGGCTGTAAAGGTGACTAGCTATGGACTTCATCGTGATGTATGCTTTATTTGTTTACAGCAACGAGAGACAACATCATCGTCCATTAAAGGTCGAAGACCTTCGTCTGCATCAAACACGCAGCCAGTTTGGTTAGCGGTGGAAGAAGATAGCATAAGCATACTGGAAGGAGATACTCTAGTAAGAATTTCCCTGCCCTGATTATTGTCGTCCTAGCCTGCGTAGCGGCTCTAGGGGAGGGGGGAAGGAGGGGACCACCCCCTCCCCTTCTGTTTTCCCCTTCCCCCCTCCCCTAGAGCCGCTACGCAGGCTATTGTCGCCCTTAATGTGTAGCTATCCAACTATTCTGCTGTCATCGCAAAAACATTGCACTCATATATTTACTTCTTCACTTTGAAAATACAAAATGAAACTTAAAGCTAGCAATAATGTTATAACATATTGTAGAGGAAGCTCGAAATGATAACACCATGAAGTATTATTTCCTGATCCTACATACATTGTCTTTCAGCGCCTAATGTGTCGATATAAATACAATCATGTAGTAACGTTTGGTGGTTGTAAAGACGACTTTATGCTCGTAGTCAACCAATCCATTATGCGGGGAGGGAGCACAATCGAACAAGGAACACAGAGGTTGTTATTTAACATGGCAAGAGGCAAGGTCAGTACAATGCAGGGACAGTTAATTAACAAAAAACATTACTGCACGATACGTGACGTCAGTGTGCTATATGAAACATTGTTGTACGGCGTGTATTGTTGCACGGTGTGACGCCAGAGTGCAATATGAAACATTGTTGCACGGTGTGACGTCAGAGTGCAATATGAAACATTGTTGCACGATACGTGACATCAGGGTGCAATATGAAACATTATGACACGGCGTGTGACGTCAGAGTGCAATGATGAAACATTGTTGCACGGTGTGTGACGTCAGAGTGCAATGATGAAACATTGTTGTACGGTGTGACGTCAGAGTCAAATATGAAAAATTATTGACGAAGAATTGACTGATAGCCATCAGCCAATCAAAAACAAGTGTATAATTCGAATAAACATTAATATATTTTGTTTTCTAGATTCTCGAACTTACATTGCTGATGGCCAGTTATATTAACGCAATTGTGAGGCAGAAGGGGATCACGTGCGATGTTACACCAATCACAGGCCACCAACCCAACAAAGGATCACTCGAAATGAGGGTGTGGGACCTGGAAAGTGCTGAATGGCCCATTGTACCAGGCTCCAACGTAGGACTCTTGTAATTCGTTAAATATATTTGTAAATATCGTTAACATTGTAGTTTACTGGTAAAAATGGTCAGTTATGGGAGTAGCTTTTAATTGTGAAAAAGGATGACACAGTACAAAAATATGATAAACACGAAATTAAGTTAAGTTGGGTTATACTAGATATTTTTTTATTTCACTTTAGTCATATTAAGTGTTTTCACGAGGATAAGGAACTATTCTCGAAAGCTATTGTAGTTTGGTAGTAAAGCCTTATTCGTTTTTCTTCCGCAACATAAGAACATCTGAAGAATACTGATTAATTTTTATCAATAGTGCGGTACTTTAATACTAATATAACTTGTGTTAATTTCTGTAGAGCATTCTGTAATATAGTTAACATACCAATACGTAGTATTGGTATTCGATTTTCGACGTATTTGTCCTTATAGTTGAGTTCTTAAAAATAGAATAGACCTGATAGAATAAGTTTAAATTGTAAGGTATGTTATTAGTGTATATAATTTTCCTTTTCTCCTTCTTTTTCTTTTTTCATATTTTCATTTCTCAATTTTTTTTCAAATTTTAAAACGTTTTCCGAATCAAGAAAAATAAATTCATTTAGTGATTATGCAAACCATTAAATTATGATAGTAATTTATATCATTAATTATGCATTGTTTGAACCACAAGCTATACAACTTTATCGCATTGATTTTAAATGATCTGTATATATTACAAATTCGACAGACTAAATGCAATAAACCTCAGGTGTAAAACAAGTCTCTAAATACAGTATGAGGTAGATATGATATATTAGTGTAAAAAACAAATTATCATTGTTCTACACTGGGGGTTTACTGCATTTAATCTAAATGCAAATAATAACGAGAAAACRTAGGTATAGTTTAAAATAACGGCGTAAAACGTCTAAAGTTTAGTTATGACATTAAAAGTAATTAAATATATAGTTTTGTCATTTGTTTGCTCATGTTTGTTGTTGCTTTATAATTAAAAAAGGAAGAAAATAATAAATATGGACTCTACGTGAATCAGTTCTGCTTTGAAACAAGTAATTAAATTGGCAACATTTTAGCGACAAAATCAAAAACGTTTTGTAATTCTATTCTGATAGATACAGCTAACGTCGAATTTTCATCGGGTTTGATTCCCGTCAATTTTGACAGTGGCGCCAAAATGTTCACTTTATCTCGTCCTAGAGAAGAAAATTTCACGCTTTTTCAATCCTTTTTCATGCTCGCGGATCGTGAATATTTCGTCTCTCTGAAGACGGCTATTTGTAGCGTCTTTTCAACTAGATTTACAGTTAAGATGTGATATACAACAGAATTTTTTGATTGACATATATTCTGAATAAATCTACTAGTAATAAATCAAAAGTTAATGAAAACCTGGTCAATTAAAAATTTGAATGAAAAAGACAAGTTGAAGAGAGAAAAAAAATCGTCATAAATTATTGACAACTTGTTTCAAAATTAAACGGTTTTTTGATACCATTTTCCACGCTAAGGACGAAAGATTTGGCAACGGGAACAGATTTGTCGAAAACACATCAAATCACTGAAAACCGAATTAGACGAATTAAATTTATCTACTGTAAGAAAGCTGCAAAACTGACGTGAGTAAAAATGGAAATACCTATGAAATACCCTTTCGTCCTTAGTGCGACAAGGGCCGGTGTCGCATGCACCTCTCGCGCGACCTACTAACATATTTCCGACATTAAGAACTTAAAGTGAGAACTTGCTAGATTATTTAATAAGATCTTAAATGGATGAAATGTCCCATGCAGATAATTCAATTTAGTATTCATATGCTCAATTAATTATTCTTGCTTGTTCAATACTCTGCTGATTCTATTCATTTTCAATGATACTGTCAATCGGTTATCTAAATATATCACTTTAAATCAGTTTTGTGGCGTTTTTCAGACGTTCAATTTGAATTTCATCTCTTCTTCTCTTATCCCAAACTTCGCGGGAGAGCTCAGGTTGTGTGTTTTTCAAACTCTGTCATCAGTGAAAGCCGGTGTCACTCGACATCGTAGTATTCAAGTAAGCAAGTGAATTTTCCACTGTCCTGTCGTAAAATAAAGAAATATTGTTTTCAATTTAGGAACCACAAAGTCGAAATGTTTGCGAAATTTAAAATGAACTATTTGACGAGGAGTTTTTAATAATAAAAATCCCAATTCAATTGACGTTAGACAAACACTATCCGTGAATTAATTATCACTGTCTCGTGTGGAAAAACGTTTGACTGCTTGTACAACCAAGGAACAACCGTTGAAGTAGTATTCACCAGTGAAGTTAACCATGATGAACGGATCTCCGGGTGAATGGGAGCCTGCATGGGAAAGATCAAACGATCTCGATCGCGACAGACATGCCAAGTTTTACGTCTAATTAATTCAAAAGTAATGAAATGCAAAAATTATACAACATCAGTCGGCAAACCACGGCTATACACACTGTACCAGTACGTCGTCGGCTGCTTGAATCGTATGCAAACCCACTCCATTCATCAACTAGACTTTATTACATTGTTATCAACTATAAGGCCTATTTAAGGGTAAGTGTAGAATTCATGGGATTTAAACCATTGTACAATCCCGCTTAGTTTTCATTACATATCACAATCCTTTGATGCTAATGCTTTTGAGAAAAAAAGCTTTTCTTATTGTGAAATCAAACGGGTTCTTTTCGAGGCGCAGACTGTGAAAAAAGAACTAGCAGACTTGGTCTTGACCTGTTTGTGTTTTTCTTTTCCGAAAGTGCTGCACTTGTTTATTTTATGTATTATGAAATATCACACTAGTGCTTTAAAAATGCACAACTCGATTGATTAAGTGTGGTGAAATTTAACGATACTGAATCATTAAAACTCACAACTATCAACCCCTCTACTACCAATGACCCACGAATATGTATAATTTGACATGAGAAATTTCAATATTTACGATCAAAATTAGTCCATGTCGACTTCGGCACATGGTTGGGAAAGCCACCGATCATTTCGCTGTACTCAGCTTTCTTAGGAACAAACCCTTTCCACTGCGCCCCTCAGATTTCAAAAAGTCACTCGTGGAATGCTCTGGGCGAGGCAATTGTATCCATAAACCAAGACAGCAGATAAAGTGGAATTTCCCGTGCTTTACAGGGAAATTTACCGAGAGACGGCATTTCCCGCTAGGCACGACAGGTGTTTCGACCAACGATAAAAACTCTGAGTATTTCTCTTGGATTTTGTCCGGTTGGTGCGAATATCTTTGAATACAAAATAAGTACATCAATTGTACACTTTAAAGAACAAATTACTGGGATCTTTTGTTTATTTGCCAAGTTCATTTAGGACTTGTGCCTTAGACACTTGACTAGCTTTGCTGATAATCCAGGGCTATACTGATAATATTCAAGTAAACTAACACAAATTCGTGAGCGAAAAAATGAGCATATCAATAAGCGATATTGATGTCCTGACTCTGGGACACAATAACACGCTTAAAGTAAATTTGTTTTGATACATTTCAGTGCATTTTCTCCGTTGGAAGTTTAAAATGGCAGTCTTTTTCAGGTTCAAATGCAAATATCTCAAAGAAATGATGCGAACTCCAACTTTCCAGCGTCTGTGCCGAGTTCAATTAAACATTCTCTCGACCCAGTTATGAAATATTTAATGAATAAAGTCAAGTAAAGTAAGTTAAAATGAGGCAAATTCTCAGTCTGGCCACAAGTAAAGGTCTCTGCTTTGTTGAGAATCCGGAAATCCTACACGGTCTCCGATTGGTCAATGGACAAAATACGGGCAGGTGTGTTGACAAGTTATTGACACTTGAAACAATGGGAAGCCCGCTGAATGGCTCGGAAGCCAATCAAATGTCGATTTGAACCCGAGGCGGTGTCGAGATCCAGTAAGCAGTCCTTAGTGTCTTGTAAGCCATCTGGTGTTACAGCGGTCAAACTACCCCGATTACTAGTGTATAACTAGGGATGGGAAACGCGAAGCGTCTGAACTTGTTAATGTTGTGAATATATTGTAATGGCCGAGATCACGGGATTCTTTCAATGGCGCACACTTGAACCATTCGGTTTAATGATGGTTGATGGCTTTGATTAGCAAGATTAGTGTCTCAAGACAACAAGGTCGAGAAAAAGATCGATTTATGATTAACAAACACTTAGATTGTGCCGAACGTGGAGAATTCCTGCCATTTGACAGTGTGTTTGTTAGTGTATGTATTGTTGCTATTTAAAATGTCTTGTCAGTACACTATGATAGATTGACGATTTGTCGCTTACCATGTCTGTGCTCTGTAGGACACTTTTACTCTGTCGTCGATGAAAAAGCTGTTAATCGCTTGCTAACCTCTTGCATTTTGTTCATTTAGGATAAGCTGTCGTATCAGGCCATGTGAAATGACTGCTATCTTGTCAAACACGAATTTGTACGCTTCTTTCACGATGGAAGATCAATGTTTGGTTGACGGCTTCTTGACGGATGACTGGGAGAATACAACGGATGAATTAACTTTTCTGTGTAACAAGTCGTCAGAGCAAGGTAACAAAGTATTCCACAGTTTATTGTTACAATTGAGCCCACAGTTTGAGGCTAATATTCATTGATATAATAAATATACAGGTTTTGTTGTGATTGACCGTTTAACTCGATCAGCGCCTTGTAAATAAATCCACCCGCAGCAGCATTCATACAAATTATTATTATTTGTCGACTATTTTCAAAGTCAAAGGTTGAAAGGTAAACACCAAGCAAAAAGCGATTGTTTTGAGGTTTGTTTTGCCTTTGTTTTAACTGATTTTTTGTGTCTTTAGACGATTTTCCCGCCAAAGCAGAGAAGCCTTTTTTAGGGATAAAACGAACAATAACGTCCACGGGGCAAGAAGTATTACAACAAGATGATAGGAATTCATATTGTAACCCAACTAGACAAGGCTTTACCAATGCATCCAACGAGTCACAACAAGAGGGGAAATTCCTAATCCAAGTATCATTTGAAAAACTACGACGAGTGGAGGATCACGAATCTTGTTTGAGACGATCAGTGCTCATAAACAACACTTTAAAGCTCGTTCATAGTGAAATATATGGAGTCAAAAGCCCTTTTGGATTGACAAGTGCTCTGTCAACGAATTTAGATACGGATATCTTGAGTAATACGGCATTACCGCCGCCAAGAAAGAGAAGAAAACGGTATTTAAACGACACAAATCCAGACGCGTGCCCATGTCGGCGGAAATCTAATGATGCAGATAATTTTGTACAAAATTGTGAACGTTGTACACTTTCCCAAGTGTTGAACGAGGAACTAGAGGATGATGTTTTTCAAAGCGAATGTTTACATTTAGATAAGGAACCTTCAATATTTAGCGAACTGGACAGTGTATTTCACAGCTTTGTTTGTGCACTGGAGACATAAATACCGCTAAGATAAATCATACAAATCTAACGTGATGAAGCCTTTATCTGATATTGGCTATTCAAACTGATTGATGCGGTTAGTAAATCGCGTTTATACAATTCAAACGATACTTATAGCCTAAAAATACTGCAGTATATTATGATTCGATAAACTCAAGCCATTCAGTGATGATTTGCATACTCAGATGTCAAATACAATATGCAAATACGCCAAGCATATTGACAACAGAGAATTTTAAAGTATATTATAACTGATTTTCCACAATATCCAATGAAGCAAAATAAAAAAAATATACATTTAAGATTGTTCGACTTTTATCATTTGACTTTGATTGCACTTGTTTTTTAACATTTACATTGCCCTTTAGCATTTTTTGGGTGGAAAGTGGGTGTGATTGCCACTGATGAATTGAAAYTTTAGGGTCATGTTACATTTAACTGGAAAAAAGCCCTACAATTTGTTTGACTGAAGCAATAAAAAATAACACAAAACTATTTAACTAGCTAAGGATACAAAATATTTACATGTAAAAGAAAAAACATTTCTTGCAAATATTGATTTGTTGTTTAGGTAGTTGACCGACCCTCAGGCATGCCATAACTGATAAACATGAATAATGAATGTTTGCTTTTTTATTACGATTAGAAAAGATTATTTCATGTTCCTGATGCCGCCTAAAAATTGGGATTTGTTTGTGGCTGCCCAAAACCATCACAAAATGAACAGTCATCACTATTGTTATAGACTTTTCAAGTGTTGTTTCCAAGAGTCCATATAAATGCAAATCATGTCAAATTATGAAAATGATTTTCTTAATATCCCAGCAACAGATTTTTTACCATGAATTAAAAATAATAGAAACAATACAGTTATAAAGACTGTACTCTAAGTAAAGCTCCTCGCAGATTATCAGTACAAATTTTTACAATTCTCTTTGTTGTATTTATAGGTTCAATGCGACGGTGCTGTTTGTTCATTTTTGATGGTTTGCTTTCAACCTAATACGCATTGCTATAGCAACATAAAGTAAACATCCCTGGGACTGTTTTTTCTCAAAACTCTTTTTTGATAAGCTTTAGTAAATAATAGTAAATTTGTTTAACTCAACTTTCATGCAAAGAAATTTTTTCTGAGATCACAACTAGAGTTTTGACAAATATGATTTTTTCGTTCAAGTTTCTGAAATATCAAACTGCCTATATGCTATATCCTTGAATAATGGATCTTATAGACCAATCCCACATTTGCTTGGGCGAACACGAAACAATGGCTTCATTCCAAGGCTTTATCTCCAGCGTCGAAATGAAGCCATTGTTCCATGTTCATACAAGTGAATTTGGGATTGGTCTATTTAGTGAATATTTCAGAAAAAGATTGCATCCTTTGTTTTTGAGGGGTTTTAACTGGTTCTGGTTCAGTAATAACAAATAAAAGACATTAAATGAAGAAACAATTTTTCAGTTATCAATAAAAATGATCATGGAGAGATCAGAATGGAGCCATCAAACTCAATAAAGCTGACTAATTAAATCAATGCCATAACACCATATAAACATTATTACCAGCTACTTTATTGCTCACTTCTTATCATCAGGTGTCATAGGTAGATATCCACCTGCTAATAACAATATAAGATAAAGGGATTGAATAAAATGCTTCAAAGAAGTTTGATAATTATTTTTTCATTGAGGTGACAATACCAATCAACGCCCTTTAGCTATGCTTACAGAAAGCCATCTGGTCAGCTTTTGAAAAGAAAACGTTGTTCATATTTCCAAATATATATTGATGTGGCTCTAAGCTCATAGCTACCTTAAAAATCCACAGGGATTGGTGGGTTGATCCACTGGAAATTAGCACATTTTCTAGGACGGATAGATAGAAATTCCTCCAGGCATAATTTTCAAGACCCAGCTAAACAGATAAGTTGCAAAATAATAATGATAATGAAGATGATAATAAAAGCCAATCATTGTTTTCTCACTTTAAGTCCAAAACAACACTGATAAGAGCTATTTCCTCTTTCCCCTCCCCCTAAAAACAATAAAAAAAAACAGTACTTCAATGTACTCAGTAAGTAATAATATTATATCTATATAAGCAATTTTTCGCATTGGAAATGTATCATTTCATTATTTCAATTACACTCTCCATACATTGGATTCATACATAAAGCCATGGAGAAAAGGAAAGTGGAAGCGACATGTGTCATCCATATGCACCTCATGGTACGAGGAAAAAAGATCATGTGCATATCATATACAGATCTTTTTTATTTTGACAAAGGATACTTCTAGGTAGGTTTTTAACGGTATTGAATAAATATCAAATAAATGATAAATGAATGAATGAACAAATGAAACAAAAATTATAGGTTGAACAAGCGAATGGATGAGCAACTGCATGAATTGATATTGGCAATGAAATTCTGTCAGATAATTCAGCTTCGTTTGTTAAAATGGAAAAGACGCAGCTTTTTCTGTCCCAATTTAATAACTAGAAAACTTACATGACTACTTATTTTGTTTTATCTTTTGGTTTTGAAGACATTCGTATATGTATCACTTAATAAACAACACAGGATAAAGTGTCACTGCACTGTTTAAAGCAATATTGCTATCTACTGCTGATTCATTCTGCGATGGTACTTAGGGTATCACTATCATCATAACAAACAATATTGTATTTAGTCTGGCAATAAATCTCATCCATACTTCTGCCTTTTTGTGAAGTCTTTATGTTAATTGTTTTCTGCCCGTAAGGAAATGAAAAACAGACTTTGGATAATGGTATCACATAAACGTTAATACATGTTGAAGTTTTAAAGAAATGTTTACCTTCAGATGTAATCACCGTAGAACTAAAATTGACCAAAATTCACAGCATTAAATATCCCCTTGTTTTCATCATGCAGCAATTTAGCAGGGGAACTTGTTTTTGAGAACCAGTTGGAATACAAAATCAAATTAAAATTTCTCCATAGGAAAGTTCAGTCCTGCATGTCTGGTCTTGAATTTGGGCAATTTGAAAACAAGGGCTTAAATTAGACATTTTTGTATCTTGCAGTAACACATTCTGATAATTAACTTAAAACATCAACACTAAAAATTAAATCAAAGAAACAACTGTTATCAAATTTACTTTCTTTAATGAACAATATTTGTATCCATTAGTAAATATGCATAGTTTTGATAAAAAATGAGATCTGTCTTTACAAATATTACCTTTTTACAACAAGAATAACAATGTAAAAATCTAAGCGGCAGCGTGCAGYCATATTTCCAAAATGCCAAATTTTGGCCAGTAAATGCTGTACATCAAGTTTCAATAGATTGTTATTAGCTATATATTTTACAATATCTATACAATATTAAGTTTAAAAAATTCTCAATTTCTACATAACTTGTCTACAATATYTTAGGGATAAATAAACTATATTTTTTCGTCTATTTTAAATGCTGTAAGTTCGTATTTTGATGCAAAAAACTCGCACCTATAYGCTGACCATTTTCAAAGTCATAAAATATTTATTAACATGAACGACTAGCTTTTTGAAATATAAATAATGTCTCTCATCTTTTTAGCATATGAAAACAAAGAAAAAGAGGAGTTTTTTTAAATGAAGTTTTGAAAAAAGTAMCGAAAAACATGAGAAAAAAATGTGTGCTCATTACAGATGAGGGTACAACTTCAAAGCAAAGCCGGCTTGAATCCATTCAAATSCCATAAGCGAGCGAAAAGTTGCATTTTTGAAAAAACTATCGGGAGATATCTCGCATTTTAAACTGAAATAAACTTTAACTAAGAGCCCACGAGGATTTGCATGACTTGGTCCAAGTCGTCTTCTGTCACAGGCCTTTCTTTTTTSAAGCTACTGCCGCATCGTGTTGTTAAAGTGCCCGCGAGTCCCCAGGCAGCACACAGCTCTTCTACTTCCAAAGGCAAAGTAGTTGCTCCACATGAATCAAAATCATATAATGACAAATCTACGTCTCCAAATTCGAGTTCATCTGTTAATTCAAGTCCTAAAAGTGAGCTGCAACTCACGGTCTCTCGGTCCGATTCGCCGGTTCTTTCGTTGCTTGCATTGTTGTTTGTGTCCGTCACATCGGAACAAGTTGTGATTCTAGATTTTCGCTCACAGTTCCTGACACTYAAGTCAAGTCCAAGCTCACGAACTATCTTATCCCCAAGTAAGTTTAGCTCTTCTTCAAAATTCATTAAATCCAAAGGTTTAGCGGCCGAATCGCTAGTTCGTTGAGTTAAAAGGTTTCGACCATCGTGCTCAATTCGGGCGCCAAAGTTTTCATCGGACGAARTCGAAGTTGAATATGGAGGGATTTGTCCTCTCTCTTCAGCCATATCCTCCTCAATCATCCTTATTGTATTCGCAATAAGAACAGTCTTACTAAGCAATGGTTCTCCACTGCAGTAGTTTTTCCGAAGCTTGCAGACAGAGATATTAAATATAGTTTGGCGTTGGTAGCAACGGGTCTGCAGGTCTCCGTCCACATCGCTTAATTTCCGTTTAACACCGTGTCCACGATCTTCTATCATCCTAAAATCACAATATTAACAACCTGAGTTTGCACTCTAGCGTGAAGAGGGATTATAAAGGGCATTTTTTGCACAAAATGAGGTAGAACATCTATCAAAGACGAGCGCTGGCTGTCATAAAGTCGTGTGTTTTCGAAGCACAACTTCATTGTGTTCCGTACTTTGCGGGAACATTACGCCAATCCGTACAATCAAACACAAACTTTCTTACAAAGTTACTGGTATCAAAGTAATGAAAACTTATTCTCAAAAGATCAGACACACAAAAGATAAGTCAAGTTATGGTAACAGGTAGTTTTTCCTTCAGCCCTCACCAGTAAACAAGATAAACTTACCGATAAGTTAGTTAAGATATCTTGCCAAATTAGTTAGCCAACAATTTCTCAATTCTGCACCTCAACGCATTGAATCTTCAGCAAGCCTTAGCAGACTCCTTGCTAAATGTCAGTGTTGTAATGAAGACACAAATCGAAAGTAAAACTTCAGCAATAAATTTTCCTCGCTTCTCGAATGTTCAATCGCAACAATAACCCGATGGGGCAAATCGACTTACCGTGACCTGACACACGCCACTCAAATTACGTCACGAACCAAATTTGGGCGTGTTGAGACAGGTACCTTTTAACAACGCCACCATATTTGGATATGATTGACATTTCGATCTACACTTCCGGTACTTGATCAATCTAGCGTGACTAGTAAATGACATTTGTTTCTGTGGGGGAGAGGGTAATCAATTGTTTTGATGGTAATAACCGGAAGTGTCAGGCACGGTAAGTGGGAAGAGTGAAAAAAGTCACGTTTTCCTTCGTCTCATTTTATAAGTCGTAGTTTTTAATCCCCTTTGAGAAATATCTACTAACTGCGTGGATACTGTTCCAAAGAAAAAGCCTACTAGAAAAAAATACTACCGTATTTTTGCTTAAAAGCAAAAGGGAACATATCGAAAAGTTTGTTCGATATTCATGCGATTTGGTGTAAATTATCTCCAAGTATGTTTATCAGTAAATTACTAAAAGAACCAATTCGCCTCTATGTGATGTAGATAAGAATATATATCTGATGTAGATAGGAATATATGCCGTTGCAAGCAAGTGTATACATTTAACAGGTGCATCGCCTCACCAGCTGCGACTTTATTGCAATCGAAGTAAAAAAAAAAAAAATCTCTACACAAATGTGTATTTTCATTTTACATATGAAGAAAATACTTCAGCATTCGCTTGAAATTTATCACGAAATCGTTGAAAAGCACAGATTAGTATAAACACGATCCAAACTCAACGARGAATACAGATTGATGTCAGTCCAATAAGACATCGCAAGGGAATATCCCTCACAAAAGGAAGACCATGACGAAGTTATGAAACTATGAACAAAACAGGAAGGGTGAGCCACTTCATCTTCCCCCGCGCAAACTGCATTCCAATGGCTTCCAAAGTTGTCACGCGATATTCGTTTTCCGTCACGACATCACTGAGGATATGAATGGATCATAATAAAAAGACTGATCTTTTCATGTTTCTAGACCATGGTTTCAAGAAGATTATTGGCTCAAGGTTTTTATTACTTATTGTAATGATCTAGAAGATAGATAGACGCACTATGAATTACGACAGTGACTTCTCGGATTGCGACATAAAGATGACTTACGTATGGCACTTTGTTTTAACGTCATTGTAACGCTCTCCAGTAAAAACATGTCACGCTCTCCGGTAAAACATGTCACGCTCACCAGTAAAACATGTCACGCTCACCAAGCAAATGATCCCCCCAACATAGCGAAAATGCAAAGCTGGTCTTCCTGTGGAATATATATTTGTTTCCGGTTTTCGATCGATGGCAACTGGATTCATCACATTTCTCCTGCTACTAGGTGGATGCTTTGATGTGATGGACGTCTTGAATCGGTTGGCAAGCCTTGCGATATTCATTCAAATGCTATCATTGGCATTCACACGAGCGCAAAGTAAAGGTACGACATTGCTTCAATTCGTCTTAGCTCAATTAAGTTTCCTCCCGGAAATTTCGAAATCAATGTCGTATTATATTTCCCCTATTTTTCGATCTTAGTTTTATATGAGTTTAGTCCCATATTTTTTGCTCTTTTTTCTTTATTCCCATTGCTTCGGTTCGTTTTATGTTTAAATTCTATTGTCATTTCACTTTACTATTTCATTTCCCTTCTGTTTAATCATTTCTCTTTTCAACAATGTATTTCATCATCATCGTATGTCTTTCATTCTTATCTAACAACTATTATTACTCTTCTTATMTGTTATTAATGATATTATTACCTCAGTTCTCTCTATCCATTTACCAGTTCGATGTCTTGTTATATAGATGTGTTCGTATCTCAAATGAAAGGAAACGACATCTCATCGTGTGGTTCTGACTCGAACCCATGTAAGACCATTTCAATGGGRATACGRCAAGCGAACGAATATGCACGAATATACGTGGATGGCGAAGGATCATCAGCAAAGCCCTACACTTGCAAATCGCCCAGTTTAGAGTTTSCAGGAATTTATACCAACAAGAATCTGGAAATCATTGGTGTCCGGTCAATCGTATACGTCAAATGTCAAGAGGGGTACGGKATAAAATTTGATAAGTCCGACCAGAATGAGACCATGGTTAGTGTTAGCAATGTCAAGTTCATCAATTCTACCATACAAGCTCAGGATATAGGTCTTAATGTAACGAACTGTATCTWTACTGATGGAGTTCAAGCTATGAATGTGGTTCAGTTTAGTAGGCCCATTACCGTTTCTTTTTCTGAGTCCCTGTGCGTCAATATCAGTTCTTGCATTGCAGTGAATGTKAACAAGAATGTCGYTCCATTAAATAAAACAWTCATTTCCTTAGAAAACAGCAGCATATTAAAATCATGGCCGCAGAAAGGCCCTTCGTTGCAAGCATCAGGAATTCACGTAACGTCAAGCGGTAAATATGATCCTGGTTCAATCACGTGTAACATTGCACTCACAAATGTAACTTTTAAAGACAACACGATAGCAGAAAATGGCTTAATMTTTGTTAATTTGAAGAATGCAGTCACGGTGTTATATCTTTATCATWGTTTCTTTCTTGAGAGCAATATTACAGCAAACTTTGCGAGTATTATAAAAATCAAGAACACCTTTATCAATAGCATGAWTCTGTTCGACACAACTTTTTGTCAGAATTATCAAGGATTTTCAAGTGCAATAGACATCAGCACCAACAGAAGTACTGTGCACATTTCCAAGACTCGATTTGRAAAGTTCAAWGTGGGATTTGATTTTGCAGTGTTACATTTGCAATCTGAGAAGGACTGTAACTTAACTATGACAAATGTCACGTTTGCTGAAAACATTAAGGAAGGTATGGAAGGAGGAAATGGAGGRTGTTTATCTCTTCGTAGTCGCACYGCAATCGTGAAGGTTCAAGGYTCGTACTTTTACAACAACCGGGCTGGATGCGCAGGAATTTTTTTGCTAAATGTAAAAGATCATGTGTCTGTAGGCATTCAAAACTGCTTCTTCACGTCAAACGCAGCATTCGGGCCCGGAGGTATAGCTAATATCCAAGGTAAAGAAGCAATCGTTGAAATGTTAGAGTGCAACGTGAAAGGCACCATTACTAATGAACCAGGCGGGCTTTTTGACATTGGAAATAAGGGCTGTGGTCGTTCTAAGAATATGTACAATGCAACTTTAGTTATCCAAAGTACTGAAATAGTTTCGAGCGGTAGTTTGAGAGGTGAAGGTGGAGTCGCAGCAATTCTAGCGAACTTCGGTTCAATTACGATACAAGACAGTACGATAACCAATGTATCATCATTAGTAGAAGGTGGAGTTATCTGTGCAAGGTGGTCTTTTAATTACCCACCCTACGACCCCGAGGAAGGATATAACATAAGAATAATCAATTCGACGTTTAGCAATATTCGTAATAGAGGATCAACGGGAGTACTATTGTATTCTAACGGTATTAAAAGCCTTGAAGTAGAGAGTTCAATACTTCATACCATTTCATCGGGGGGAACAGGAAGTACCATCTATCTTGACTCGACTCAAAACGCTTCAATTTCCATCAACAATACGTCAATAAAAAACTACACGGGTTATGGTTCCGCGTTAACKATTTTTATAACAGCAAAAGTGACTTTGAGAGTAGCAAACTCTATTTTCGAGTCGAACACAGCTCTTGAAGGTACAGGGGCCTGTATGTCCATGACCACCGTATCTGGTGACGTGCTCTTTTGGAACGTAACATTCAATCATTGCATCAGCACGACTAAAATGGGGGGCGCTATGTATTTTACAATGCCAAGAGGCAAGATTTCTATTATATCGAGCAGATTCTTGAATAACAGAGCAGAAAATGGGGGAGCACTTGCATTCAGTATGTTAATAGATGAACTAATAAAACCTGCATGTAATGGCGGGCATAGAACATGGAATTATAAAACACATGTGCTAATTGAAAACTCATTCTTTATCAATAACACTGCCTTCGAAGGTGGTTCGCTATCCTTTTCCAGAGGCAATCACACTATCCAAAGAAGTTTATTTGTCGATAACTTTGCAATGGGTCGAGGTGGGCACATTTCTATGACTTCAGATTCAACAAGTCTACGAATAACTGGCTCCGAATTTCAACAGAAAAAATTAAAAAAAGTCGTTTACTTTCGAAACAWCGTAGACAATAGTCAAAACGTTGAATCGCACGAGAAGAAAGAGATCTATGGTTTGAGTGTTGGCTCCTTTATTAGCTCACAAAGTCAAGGGCCATTGGTGATTCTAAATTCAACTCTAGAATCTATGTTGTACAGTAATGAAGAACCCCAAGAATTGGTCTTTATTTCAAATGGTAATTACATAAATTTTGGCGAAAATAACCAAACCGTAATCAAATGCCCAAAAGGAAGTGATATCARYACACAGAGTTACACCTCMAAAATAGCCACAGAGTATAAATCAAMACCATGCAATATCGATGTGAGGTTCTTGATCTTTACCTGTAAACCATGCCCAACAGGCAAATATAGTCTACAGCATGGCCAAAGTATGGGAATGACTAAGGTCAGCGGTTTTAAGTGTTTGCCATGCCCATTCGGAGCTGAATGTCAAAACAGACTGAGAGCAAAACCGAACTATTGGGGATACAAAGTCAAAGATAATCCGCCAGAAATGAACTTCACTGCTTGTCCTTCAGGTTATTGTAAAAGACCAGATACCGAGGACTTTAATGAGTTTAACAGTTGCCAAGGCAACAGAAATGGTACGCTATGTGGTCGATGTAAAAATAACTATTCTGAAACTCTCGTGTCACCATCTTGTCGTCTTGACGACGAATGTCATGACAACTGGTTATGGGGTGTGATGGTTTCCATGGTAATGTTAATGGCGCTGTACTCGATCTATAAGCCAAATATCCCGAGCATGCTCAAGAGACATATTTTGTGGTTCCAATGTCGTCATGGAAACAAASACGATGACACAGGCAGCAGTGGATWCTTAAAAATTGTTTTCTACTTTTACCAAGTGGCAAACTTGGTTCTCGTTACAACTTCAAGTCACAACGTCATCAAGTCGTACTTTTTGCAACCAGTGGTGGGAATTTTTAACTTCCAATTCGCTTTGGGCCCTCGAACGGTCTGCTTTGTCCTTTACCTGGTCTTACTGCTGTAACTAAACAGCTTCTCTTTGCCAGTCAAGTGTTTGGAGTCGTCTTCATGATTGCTGTATGCTACTGCTGCCATCGGTTACTGCGCAAATGCAGGTCCAGGCCACCTCCAAACCTTGGACCCTACCTCGCTGCTGTTCTGGAAACCGTGTTGCTAGGATACGCTGTATATACAACCACCGCCCTTAAACTGTTGCGATGTTCGTCATTAGACGGAGATTTACGACTGTTTATCGATGCYAGTGTGAAGTGTTACYARTGGTGGCAGTACCTACTGATGGTMTTTGCTGGACTCGTCGTATTTCCTTTCATTCTTACACTCGCAGTTGGTTCTCAATGGCTTTACAAAGGAACTATTTCTGTTAAGGAATTTCTCCTTGGTTGTCTTCTTCCTCTACCTTACTTGATGTACAAGCTGATTTCATTGTTGCGTGGACCCCACGTAGTAAACGAAGAACCACGCGAGTGGAAAGTGTCAGTCACAAGCGTGTTGTATGGCCCCTTTCGAGCTCCGCAAGATAAAAGCATTGGTGCCGTGTATTGGGAAAGCATCTTGATATCCAGGAAACTACTTATCATTGCAATCTACGTGTTTATCACAGATCCCTTRACCAGGCAGCTCTCGTTAGTGTTAGCTTGTGTTATAATACTCTTCCATCACAACACTGTGCGACCATTTCATCGGATGGATGCCAATATCTGTGAAACGATCTCCTTGTTTGGCCTTATTATCATAGCAACGATTAACGCTTTCAAAGCAAGYTTTCTCTCGATTGGAGAAGAACCAGGAGGYCCACTACAAACATTGATACAAGTCTTGGAATGGGTCCAAATAGTCATATTAATTACTCTTCCTGSTCTTTGCATTTTAGCTGTTATAGCAGCCATTTTGTCCCAATTAATTCGATTGATTGTCAAAATCTGTTCTTTTATCAAGTGGGTTGTGACGCGTGACCGTCACGTGACTGATTGCGAAATTCGACATTTACTCGAATCCAGTGCAAGTGATGAATCTGATAAACTTTGTCAATGATTTGTCTGTCCTCGCTGATCTATGAACTATATAATCAACTGGAATATCTATAGGGCTAGGACTGAAGAAAGACTACATAAATAGGTGATTACTATGTGATGCAATTCCCCATTTAAATTGACTGTAGACTTAAACAGCTATCAAACATAATATTGAAACCATGACTTACCGCCTTACCATCCGTTGGTTGCACGCCTAACGAATCTCTTCAGTGTAGAATCTCATTTTGCCATCCAATGAAGCTGCTGCAAGCTTAAAAAGTTATCATCTCGTTACACATTGTTCGMAAGTGATGCAGAATGCAATGGAGAAGAAAATGGTTTAGAAGACACAGACAAWCGAGAGAATATAAAATGAGTAAATGAAAAATAAATGAGAAGTAGTAATYATATGCAAATCATTAAGATGTTTTATTTGTAATGTTTTCAAAAAGTTGAACGTTCGTTCTTTGCAAAAAGTTACCTCAGGTCTCGCTGGATGAAAAGCAACATCCGATACAACATCAGTATGGCCTGTCAGACGGTGACAGAATGACGAACCACGAACATCGAAGATGTACACCTAGAACAGACATCAAAAGTRATAAACAAACGATTACGCGTSTCTAAGGTCGTGTAGTTAAAAGTACTCACTGATCTGTCCTCGGATCCTGTAGCTATATACCGCGAACATGGACTGATGGAKATCCCTGTTTGATGCGACCTATTCACGTGACCTTCATATCGCCGTACACACCTGACCGAATACAATCAAATATTATACATGCTTATTAGTAACTCAGTAACTTTTGTTATAAAACTCATTAATATTCATAAGGCAAAACACAATAGAAATCATAGCCCATGAAGAGAGTTGTATATTACATACAGATTCTTGTTCATTTGCATAAACTTTAACTCTGATTTTCTCGGTCAGATTGATTTTTTTTTCAAAAGTTTCTTTACAACCAGAGCTAGTTTACCTCAACGTTTCATAAGTAATATACAATATTCGCGTGCGATCTGTATGAGGTTTAAAACAGCTCGCTTTCAGAATAAATTTTAAATCAGAATAAGTTTTAAATCCTCATACAGATCGCCCGCTCATATTGTATATATTACTTATAGCATTGGGGATTCCCCTAAATTAGCAATGTTAACAGGGGCGTGCGAATTGAAGGAGGTGTTCTCGAACCATTTTATATGTCAAATCAAGTACCATGAGGTACCAAGTTTAATATGAGCAATCAAAACGTATCCTTTTTGCATACGTAACAAGTGGTTTTTATTTTCGATGGAAAATTGAAAAGCACATAACGAAGTTGTTTATACATATTGTCCGTCTGTCACCTGTTTGTTCTGATGTCCCAAAGCTTGATTCCGTCAGTCACTGCGGCCGTCAAGAACAAGTCGTAAGCCTCAGACGAATGCGAAGTGTAGGAAGATCCCTAAAAAAAACTTACTCAGAAACTTACAATGTACTTTAATGTATTACTACTCTTTATTACTCCCCAACCCGCTCCCCTCCCCTCCCCTTGAGCCGCTACGCAGTCTACCGGCTCCACAAAGATGACAGTCTTACGGATTACTGATTCCTATAGTGACATGATTGCAATGAAGACTTGCAATTGGTAACGATGGAAACAGTAACTATGACAATGATGACGTGTGACGTCACGTGACGACAATGAGAATAAAGCGCGGGCAGTTCCATCCAACATGTTTAATGCTCTATCTAACAACATATAAAGTGAACTAAACGATCACCTAACAAAATCTGAAGGTGCTCAGTGTGACCCATAACTAAGAGCTTAGCGAAACAGTTACCTGGTTTTGAAAAATTGAGTGAACTGGTCTAGTATGCGCATCCATTAGAACGCGTACACTGCGTCCAACATTCATATCAAACAGTTCAATAGATTTATTAGATCCACAGCACAATACTATGTCTGGGCGTTAAGAAATTAAGGAAATATAACATATCATCATAACCWATATATTGCTTGTTGACATTTTTTTGAGTAAAATTTACTGTATTTTTCATTATTCTGGACAAGGATACAAGAATGAAAACTGTTGACGCACGAGAAACAGGTAATACTTTGAGCTCGTTCTTGATTCAGTATTTTTACCAGTTTGTATTTACTGTTGGTCTGATACCTTGAAATATATTCACATAATTCAGTGAGAAAGCCTGAACTAGTACCAAGTCACGGTTAGAAAGGACACAGGGACCCCAAAATCAAGGAGACTAAATGACCAAATTTTTCCCATATTAAACAACTACTTCRTGTTATTACTAGTAAAGAAATCAAACCTTTTGATGTCATCTTTATGTGAGTCAATGTGATATTTGTACATATGCAGTCCATTACCACTGCTGATCAACACAAACTTGTCCATATAGTAAAATGACGACTGAGTGATCTCTCTGGAGAAAGGAGGATTTTCCTGATGGATTAATGTTAAAATAGATGCTTTACTGCTGTAATATGTAGCTATTCAAGACTTGCATCACTGCTGACTATATTCTTACATACTTGTCATGTGTGCACTAAATGTTAATATTATCTGACAYAAAAACACACCAAGGTTTTCAGTTCAGCTGAACGCAGGCTAATGCAAAGCCTTAACCAAAACACTTAACATCAACAACAAGTTTGTAAAAGATTAGCTTTATATTTATGACTTAACTACTCATTGAAATTTAATTTAATTTACTAAACTAGGACTATCTATTATATGCTTCATACCTTTTCTTTTCCTTTAACACCAGAGTCTGTGAAGTTACTATTAACAGTATTGAAGATAAGTATAGGATCTGATGAGGTGGGACTCCATAAATTAACTGTTCGATCAGCAGACGAGGAGAGCAGCCATTTATCATTATGGTTAAATTGTACACTAGTCACTGAGCCGTCATGCCCTGTAATGACAAATTTGTTAATAATGGAAAAATAATATCAGCGTTATCTATTAAATCCATCCATCCATTCCAGTTAAATATTTGCCCATTAATTTCTCTCTCCATCTATTCATTTAACAGCTACAAATCCCACCCATCTATTCATTCCTCCCTTTGTCTATTCATTTACCAGTTACAAATCCCACTCACCCATCCATTCATAAATACATCTAACCATAAATTCTCATTACCAAGTTCACAAACCTACCTGTCAAAACAGTTTCTTTGGCAGTACTTGAAATGGGCAAACGAATTATATGAACACTCTTATTGGCCAATGCACATGCAATGTGTTTTCCATTATTACTGTATCTAATGGAATTGACAACTGTTGGTTGGCTTGTGAGTGCAATTKTCTCCCTCATCATTGTTGGTGGGCTACTATCCATTGGGTATTCCTTTGTAACAACACCAGTTTTATTGCTTGAACTGCTTGTTTTTAATGAGACTGAGGTCTTCTTGATGGCATTTGTTTTGGGCGAAAACATTTTTGATCTGGAGTTTATCACAAATTGATTTGGTCAATAAATTCCAGAGGCTATTTCTTATGATCATGATGATACTCCAGCAGCAGTAAAATAATTGTACCTGGGTGAATCTGAATATCCTGATGATTGGACTTTAGCCTTGAATGTCAATGGTTGATCTTGCAACTTTCCTTTGACATTTGCTACATACGAATTTGATACATAAAAACACAGCACAGCACAGCACAGCACAGCACAGCACAGCACAGCACAGCACAGCACAGCACAGCACAGCACAGCACAGCACAGCACAGCACAGCACAGAACAGCATAAATAATTTCTATCTGCATGACTTGATCACCTTGTTTTGATGTTTTCTTTGAAGGAGCTGGCCTTGATTTTGGAACAAGTTCTGATTTTAGTGGAGAATTAGCACATAATGGTGTGCTGAAAAAAAAAACTTCAGCTGTAAGTAATATAACAAACAAAACTCGATGTATGCTTACTTTGATAATACAGTTATCACAGAATGGGAAGCCTCAGCACAGCCTGGTGAACGCTTGTCTTCCTCCGTATTTGTTGCACAAACATTGTGAGTGTTGACAGCAACAGATTGAGATAAACGACTACAAAGAGCCTAAAGATAGTTGAATRACAGATAACCACTAAGTTATTTATGCCTATTGAATGTTTTTAGCTGAAGAAAAAATGCATTGTACTGTTTGTTGTTTTGTCTTTTATTAGTTTACAGCCTTACATTGACTGCATCTTCGTCATCATCAAGAGCGGTTGGAATCTCTATGTTGATAACGTGTATAGCGTTGTGAAACAAGCTACCCACAATTCCTTTCAYCTGAAGAACAAGMARACAAAAATAATTATAAAAACAGACTATGCATTTTACRCATTGTATGCRTTTACAATTTTGGCATMCTTTTATTATTCCTTATTGCTTCCTCTTTTTTGTGCCATTTTTTGCATCCTTCTGTTGTATATAMTTYGAATCATTCCTTTACTCCTCAGTACTTAACTTGCTACAAAAACTATTAGATAGTTTTTGTAGCACACCAAGTACTAGTCATTTTTGTCAATACAAAAGGCTTACTGAGTTTTGTTGTTGTTGTTGTACAAAGGCAAACAATCCTGCCATTGGCAATGTATACTGAACAGTATCGAGCTCATGTCTTGAAAGAATTGGATCTAGAACAGCAAAAAAGTTAAATATACAAACATAAAGTTAAATCAGCGAAAAAAGAGCAAGATAGTAGTACCTTTAAAGTCAATGACATGTAGAATKTCCCATGTATTGCAGTTCACCATGACAATAGATGCAGTCATTCCAATCATAAGTAATGATGGAACATGGAAAATATCACTGTATACATAATATAGATAATGAGTAGTGTAGGCCTATTATTATCTTTAAAAATACCAAGGGGTTATAGAGAAATGTCTACATATATAGTATGTGGAGCCATGCATCTGACAAATTATACTCAGGTCATTACATATAAAAATATCTTATAATATCATGAAAACTAACTTGACTTGTGAGGTGTTCAAAAATGGTAGATTTGAGAGGCCAGGATTGTCTTCTGTTTTTCCAGTAATTTTCATGAAAAATAAACCAACAATGCTGGTTCCTGCTTCAGCAATGTCACCTTCAATGCATGATTCTAAGAGCTCAGGTTCATGTTGATCTTTCTGCCATTTTGGAAGACTACTGATAACTGCAGGCCCTTTGAGAATAACACAAACCAGAACTATTATAAAAGAAGACTAAAAAATGATCAAACTTTTTCATTTATAATATGCATTGTGACCAAGGTTGTATCCCTCAGATATTTTCTTTTCTAAAACCTCAAAAAACATTGAAAGTAACTTCATTGTTTATTGTTGGTATTGTCTTTCACATCCTATTAGTCATTATTCTGTCAAAACTTAGACAGACATCTTCAAAGCCAGACCTAACTCTTGTGAACATGCAGCAATTCTTCTCAAAATAAAATGTAATATTTCTGGATCTCTTTAATTGTCTATACCATTATATTTGTGTTGTGTATTTTCATTTATTTGTTCCCACCTTTTGATACAGAAAGCGCATCTACTTGTGTAGAATACATCAGTTTTGCAAGTTTTTGGTTGATATCCATTTCGTGCAGACADCGGAAATTATTTTCCTCCTTAAGATCATAGATCCTCACCTGAATGATTAAATATATGTGACCAAGTGAACTATTTCTTAATTGTTTCAGGACATTTTGGATGTACAATGTAAAAACAACTAGCAAAAAAAAGACAAATTATCTTCACAGATCTAGCAAATGTACTTGCCAGTATGCCGGCCAAAGCAGAACAGACTTTATTACAAAACAACTGACACATTGCATGATCACACATATCACAATGCATGTCAAGCAATGCATGTAACATGAATTATTTTCAACCTTATTACATATATTCCACTTCATCAGCAAACGATTTTAAGGGAACTAAGCCCAATAATAATAGTTTTATATATTATTTAAGGTTTCCCTGATAAAGATTGCTTATAAAACACCATTACTATGGCGACTGCATTATTACCTTTCCATCTGTTGCCCCTATTGCTATGCAATTCTGTATTTCATCATAAGCAAGACATACGAATGGAAAACCTTGAAAAAACATAATTGATTAACTCAGCCTTCAGCCATATTGATCAACTATAAAAGTYAGTTACTTCACTTTGTAGATTGAGAAGGGAAAAGGGCAGTTTTTTTTAAGAGAAACTGTATGATTTCAAAAAGTTAATGCACAAGGCATAATACCTGATATGACCGATGACTGGTACAGCAAGCAAGACTTCTGTATGTCCCAAACCTTAAAAAGTTGTTTTCTTGGCATAAAAATGTTATGTTGTTCAAGCACTACATATCATTGTAAGAAGGCTTTACAAGCCTACAGTTAATTGCAGGCCTATAATTTGGTATTATTCAAATGTAAGATAAAATACCTTGAAAGTTCTGTCTTCTCCAATTGAAACAATCCTAAACTCRTTCCATGGACAAAACTCAGCTTGCGACACCTGACTTAAGTGTCCCTCTAGCATTGAGTCAAGCTTACATGTCTAAAATAAGAAATTTATAACCAAAGTCCAAGGAAATATACCATTTCTTCACTCACATATAAGTCAAAATAATACTAACCTTCATTGCAGACATATTATGTACTAGTTCAATTCATAACATACCCCATGTCTGCAACAAGGGTTTAAGTATAATAATATAAGAATATAAAGGATTTAGAGGTCTATTTGGCCTAACTTACCYTAATATTCAATATCCATACATCTTTCTCAATACAAAGAGAAATCAATAMATCAGAAGAATTAAAACTGACATGCTGCACACACCCAAGTTCTTTTCCAATGCATAAAGGTGTCACTTGATCTGAAGAAAAACACAACATTATAATATCGTTTATTAGTATAAATTATATAAACTTAGAATACACTTGAGTTAGAATGTACTATATATGAGATACCAGATGCATTAATTTTACTATTGTTATAATCATTATTTTGTTTTTATTACCATGGCAACCAGACATGTAAWTTTTGAATCCCTTGGTAACATTCCATATATGGATACGATCCTCTGAGGCAGAGCAAAGCAACTGTTTTTGTTCCTTATTACCAAAACACACACAAGTCACAATCTTTGTGTGGCCAGAAAGCTGCAGCGGCTGAAAAGATAATTACAAATGATAAAATACGAATGTAGGAATTTAAATACGACACGCCCAGATGAAACTACCTAGAAAATGCCCATCCTTAGCAACTGTTGCTATGTCTTGAAACTCACATTTCAGTTGCTTAAATCACTTTTGATTTAAGCAAACCTATAGATATGTTGCTAATTTATCAATAACAGTTACTTCACAGTCACGAAACTGCTATACATCTAAAAACAAATAATATTAATAACCTGGCGTCCAACATTTTAACACAAGTTTATGACTTAAGTAGTCATATGCAATAAAAGTGAGAACAAGCGAAATATCATACTTGGATCGATAAGTCTTTTATCCACCAAACTCCAACAGCTGTTTTTAAGAGTGGACACGCGATGAAGTCTGAAGTGCAAGCTATTTGCCTGCATCCAAAGCAACCAACTCGAATTATTCCATCATGACTTGCCGCCATTTTGTTTGAATKGAYAATACCGCTGACTAGATAAGACTGTCGAACTGTTAGCCGACGGATTTTAATACACAACACTGAATGGACGATCTTGAATTTCAAAACACAAATAATAAAATTAGAATTATATACTGAAATTAATAATGACGATAACAAAATGAAGAAAGAAAGAAAGAACGAAAGAAAGAAAGAACGAAATGATAAAAAAAGAAAAAGAAAGCAATAAAAAAAATAATAAGAAGAAGAAATAGCTGTCCCTGGATACGATCCCGCTACAACAACTCAACTATCAGAATTGAACGCAGAGCCTTAACAAGGTGCGCCACAGGACCACGCTCATTTACATAATAATAGACCACTTGACACTTTCACCGAATAGACTACCCCAATTTGACATTATATTTTCGATAGTTGCCTAGTTAGTGCAAGGGGTTATCCATCAGTGTCTAGGGGCCGGATAGCTTCTCCCTCACTGGCTTTTTAGTTAGCGCGAAGTTAGGAYCAATTATCGGGATAGCATGGAAGAGCCGAAATCTCTAACCAGAATGTAAATCGATTCGACGCCTCAGCTTCACAGAATGTCTCGGGGGAATCGTCCCAACCTTTTTTCGATTTTATGGGCACGGGTTCGATTCCAAGGATGGCTGTTTTCTCTTTTTCTTTCTTTCTTTCTTTTTTTTTTCGCCTTGACTGTATTTTTTTTCTGGCTTTAAATTTATTCATGCGGTGCTTTTCATTTTTTTCATTTTTTTTGTTGTTTCTTTTTCTGATTACTATCTTTTTCTGATTACTATCAAATTCCTTTTTTTTCGACAAAAGTGAAAGAGATGTCCACGTGAGTTCAAAGATGTTGTCATCTTGAAGGAAGAAAGCTGATGCTTTGGCATCGGGTATAAAAATAAACAAACAAAAAAGAAAAAAACATTACAAGAGAATACAATAGAGAGCGAAAACGTGTGGTTTACGTCATCCCGCAGTGGAGCAAACGCAGGAAAAACATGAAATACAAAATTTAGAGACAATTTGTCAGTATCAAGTTTCTATCATTGAACCGGGCCATGAACCAGAACGCAATGAAGATAAATCCACATGAGAMCATTTTTKATTCATCTTCATTGCGTTCTGGTTTATTTTTTATTTATTTATTTTTGCGTTCTGGTTTATTCATTTATTTATTTTTTAGGCGTTATTTGTAAGTATTCAGTTTGGTTTTATTTCATGGTTCTTCCTGCGTTTGCTCTACTTTGTTCTGATACAATAGCATAATTAATAGATATGGCTAATAGCATAGGTTAACTAAAAGACGTCACGCTGTTGATATATCTTGACGGCAACAGTAATGATGATCCATCTATTGATCTATTATGGCGGCTGAAACAAAATCTATTGAAGATCTGAAGAAACTTGCTTGTGAGGCTATTGATAACAACTCAAAAAATCTAAAGCAACTTAACCGAAATATATGGGAAAACCCAGAGACCAACTACGAAGAAACAAAGTGTCATGGATTTTTGACCGAGTTCTTTAAAGATTACAAGTTCGATGTAACTCCACACTGGACTTTAGAGACTGCCTTCTGTGCGAAGTATRGCAARGATGACGGACCTTGTGTAGGAATAGTCTGTGAATACGATGSCTTACCAGAGGTTGGCCATGCATGTGGGCACAACTTGATTGCTGAGGCAGGGGCCGGTGCAGCGATTGGTGTGTAGAAAACAAAATAAAAAAAATATTGTACAACACTATAGTATTTCCGGTCCATCTAAAAATAATTCAATAGTTAAGCAAAGTAACATGCAAAAATAATATGTTAATCTAAAATGTCCATTCTCACTTTATGGTACATTATTATTGTATGTYATTTATCATGATTTACAGTCAGTTGACGAAATTCTGGCCACGTAACTTAATAAGTTATAGGGTTGTTAATATTTCAAATTTAAACCCATAATTTGTCATAACTACAGATTRTACTTGGATAACAACTGTAACAAACATAATTTTAAAGTATTTGAATGATTTGCAATCTGTTTTAGCGAGAAAAGAGCGAAAATCACATGACATTATACCCACGATATGTCGCGTACAGACGCCCGCTGAGGGTTATTGTTGGATCACACTACTAAATGCAAATCAGTTTTTACTTTTTTTAACTCGCTCTCTTCAGCGCTCGCTTCGCAAAAGTTTTTAGTAAAACATGCTGAAATCAAAGTGATTATTGCAGTTTTTTGTCAGTTGTCAGTATTTAGTAATTTATTCTGGCTAGTTTTAAGATACAKCGCATTTTCAAACAGTGGTTATTTTAGTTTTCAACGATTTACTTTAAAACTAACCGTCGGATCATCTAGAAATTTTTAGAATTTGTATATTTCATCAAAAGGCATCAGGGCTGTGMATTTGGTTTGGAAAAGCTCGGGCGKAAATAAATATATAAACACGGCTCAAAACGTATCTTTACAGTCAAACTACCTGAAGCATGAACACCCAGTGATCGTTACAATATTGCATTATTGATTTGATTCTTGAATTCAAATATTCATTGTTCAAATCAAGTTTTATATATTGATCGTTTACTTGATTCATTGTTCCGAATTCGTCTATACAATCAATCTTCGAGTTGTGTTGCCATTGGCAGCTTGATTTGTTTATAGTACATTCAACTTAATTAAGGAGTACAATTAACGCTGTAATTGTACTCTTCTCGACCAATCAGAATGTATTATTTTGTTGAATGTACTATAAATATCGTTACCGACACTCGTCTCTTGGCGTATGTTGCGTGACTGTACAAAGAGTAGGCTGCTAAGGAGGCCGCTTTATAATCATCGTCGTCAATCGTTATTATCAAAACGTTGTGTACTTTTAGCTTAACGTTTCCGATCACTTCAARCAATGTACCATAAATTCTGTTAGCTCTGCCCGACTATCTCAAATGGCTTTGTTTCTTGTATTAATTAGGAATTCAAGCRGCATTAGATGGAACTTCTAACAACAACAGWCTCGGACGTTTACTCGTGATTGGTACTCCTGCCGAAGAAATGGGAGGCGGAAAGATTGCMATGATYGACAAAGGATGTTTTAAAGATGTCGATTTTAGCATGATGGTCCATCCTTATCCTCACGACGCAACCTTCCTCGGATCATTRGCAACAAAGTTTGGCTATATTACATATAAAGGTTATTCTTCACATGCGTCGCTATTTCCATGGCAAGGAATCAATGCTTTAGATGCGGCGGTCATGGCGTACACCGGTATTAGTACGATGAGACAACAGATGAAGCCRTCATGGAGGGTCCATGGAGTTATCCTTCAGGGAGGTGTTAAGTGTACCATCATTCCAAGTATGACAAAAATGGAGTTCTGTCTTAGAGCTCCTAACAAAAAAGAACTGGATGAACTTGAAGCGAAAGTGACGGGATGTTTCAAGGCTGCTGCGCAAGCTACAGGTCGGTAAAAMCCTMGCACACTTCACTCCTGCTCACTGACAAACAGGTTAACAAATAAAATATAATTACTTTCGCAGACCTTACTCAAACTCTTGAATGACCATCTTATACAGTTCTTAGAACCAGAGGCGAACTGTTTTGGACAGCAATAATATGCGGTTTGTAGCATTATTAATCTCAAAAATCTAACAACTATTTTCCTTTTCTAGGTTGTACTGTTGAAATAAATTGGATCAAGTTGTCATCCTACTTGGACCTGAACGTAAATACTAAGATGGCAGAGATCTACAAAAGAAAYTCMACCAGCCAAGGAGTGCAGTTTGTGTCGTTAGAAGAAGAACTCAAGATGCCACAAGGATCAACAGACATGGGAAATGTTTCTCAAGTTGTTCCATCAATTCAGCCTTTTTACAGCATTGGYACTTCCGCACCAAATCACTCTGTGGAGTTTGCAGCCGCTGCTGCTACTGATGTTGCCCATGATCGTACATTAATAGCTGCTAAAGCCATGGCCATGACTGCTATCGATGTCATGGCTGATCCAGAAACTTTGAAAACAATCCAAGAACAATTCACTGAATCCATTTGAGCAATTCACATATATATATATATATATCTCATAGGGTCCATTCGTTTTAACGGGTTTCATTGTTGCATGTTGGTGAGTGCGATTGGATAGAGAATGTAATGAAGTCAAATTCATTAGAAATATATTCAATACACAGATGTATTTTTGCACAAATATTTTTTGATTCATAATAAAGGTTTTTGATGTTGTTGTGTTTGTGAACAAATGTTTACAGCTCTGTTGTAAGAAACTGGCGAAGCGACAACTTTTCAGKACTCCGACCGAGACCAGCCCGAGYAATCTTCAAAGGTCTGCGCGCTCTACCACAGGATACCCAAAATATATTATATACAATCCAAGATGGCTGCCGCAAGCAGTGGAAGCTCGACTTCAGTCCAGACTCAAATGACTCAGGATTCACACGCAGAACACATGAACAGACTAAAGCAATTGATTCATCTGGTTGAAAATGCTCTTGTGGTAAAGATTTTTAAGTTTGGGAATGTCTATTTATTATCATATAGTGGATTTTAAGAGATCGATCACAAACAACTGTTTGACTTTTAACTTATAGCTTAAGTACGTTTCTTCGATTTACTTACAGAATGTGTTAAGTCAAACAGACATTGCTTTGCAACAGAATGCAGAGTCGGGGGAATCTGGGTAAGYTGGCTTATTTTAATACTTAAAAGTATTGTTTTGGAAGTTTTTTGGGGGTTGAAGTAAACTGAAGTAAGCCTTCTTGCCTTCAATTCTTAAATAGAAAAACAGGTGACGAAGACCCGCATCGACTCGAGCGATAYCTCGAGGATTTTCTTAACGTCAGTGATCAATTAGAGGATCTTTTGGTAAGTAAACTTGTCATTGATATTGATCTTCTTGATAAAATAACTAAATGATCTACAGATATTTAAACGTGTAGGTGACTTATGGCCCTTAAATGTAGATRTTGACTTATGGAACATGTATTTTCTTTAGGAAAGCATGCAGGCAGCTGAAAGGATGACGGCACTTAGCCAAAAATATGCACCAAAACCTGTGTCCAGCACAAGGACAGACATCAGCCAAGACACACAGACATATACGGACTACCTCAGTATAGCCAGAAATCAAATCAGCATTTCTAATGAATTACAAGACCTTTTGGCTGATTTTGTTAAATCTAAGCTTACGTGACAATAATTTATCCTGTTGTCAGGATAGACATTGTATTAAATTATTAATGTATTATTAATGTATTTTAGAACTGAAGAATGAATTGTAGGTTGGCATACCTTGTTGAAATATAATATGTACAGAATTAGAAGGGTTTGTTATAATAAACGTTTGTGAAAATCAATATTGCATTTTATATAGAAGATTTTGCTTAAAAGACTGCATATTAATGATGCATAATTATAAATTGATCCTTGTCATGTACTGTATTCAAAAGCAGGCCACAATTGCAGCCTTAGATGGAAAGCCTGTGACTCCGATCTGCTGGTACCCTTCTCCACCTGTACAAGGCTGTATGATCAGTAGTCTAAGTCAATTTCGACGTTACATCCATGTATTCATCAGAATATGTGCTATTAAAATGTACCCAATTCACTTGTGTTACATTGGAAAGACTCGGACCTAACCAGAGTTGTCCCAGTCTTGTACTTGTGAAAATCATTAATTCTCATAGGATGTATTAACCTTGATGTAATTTTGATTCAATATTCAATGGAAAGCAAGTAACAGTGTCAGTGAGCTCATATTTTTCCTTGATTTTAATTATTAGTCCTGAAAGTCAAACATGTACATCTAATAAGGACTTGAGTGTTTTGCCGTAAAATCAGCACTATCAAAAACGTGCCATCCCTCCCCGAGTACCAGCGTTTGGTCTCATGWAAACGAGGCTCTATATTTCACGACATCTTGGCGGCCATGTTGGATTTTATTGAAGTTCTATAAACCTAAGTTATAATCGTTATTTCTTGAACAATGGCCTTTCGTGGACCGCAGCAACAGAGACTAGGAGTACCACCAATGTCTTCTATRGCACCTCCAGGTGGTGTTTCGTCAAGATTACCATCATTAAGCTCAATTCCGCCTCCTCCAGTTCCGCCATCGTTCCCTGGGTTAGGGTTCGGGGTTCCACCACCTTTACCAACACAAGGAGCAGGTGAAGTTTAACGAAATTATTGTTGTAGYGACCAGGATGTAGTGTTAATATTTGATATCATAAATAGCCATTGAAGCTGAAGATGTGACTATTTKTCCGTCATGTAAAGTTGTTAGTCTTCACGAAGAAAACAGCACGTGCATTTGGAGTTTAGCTGTATAATAACCTGAATGGTTCTTTGTGATTTCAAGCTTTTTTTTTCGTCTGCTACAATTATGCTCATTTAAGTCAGCACTGATGAATACATATATTATATTTTTTAATTTCAAAAATTACAACATGCAAATCATTTGTATTCTTATAAAGTAAACACTTTCCGTCATGCTCACTGTGATTTTGATTTTGATGTAAAAAAATTGAATATATTTAATTGTGATACGCTACATTTTTGTTTTAAATCTGTTCATTTCACTCCTTAACTAGTAACTATTGTAAATATWTATATGCTGATGTTAATGCTTTTAGGCGTTTTACCCCCTCCAATGCCCCCTCCTGGTCTTCCTGGAATCCCYCCAGTTGGGCTGGTACCAACACCACAGACAATGGTTAGTATTTTTGCATGTGATGTCCCTTTACATGTATGTATGTATATTTAACATACTAAGACTTTCCTACAGACAAATATCAAATAAATTTTTGAAAGTAGTTCTGTATTAGTGGATTATTATCTTGCTTTAAATGTTTCTTATGTATATTTAATTCATTCGATATTCTTGTGATTTTTAGGCAGCAGGAACTGCTTCTGGTGGACCAACAACTATATCTCGACCTCCTGTAACAAAAGCAAATCTATCAACTAGTGATAAAAATAAACCAGTAAGAACCATGTGTATCGTTATTGAAAGCGAAGAAAGAAACTGCAAAATCTAACCATAGTCTGCACTATAGCAAAGCCTAAAGTCACAGTTTCCTTTTACCATCATTATAAAAAATAGCAGAAGATTTTTAAACTTGTAAATGATATGATTATTCTTAATCTTATAGGCAACTACTCCATCCAATCCAACAACAACAGTATTCGTAGGGAATATCACAGACAGAGCATCTGATGCTATGATAAGACAGATTTTAATGGTATTCTATAATGAGTGTTGTCTATGTTAAGTTGGAGTAAATTGAGATATTGCAATTGGGATTATTTGTCAGAGTTTAACGCGGTTATTAAATACAATGAATATTAAAATATAGTCATATTATTCCTACATTACATGTTGTTATATTGGATGAATTTTATGATATGATTCATKATTGCAACAGAAATGTGGAATCGTAGTGAGTTGGAAAAGAGTTCAAGGAGCAAATGGAAAGCTACAAGGTATATTATTAACTCTTATTAGTAAAAGAAAGTTTCCCATTTAATTCTTATTCATKTATTCTTTTTCCCAGCATTTGGATTTTGTGAGTACTCTGATCCAGAAGCCAGTTTACGAGCAATTCGTCTTATGCATAATCTTGAAGTTGGTGAAAAGAATCTTGTGGTGGGTAGTGCAATTATTTTTAATAAATACATCTCACGTGTAGTAGTTGTAGTAAATATACGCCATTCTTCAAATCGCCAAAATATGATGTGAATGACATTCAATGAAGATCTGTGAATCCTCTGGTCATGAAGTCTACATGTAAGTAATGTACTGTATGTTTGGGGTACAACAGGTGAAAGTTGATGCCAAAACTAAAGTTTTACTAGATGAATATAAAGCAAGTAAAAAAGAGAAGAAGAAAATTGGAAACGATAAGGTACAAAAGAGATCCAACAACTTAAATTTATCAATGTTACCACAATACTGCATATTTCACATTAGAGAAAAACTGATTTCTGTGGAAATGAAAACATTGATCAATTTTTTTAAATTCTACTCCTAACTGTGCAGTGGTTGTATACTCATGTACTCTTCTCATCAATGTCTGTTTGGAGAGTCAGCTTTTGTTAAAGTTCCTCTTTTTTCAACTTGTTGTTCAGAAAGAAGATGGAGAAGCAGATGACGAAGAAGACGAACTTGATGAAGAAACATTAGTGAGTGGATTTGTTAAAATTAAACTTAAAATAATTGGAGTTTGAACATGGATATTTTGATTATTTTTAGGCAGAAGATAGAAGATGCAGAAAGTTACTCAATGGTTTATTAAACGACAATGCTGATGTCCTGAATGGCAAATTTAACACCAATTGTGAGTAACAAAGAACTAAAAAACTAACTTCACTTCACTAGGAACTTTGTTTTCTTTCTTTTTGAAAGTACAACTAACTCTTGCTATTACGCTCACACTCGGGACCGTAATTTAGTGTCCGAAGTCGCTTGAGTCTGTAATAACAGGAGTTACTTTMAGTCATTTCTTTGTATTTTTCGCCTGGGATTCAGTATTTTATTGTCCGTGCTATYGAGGTGTCTGTTGTAGCAGGGTGTCTGTAAGGCGAGCTGACTGTATATTAAGACAATACTTGGTGTTGGTAAATMATACCAACTAGTTGAGTGATAAAAACTGATAAAACTTAAAATGGCTATTGARTAGAGAAGTTCTAAGAGAGTATTGTTTCTGTCCCAATCCCATATTGTTGAGATTTATCCTCTAAACATCAGTTTATGTCTTTTTTTCATATTTCATTCATCGTTATCCCTGTATTTGCTACGCTGATGTGGAGTGAGATGGTCTTTGAACAAGAAGATATTTTTCTTGTTTTTCTCTTTACATTGATCTGTACTTACTACTGTGGTCATCATGGCAAAGTTACTATAYCAGCATAGACTATTTTACTCCAATTATATTTGTTTGTGAATATTTTTCGTCATTATGTTACTAATCGATGCATATTTATTACAGATACRGAGGTAATACGACCGTCTCACAGTGGAAGAGAAGAAAACCTTGATGGTCTTGACATGGATAAAGACAAGAAGTCCCTTGTCTCGAGGGAAATTAAGAGCTTCAGAGATTCATATCGAGTATGTTTCCAGAACTTATTCCTAGTAAAACCCATTGTCCAGGATTTCTTTCATTAAGTATAAATTCAATGTGATCATTTTTCTTTTAATAGAAAGAGGACAGAAAGAGAGAAGAAGAGAAAGAAAARCGGGAAAAAGAAAYCCGAGATCAAGAGTCAGACAAGAAYACAGACCGAAAACGTGAACGWAGCGAAGAACGTGAGAAATCTCGTGAAACCGATAGAGACCGTGACCGGGATCGTAATCGTGAACGTGACCGTGACAGAGAYCGTGACCGTGAYAGAGATCGTGACAGAGAYCGTGAYCGTGACAGAGATCGAGAGAGGACACGTGATCGTGACCGTGACAGAAATCGTGAAAAGAGCGARACAGATCGTGATCGTGATCGAGATAGCATCAAAGATGATAATGATTCMTTTGAGAAGAGAAGACTGGAAAGAAAGATTCGTGAAAGAGACTTGGCGTATCAAGAGGTATTTGATTTTATTGCTYACCTTTCAGRAAAATTTGACTCGCATAAATATGGAATGAAATATCAAGTGAATTCCTTGCARTTTYACATCCAAATCTTGCTCACTTTTTATTATTRATGATATTTATAGCGTTTGAAAGTCTGGGAGCAAAGAGAAAGAAAGAAAGCCAGGGAATACGAACGAGAATATGAAAAAGAACAAGARAAGAAAGATGAACAGGTGAGTTTTCAACTACTTTTTGATTCTCACTTTAATTCATTCTGATATAAAACTGATTGCTGGATTCTGAATAAAATTTCAATATCTATTAACTGTTGCAGGCAAAAGAACGAAAGCATTTATTAGAGTTCTTAGAGGACTACGATGACGARAGAGATGATCCCAAGTACTTCAAGTAAGAGTTCCGAAATATCGAATGGTTTGAGCAGTTTTTTTTCGTTAAAACTCGTAATTCTGTGACAATCTGAAAATTTCGAAGTTCGTCACTAAAAATTTATATACTTGCTTGGGTCGATTTTACTTACATGATTTTCAAACGATCTCAAAATGCAAAGTTGTACCGTTTCTTTCGTATTTTTTGTCCWTCTGTCAAGGTAGCTAATACTGTAGTTAAATCCCTACAGGGGGAGCTCATCTGCACGAAGAAGACGTGAACGAGATATGGAAATAGAATCAGATGAAAGAGATCGACAACGAGAACTCGAAGAAATAGAAGAAATTCGAAAACGACTACTAGACCAACAGCCTGAAGCAGAGCAAGAAAATCAGGTATTSWTCGTTTTCTACCATTCCCATGAGATTACAAGAGAAAGGATCGGCGGCCATTTTGGAGGAGTGATAATTAGTTATTAATAAAAAGTCCTTTGTTGAAATTTCTCCAAGATGGCCACTGTGACTTAGTGAAAACGAAGAATTGCTCGCACTTTTGTCATCAAGTGGATGTCAATTTAGACCGCTGACATTAGCCGTGAAGACTACTGTGCTCGAGATCGGTGTATCACCAGTCTTTACTTGGTTTATCTTGGTTTATTCATGTCTATCTCATGTCTCTCTCWTAGGCAATGGAAGAAGAACCAGAGGACGATGCCTTTAAAGCGTCATTACTACCAACATTTAAACCTGCTTCAGTTAACGCTGCTGCTACTGTCAATGTAAGTGATGAGGTTTTCATAGTCCAGAACTGCGGATGTCCTTGAACATTGCGCTCGAACCAAGCAGATTCGAACGGACAGGATAATTATCTGTTTCATRGTGCTTTTGACGCTAATGGTGTTTTCTTTCATGTTTTTTCTTTTTCTTTCTCTTCTTATAAATAGTTAACAGAATTCATATTATGTTGAAGTCTATTTATCATAATTTCAAGCGATTTTTATTTGTTTTTAGGTGGAATCTGCTCCTGTGGTGCGGTCGCCAAGTCCTGAACCCGAGCAAGTTGCAGGACCTCCTCCTAAAAGAACACGAGAAAATGGYGTCGAATCAAGTGAGCCTCCCACGAAGAAAGCTTTTGGATTTGAAATGAAATTATCATCGAATTTAGTAAGTAATGAATTGTCTTTTAGATTCTTGTTCGTCTACCTCCTGCTTTATGAACAGATATATACATTATAAAAGAAAAGCCAAAATTCAGTTTGAAGTTCGGGTCGCTGTTTGTACAGTAGAAGAATCGTTTCAAAAGATATCCAGGACGATGAATTACATTTATCGCATGAAAATTTCTAAGTACTCCATGATAATATATCAATATTGTTTCTTCAACCTGAAACTGCACAGCTGTATTTTGTTCCCTTTGATTGAACTTATAAAACTGATTGTCGTCCTTATCCCTTCAGCCGTCGGCAGCTACTAATCAAGCCAATAGAAAGAAACTAGAATCCGTGTTTGGATACCACGACGAAGAGACTGCAGAGACAAATGCTGGCAAAAGAAGGCTTGTTCCACTCGACTACGAGGAGGATTCAGATGCTGCAGCCGCGCAGAGTGCTGAAGATAAGAAGCGTAATATCAAATCACTAATTGAACGTATCCCAACAGCAAAAGATGAGCTCTTTGCTTATAACCTGGAGTGGAGTATCGTAGATCAGGTATGTGKTGGTTTGAGTACATGATATATTTAATAGAACATGAATGAGCTCGTGATTGGTCGATTCTGGAGCTGCTGGAACGCGGGAAATTTAAAGTGCCAAGTAGTTGTGAGTATAGACCAGCAAACAGTACTGTGTTGTAAGTGTTCTAGTAATRAATAGTAATAGTATATCATACTGGAAATACACGTGGTGTGACGGGCAGAAATCGCCGACAAAGTAAGTATTCTAGAAGTTTCAATGTTACAATTAACTCATCACAAAAATTCGGCAACTTGACTTGTTTTCCTCTTGGGAAGGGTATGGTTTATGGCATTAATCATAAGACACGTTGTAAAATTGTGYAGTATTGGGAATAAGGTCACTATTAACTCGATACGTTTGTCAATTATTTCTTTTAGAATTTAGTAGATCATAGAATACGACCCTGGATCAATAAGAAAATTATCGAGTACATCGGCGAAGAGGAACCTACGCTGACAGAATTCATATGTGGAAAGGTGAGAACCATTTAACATAATCCAACTCGTCGAACATGAAACGGATGCCAATGTGGACCTCATTAGAAAATTTGCTTTGGTTCGCTTCCTCGTTGGTATCATTTGATTGATTGTAATCGATTATATTATGTTTTTGTCAGGTTCTTGCCGGTAGTACACCTAAAAGTATTCTAGACGATGTATCCATGGTAAGCTATGATACGCATTAAGCTGCTGTTATCTTGCTGTTTGCTTGTCCGTTTCRTCTCAATTTTGGTTGTTTCAGAATTCTTTTATTAATTTCTTGTCAATTTMTTGCTCGTYTTTTCTCATTTGCTTTTTTTAACCCTGCAWTCATTATTTCCTTTTTTCCTTCATMGAWWTAACTTCATTGRTGTTGTTTTTATKCTCTACTTACACTACAGTTCTCACAATGTCATTAATAGGTTCTTGACGAGGAAGCAGAAGTGTTTGTTGTGAAAATGTGGAGATTGCTGATCTACGAGACAGAAGCCAAAAAGATTGGGTTGGTCAAGTAGACGTTAGCTTTACTAGAATAGATGTACAATTACATCGCAACATAGGAAAATAGTTCTGTTCTTTGCCCACATAACTACAATAAAAGCAAATCCCCTAGTTCATAGAAAGAAATTTTGGAWATTTGTAAGTGAACAATTTTCCTATGTTGTTGTATGTTATTCACCTTAATAAAAGGGTGCTTGTTCAATGAATAGTTATGGGTACTTATCGATCCCGATWTYGGTACTTATCGATCCCGATWTCGGTACTTATYGATCCWCGACATCGTTACGTGTTGACCTTTGGTATGGGATTTTATTCACCTAGCAACATGTAATCCCCGATATCGGTATTTATGGATCCCCGGTATCGGTGCAAATGTACTTACCGTCTGACGATATGGGAGCTAATTCACTATCACTTATCACATATTCTTTAGCAAGATTGTTTAATACAACAATACTTCATACATGAACAGTGCTTGGTTTGAATGAAACTGTGATTTTTATAGTGTCCATTCATTTTCTCACTTGAAGTGATGTTTCATCTATAATAAACTACTTTAAAACTAGTCTGTATTGCTGCATTTCTTACCCGGAACATATCGCCAATCGGTCTCGAGCACGGGAGACGAGAACGCGAGACAGAGTAAAGACATAAGTAAACAAGCCGAAGATATCGAGACTGAAAACTCAAAACACGTTTTGTTCTAGCCTCCTCCCCAGGGGCTTCCTCCCTTTTCTCGCCCCCATTCTCCCTCTTTTGACTCCCAAAAAAGACAGGAATCCCGTGAGTCTTTGTGATTCTTTGTGATGCCTGCGGAGGAGGCTAGTTTTGTTCAAGGATGCGAAGAATCGACACGATGAACTTATATTGTGAAGGCTGTTCTTTTTTGTCATTTTTCACAATTGAAAGACTTTTATCTATAATCCCTTTCGTTCGAGTGGAGCGGCAACGTTGTGAGTGTATGAACTCAACTGGTGTAAGGTTCCATTGTTAAGTTTTAGGGGAATGGGGAAATGAAATGGGGATTAGAGTTTACAATTTTTTTTTGTTTTTAAACATAGTAAGTACAAGCGTATTCAACAGTTAACCGTATCTCGTTCTAGTTTACTAAATGACACATCCATAGAGTTCAATTCGCATTGCAGCCCTGCCACCTTGCCATGCCAAAACCACAACTCTAATCAACTTGGCTTTGATTGGTGAAGGAAGGGTTCTCTCTACAATCGTGTGTATGTTTGTGTTTCCAACGAATTCCTTCAACAGAAAAATAACTTGTGAACAAGAAGCGCATTGTAGAGTACAAATATTAAATGTGTGCAACACTTTCCACTATTTACTAAAAAATAGTGTTAATTATACAATAGAATACAATACTAATAGAATTAGCAGTATTTAGCAGTATTTAGTGGTATATATGTTGCACAGTTTTTTTACTCTACTATATGACTTTGTACTGAATACCTTAACAACTCCTCCATAYTTGTACGATTTCCAGGTAGTACCGTCTTGATTGTAGGTAAGGTAGTACTTTGTCACCCACCTTGGGTACTGACTGTAACCTCTGCCCTGCGTAGCAACTTTTGTGATTATGTGTGTTCGTAAAAGGTCAACTTGCAAGTATTGACCAGGTTYAGATGCTCTTGCAGTCCAGCCTCCAGCGTTCTGATTGAGTACATATTTTGCGTTCARYCTTCCATTATATGGTTTGCCAGTCGWATAGGACGACGATGCTGTGATTTGTGAATTTTTGATGCGACCATCTTCCATACCAAGTGGCTGAATACAATCTGCTTGTTCAAATACAAATTATTTATTTTAATGTGTCTCCAGTACATCTTTTAAATCTTCTATTTTTACTCAAGTCATAGTAGATTGAAGTTCGCGTGAAAGTAAAATACTGCTTTTTTTCCCTTCCATTTATGGTACACCCTCATACACTTTCGACGAACAAATTTTAACTTTTTTTTAAATAATTTTGATTTTTTTATTTAATTGTTTAAAAACAATCAATAAAAAGGAAAATATCGGACTACCGACTGGAGTGAAACGGAACCATTATATTGAAACTACTTACCAGTACTTTCACATCGATAGTTGATCCCATTCTTTTCCATCAAACAAATGTCTCCATGACTACAGAACTTGTTACTACAGGTAACCATCGGGCGAAGRCTGTACAGGATGTACCTTCCAGTCGAGTCTGGCACAAGACCCTCAGGGTAGGAGAGGTGAGTACCGTCATTCAGCTGACACAGACCTGTAATACTGTACCAGTTGATGCTGTGACATTTCGAGTTATCTTCACAATGGTCAAGACAGCTGACTATAGAACTAGTACCCTGTAAAGACTGGATCACGTGGTGAAGGAGCACGTGACTTGGTAAGCGGTAAGGTGTATCATCACACGTATTGGCTAATGTTGATTTCCATAGCAACCACTTGACAACGCAAAATACGATAATTATGACATTCTGAGTAAGCAAGGATTCATTGATTGAGATTTTCATGTTGACAACTAAGACTAAATATACATTTTTTATTTCCTTAACAAAAAAATTTAGACCCTGTACTTTTAAAATTCTTGATAAATTTTATTACGCATCTGCATGACCCCCTCCTGAGAGCCCTGCACCCCTCCCTGAGGAATATTCTGGATCTTCCGCTGATTTATGCCTGATGGCTTACAAGCTTTCACTTCAAATTCTGGTCGGTTGAAAGCGTTGAAGTGAAGTTGAAATGGATGAGAATGTGATTTGACGTAGTTGTTGGTTCACTTTGCAAGGAGTAGCTCAGTTTATGACTTAGGGATCGGCTCCAGACAAAACGTCTGTCTCGTTCGCTCATGTTGATAAAGAACAAAATAATATAAATATCTCGCGCCTCTATTCATTCAGTTAATTGGGAATCGTTTAATGTATGAAAACGACTGAACGGTATAACGCAATGGTAACGAAGTCTTCTTTAGTAACAATTTTAACATAAATATTAATAAAACCACAACACAACTTGCGTTGTGGAAAAGGAAAAAGATAGGAAAAGATTTTTTATGAGAAATCTTTATATTGACATTCTTATAGAATACTTTATGAACTTCGCGTAGGACTGCAAGGTCACTGTTATAACTGGGGAATATCAATTTCACTTACCATATTAACTGGTGAGATTGTTCCACGATAGCCATAGATTTAGCTGATACAGCTCGGATACTGGTAAAACATTTAAATAAACAAATTGAATTAATTACGAACACAGATCAGCGGGATGTTCATTCCAGTTTGCAGGTGAAACTGAGAGGCGTTTGAAAAAAATTCACTATGGCTACTTAACAYKAAAAAAATGTCTTACGCTGAAATATGGTGATGGATGATATAAAAGATGAGATCCGCTAATGTCGACGACTGACGAAACTAGAGATTATTAAACTTCTTTACAGTAGTGAATGGATCTCATCTTCTGTATCATCCGTGGATAATTGCCGTGTTAACTCGTCATTTGAGAAGAGATCGAGCTAACGAATCATCAAGAACACCAAGAAACATGCTACAGTTCTCGCTATAGTTTTAATGGTATTTCTGTCACGTAGAAACATGCTACAGTTCTCGCTATAGTTTTAATGGTATTTCTGTCACGTCATTATTCATTTTGTTCACTACATTCAGTACTATGTCAAGTCTTCATTGTAACGTCGCATTTTATGCGATTCTAAACTAAAACTAAAATATTTTGTTAATCATCATCTTTGAGGCATGTATTCGTAATGACTTAATTAAAACATTTTACTTAACTACTGAAACTAAAARGTAAGACGTCTTAACGATGGGAGGGATGCTACACTATTTACATTTCTATAGGTATAATAGTAGTGTTAGTACTGAAGAAGTGGTGTGTCTGTCCATGTTTCTGTATAGTTCGGTATCTGCAACCGTTTTTCTTTCGCAAAACGTTCAAGTGGTATGCCCTGTAGCCTGCGTGGCGGCTCTAGGGGAGGGGGGAGGGAGAAAACGGAAGCTCCRCCTCCCCACCCCCTCCCCTTCCGTTTTCCCCCTCCCCCTTMTATTCCCCTAGAGCCGCCACGCAGGCTATATGCCCTGGGGAGACTCTATTCAGAATAGGAGAACCCCTGTGGCGTTTCTATGAGAACACAAGATAAAAATCCATATACACTATGATAATAATGCTAAAAATACATATATACGACGATTGTTTCAAACCAGTAGGCTATACAGGGCTAAGCTAGACTAGTACCAGCCACATTAAGTCAAGTTGTGATTATTCCATTCTTCCTTGAGTTCTTACTTTTCTATGATTTATGTATTAACTTTSTGCCTGTTTGTCTATGTTTATTTTATAGTATATTATAAATGTTGTATAGGGGATGGCAGTCAACTGGGGCTTGCCATGTTTCAGTTTCCATCTCCTGTCCTTAAGTAAAAGTATTTGTAGGCGTACACTGGTGAGTAGCGACGTGGTAGAGGTAATATATGGTGTCTCATGTTTGTATTTGGCTGTCTTGTGGAAGTAATTGCTGTAATATCTTTTGTAGTTGTTGTTTCGCTGATAGTAATCCACCTTGTCTATTCCGTAATAAGTAAACTTTCTGATAATGAGAAATGAGTCCCAATAACCTAAACACAACAAGATCATATCATCACATAAACCAGTTGTAATCTGTATATATAATCGATTGAACGATCATAACGGCCAAGTCAAATACTAAAACCTTGTTTCAGGCGAAAGGAAAACAGTTTAACCAGCAATGCTAAATATGGGCGAAACAGCTGATTGATTGAACTTGTYTTCAACTTTCTTTACAAAACACTTGTGTCAAGACGATAAACTATCCATTCCATTTTTTTATTTACATTTTTATTATATTGATATTGGTACATGGGTTTTTGCTAAGAGTAATTTCCGTGAAGTTTCGTTTCACATTCATAGAGACAACGAAGATGGACTAGCACTCACCTGTTTGCGAGGTCGGTCTTATTGATCAGCGGTAAATCCTGTATAAACTTAACTCGACTGTTCTGTTTCTTGGCCAATAAAATCATTCGAAATGTCCTAACGAAGACAAATACAGAGACAATGAGCAGTCATTTACGGTAAGTTTCTTGTGTTCTTCAAAAACAGGAGTCGGAAATGACAGTATAATATAGCGATACCCCAATCCTTCTGGTGCACCAGACTGCTTCACAGAAAGTTAAAAAATATCGTTCCAAAGAAAGAGAATTAGTGAAACTGGGTTTCCTGTGTGAATCCTTACCTACAAAGATATATCAATATATCAACAGTAACGTCCAATTCTTTTATCATATCAGTACTATGGGCGCACTTGAGTTCAGCGGTATTGTATGCCTTCTGACATTGACGAATAAGGCGAGAAGCTTGCTGTAAAAACAGTGAAGACAAGTTGTCATTATCGTTGCGTTCAAATGATAGCTTGTCTATTAGTTGATGTTTGTTGGTGCACTGTTGTTGCTGTTGTGGTGTTTTCCATGGTGTTGTTTTAGTTGTGTATAAGGTCAATTAACAATGAATAGATAACACACTTAACAATTACACAAACTTACCTGTACCGATTCAAGACTAACACCCTCTATATCAGGGTTGCTACCATTGTACAAAGTTCTCCACAAGAGGGTCCCCTTGCAAGGATTATTCATCGGATGAACACCCTGTGTAGYTTTTATTGCCACAGTATTATCACATACCAACCATTCATGCACTTTGCCCAAGTCCATGATAGCTTGTCCAAAGGTACCGCTACTGTCCAGGAAGGCATGTCTACTGACTATCTCTGGTAAAGTTGATTGAATGACACCCTAAAATAGGTTGAGTGTAAACAGTCAACCATGTTATAAAGWATGTAACAGCCWTTYTTTTGATTGCTGAGAATGCTARAATATCATACCCACCAATTCTGTATCTGCTTTCCAAGAAAGTCCTGCCATTGCAAGGAATGCTGGGATACTCAGCTGGATGGGATTCACRTGACCAGGTAGCGTCCAATCACATAACAGTATTCCAAGAGCATCRCATGAGACCGCTGACTGCACGGCATTGTTGATAAGCGTCAAACWGTAATCAGTGTTGGCACATACACTATTCCAAGTCAAACTTCCAGGACAGACATAAAAACCTACTCTACAAATAGCCAAAAAAATAAAAAATATTATTACATTATTATTACTATACTATCTTAATTATATCTAAAATAACCCAAAATGCTTGGGATCACATAACGTCTATTGGGACATTAAGAACTGGTCTTTACTGGTCTTTAAACTAACCTATGAGGTAATAGAACTTACCCAGCGTCAGAGAGCAATTTGCAGTGTTTCATAAAATCACAGTCAACCTGCATKATGTTAGACCAAATTCAAAAAATCAGTTTAATGAAGAGCCAAACCAAAATGCTAAAATACTAAACCCTAACAAACAAATACAAAGCACCACAAAGCAGACAAAACAAATAAATACTCAAAAGTGAGTACCTCTCCACCATATTCCATTGCTATAACATCAGCTGGTAACTTTTGCATTATTTCAGGTTTGTCATGTAGTGAGTTGGACCAAAACTGCATTGTCMGGCTGTGTGATTGACAGGATTTGTACATTTGTTGAAAATAATCAAGATAAAGTTGATCTTCACCTTTTGCCTTAAACAAAAAAACAAACATAATTCAATCAAGCTGGAAGACTKAAAAATAAAATTACTGTGACAACTGTCTGTAACAGTCAAAAACACCTACAACAAAAATACTGACATGACAACAGATGAGTGGTACTTTTATAGTTGGGTTAAGYTTCTTTACCTCAGCAATGACATAAGATTTTCCTTTACCAAATTCATCAGTGAYGTCRATTCCAACATTGGCAAATCTGTCACAAGAAAGAGTAAAAAGACTGAAGTAATATCTTGAAAACAAYAAAATTTACAATATTACTTGCATYTATCAAAWGKTACCYTCAMAGTGGGCCKTCAACCAAACCTACCTYGATGAAGAAAAGCAAGGAAAAAGCTGTTTATGAAGATCAGTGACAAAGTTGATACTGTCCTGGCTTGATGGACAAACACTGAATRAATTTCTAGARAAGTTGGTAACAAAGTTAAATGAGTTTTCCACATTAAGAAAAATCAGAGAGTACTCACCTGTCATCGGCAGTATCCAAATCTTTAGTCATTTCTGATAAGTGTGAATATTGTTTTAATTTTAACCTTACGAAGAAAAAAGCAGGATGTTATTATTACGACATGAACACCTCACCCATGTTACCCATGCAGGCCAAATAAGCGCAAGGACCTGAAAGTAAGTCATACTTACCATTGATGAAATCCTGATAAACTCTCAATATGTGGAACTAATTCAATGTAGCGATCACAGCAATATTTGTCAAGTGAAATGATATCGCTGTAAAGAAAGTAGAACATCATGTTAACACAATGACGAGGTCCAAATTGACACAACATTCTCCTACATGTAGTTCTTTTTGGTTTACAAATTATTATTTTATCACAACTAATCAACATMAACAAAGGTAACCTTGGTTTGAAGGGTGTGTAATTCCTGTGTACACTGTCATGACCATGAAAAGCAAACGTATTCTGCATGTAAAGCTGTAACTGATTAACCTTCATACTTGACAATACATCGATCACAGAATGCAGTGTTTCCTGTATAAAATAACAGCCAATTTTAAGATATACACGGCACTTGACATACAAGAACTGTTGAAATTAATAATAACATTCAAAGAAGGGATTGCTCACRAATCATTTACAGTACATGTAATACTGCAGTACGAGATTATTATAATAGTATCTAAAATGGGAATTGCCTTTCAATCTTTCCTTTCTACAACCATTTCCAGGCAGCATTTCCAAACAAATTGTTTTCCAATCAGATCACAGGAAGGAAGTTGTTTTTTTTCATATTAGGAGCATGATCAACGCCMTCTGCACTGAAAGAATATCATGATATACTCACAATTTTTGGTACTCTTCCGGTGGATATGTCCAGTAGAACACCCCGATGTTTGATGTCTGGCCAGTCACTTATCTGAAATGCAAACATGATTATAACAAACCGTTCATAGTTTTCTATGACTGTTGCAGTAATCAAAGAAATTATAACTTAAAGCCTAGTTTTAATGAATGCACTTTCATCTGCACTGGATTTCCATTCATTGACAATCAAGTTATAAAGTCAAGAAATAAACTATTATTATTATTAAGTTATTACTCTGCAGTCACCTGAATCAGAGGGATGCCCTTCCCTTGGAACAAACGCAGTAATTGAAGGAGAGTATTAATCGCATACCACATAGAGACTTCCTCGTTGGCTATCAATGACACCTATTGCAAAGTCTCATTATTAGATTTCCAGCATGTTGTCAGCATAATTAGGAAATTTAATATAATAAGTGTTGCACCATTTTGTATTATCAGTTCCATAGAGACTTCCTCATTGGCTATCAATGACACCTATTGCAAAGTCTCATCATTAGATTTCCAGCATGTTGGCAGCATAATTAGGAAATTTAATATATATAATAAGTGTTGCACCATTTTATATTTCAGTTCCATAACTACTTACACTTTGTTTAGACTTTACACTTTATTATCATTTGTATTGTTATCAATAGATAATTACATGGCTACTTTTAAGTATGTTAGTATGTTTAAAAAAATTCTGATGCTCATTTAAATAATACCTTGGTTGATGTCACATGAATCTTGTAACTTTCAGGTCTTGTGAATACATTTGGACAAATTTTACACTCTATACATCCAGGAATAAGGCGAAAGTCTCCACTACTTGTATCATACTCTATATAAACATATACAAAAACAAAAATTCACACACAAAATTCTGTATGAGATAGCAGTTTTAGATAGGTAGAGTACAAACACTAAAACTGTGCAACATAAATACCACTAAATACTGCTAAATTATGCTAATKMTATTGTTTTCTATTGTTTAATTRACACTATTTTGTAGTAAAYAGTGGAAAGTGTTGCACACATTTAATGTTTGTACTCTAGCATTACATAAATTGATCATATCATACCTCTTATAATTAATTTTTCTATGGAGTGACCAGCTTGTTTGAACTGACTTTCTAATGTGTCCAACATAGAAYATAATGTCCACTGGTTGCCTGAGAAAAGAAATAAGCTAATAAATCAAAGTTGTAATGAGAAAAAAGATTGACAAAGCAGAAGGAAAAAAAATTTACTTGTAATTAATATAAATTATAATTTTATATTATAATTTATTATTATTAAAAAGCTAACAAATAATCTGTCAAATAGATATTGAGAAACAAAAGGAAAGAAGGGACAAAATAAGGATGAATGCAAGGGAAAATGCAGAGAAGGAATAGAAAATGAAACAGCAACAACAATAGTTACCTCTTGCTGATCTGTGTATAAAAACTGGAAGAATTTCTGGGGGAAAATATTTCCCACCATCAATTTCCAGCACACGTTGTGGTGATGGCCATAATAAATTCAAAATGGAGTTCTTCACGTTAGAGGATGTGCTTTCAAATGAAGGTYTGGCCTTTGATGCTGTAGGAGAAGCGGGTTTTAAAGATGTGGTGTCAGCAGACATATTTGAATTTAATGATTCTGTAAAAAAAGACAATAAAGATATAATAAAGACATTGTTTATAGTGAAAACAAAACAACAACAACAAAAACAGAAATTTGGGAGTGCAAATAATAGCCTTTTAGATAACATTATAAAGTCAAGTAATTTCTGACTTTTTTGAAATGGGCAATTATCTATCATTCTAATCTCTCACAGACTTTTCTGTACCTGCATCTGACARGTCTTTTCCATTTGTGTTAATGTCTCCATTCACAACTGGTTTCTTTGATCCCAAATTGCTCGTATATCTGGCTAAAAGACACTTTGTTTCTTCATCAGTTGCTAAATTGGTTGGACTTTTACCTTTTAAAACACTGAGAAAAAAAATGTCACTTGATTACCCTATGAATCATCAAGATACAATGTAACCTTGTAAAGCATAGCTGTAGTAAAATATTGTAATAACTGCTAACCCATGAGTAGCTTTGATAGTCGGGTCTCCACCATTCTCTAGCAGAATTTGAATGATTTCAATTTCTCCTCTGTTAACTGCATCGTGTAAGGGTGTGGCTCCTTGTGCATTTCTAACATTTACATCAGCATTATTTTCTGGACAATGCAAAAAGAGCTATCAATATATTGATATAGCTGGAACACTGGACTGTTTCATTTACTTGATGGGTAATTTTTATAAAATGAAATAATTTCCTTTACCATGTACAGGATAAACAGATCGTCACTAAATAATTCAGCAATTAAAACACTCACCACATAACAGTTTAACCATTTCATCTGTTCCATAACTTGCTGCCCAGTGTAATACTTTGTTATCACTTCTTGCACCATCACTAGCATTCGCACTAACACCACATTTGAGAAGTCTTGTCACTCTTGGAATACTGCAAGTAATTAAACAATAGAAATGAATAATAACTTCAAAACTAAGAATCAAGGCAAGCTTGCAGGCAGCATTAACAGGCCCGTAGGCTGGGGAGGTTCTGAGGGTTCGGATGACCCCCCCCCCTCCCCACTACAAGCTTAAAAGGTGCGATGTTTCTCTTTTTTATTGTTCTACTTTAAAATTCTTTTGTTATGAACTGCTGATTCTAGCAGTTAGTTCTTATACACACTATATACCCATTGCATTGAACTAATTTAGTAAAACATTTAATTTAGGTCCGCATCATGAAAAAACGAACCCCTCCATTTGTAAGGCAGTCTACGGGTCTGATTATGCATGCTTTTGTGCTATGTATGTGAGCTTCATAATGGCACTGTATGGATGTACAGGAGTCTGCTTGGTCTACAGCGGTGCTTACATGCTTGATTTCTATGCCAAAGCAAGTGCATGATTAATAATGTAAAAGTTTTTTTAGTGACTTACTTTCCACCAGCRGCTGCCTGTAGTAATTCTTCATTGTAGATACAAAGAATGCTTTTGTCTGTGCAGTAATCAAAGGCTGTAGCACCTTCTTTGTTGGTTATSGTAGGGTCTGCTCCAGATGATAGCAATGCACGAACTCCATCACTAAAACCCAACTAGAACAAGACAATATTTCAGGAATAGATAACATTTCTTTTGAAAACCTAGTTCAGCTTTACTCTCTCTTATTTGCTGTTGTTACTGATATGAAGCACCATTTTTTAGCTTGGCTAAAAACAGTGATGAATAAAAGACTGAAAAAACAAAACTGATTCTCTGGAACTAGAGTATAACATATCCAATTTCCTACAGTAAATATATTTCAATATATTACAGTAAAAGAAAGAATTTATTTTATTAGCAACATGATATTGTTACCTTTGTTGCTAGATGTAAACAAGTTCCAGCATCACTATCAACATAGTTTAACATGACTTTGAGGATGTCGTAAGGGTCATTATATTCCTCAAAATATCTCTGCCTTGCTAATGGATCATTTTCATCATCATCTCCAAACAGTTCACCTTCTTCTCTGACTGAAATGGAACAGTGATTGTTTTTGGAATGAATGATCATTTGATCAAATATTCTTCTTTCATTCTCTCAAACAATATTGCAATAAAAACACACAATGACATTATTGTTCTTCTCTGGATATTAGAAAAACACACTGTAGTTGCATCAAAACATATAATACATATCAAGATCAAATAAAGTAGCATGTTTAAAAAGAATATAAGCTTACACTTTTTACATGCAATAACAAACTCATCTTCCTGCTTAATATTTCAATTGGATTTAAAGATTATATCACAACTGATCGTGTTTCTGGTGCTGTCACAAAAATGAGCAACGAGTGGAGTCGAGTTCCATACAATTAAATAAAATATTCAAATACCAGCTACAGTGCATGAGAAGCTATGTCGATGCTGCTCCTGAGAAARCATTACCTTAATCACATCGTTTCCAATGGATTTTAATTTTTATATCAAAAAAGCTCAAATAAACAATTTTAAGACGAATTGGCAGAAGACAACAATAAATTTAAATAAAAGAAAAAAATATAGTCACAGAAGTAGGGTTCTTGCCTGAAATAAAATAAAACATACGCAGATTTCAAAGCAATTTAAACCAAGGAATATTTCATTATGGAAAATACAGGTCTACCCGGTTAATAACTAATACAWCAAAGGCAACAGCTGTGTTGAGACTTACACTCGGCGGCTGTRGCAAGAATACTGCGGACAATATCAGATCTTCCGAGCAAAATAGCATCACGAAGGTTTCCTACGCTCTCTTTRATGGCATCTTCATCGTCCATGATCGTTATTTTGCCTCAAAATAGCAAAGTTYTGGCTGCCACATAGACAAATGTTACACATGAATGAGAGCCCGCGAGCCCGCGATGTCATAGAACAGCTCCTATCAAATGAGCCCGCGTTAATATAGTACAGCGTCAATCAAAACCAAAATGGCGGACAAAAACGTTTTGGATGTTTCCGAAGCAAAAAGAAGTGTTCAAGATCAAATGCTTCCTCCTCCGCCTCCTTTAAGCGCAAGGAACAAARGCAAAAAGAATGATGCTTCAAAGAGTATAGATAAATCTGCAGTTTCTTCTAAAGTGGATTCAGAAATATCCCATGTTAAAGCTCTTTCAGAGTCAGAAATTGCACCTTCAAATCTTGAAGAAGGACAGACAAAATCAGCAAAATCAAGTGAAGAGAAGGAACGTGTTACTTCTTCATTACCCAGGGATAAACAAGAAGAAAAAAAACAAAACGATGAAACTTCCAAAAATGAGAATATGCTTCCCCCAAAGCTTCCTTCAACAGCAGACATAAAGATTGAGAAAACTGAAAAAAATAAAAAAGACGTTGACAAAACAGATTACCCTGATGTACCATACACCGAGCCATCATGGGCTGGAATACCTCAGGAACCCTATTACCTTGAACTACTGAAAGGTGGCTGCATAATTTCAACAAAAAGAATAACTAGTAAATCGTACTACTTATTTGGTCGTTTACCTAACTGCGATATGGTGATGGAACACCCATCAATATCACGCTACCATGCAATAATCCAGTATAAAGCCAAWGACAGTGCGAGTGGGAAAAAGGGTTTTTATATGTATGATTTAGGAAGTACACATGGCACAAAAGTMAACAAAATAGCTATYCATCCAAAGAGATACTACCGTCTGCAAGTTGGTTATGTTATTAAGTTTGGTGGTAGTTCGAGGCTTTATATTTTACAGGTACGTCAGCATTAAATTTGAATTACAAAAGTCCTGGCTTTATAACCTATTAAACTTTAGTGGTGAAGTGTAGTTTTACTTTAAATCACATAAACTTAAATGAAAAGCAAAAATTGTGATTTTTGCTTTCACAGTATATATTGTTGCAGGCAACATCCCATGACATAAAAATGATCAGAGAAACACAATTAAATTGTTATTCAAGTAGTCTTACATTTTCTGGTTGATTTCCAAAGGGTCCAGAGGATATTGAAGATGATGATTTACCAAAAGATGAATCTAAACCAAGCAATGAAGTTGGTAAAGTTATGACTGAAGCAGAGTATGAAGAATGGAAGAAAGAAAAAGAAGCAAAACCTCAAGAAGAAAGTGAATCCTGTAGCTGGGGATTTGGTAATGACAGAGTTTGTATTTAGAGAGGGGATGTGTCTAGAAGGACTGATAATCTCTTGACAACAAGTGATTACACTGGATAAACATTAGATACGCTTACATTATAASATAAAAATGCACATACTTTATAGCCTACRTCACATCCGGAAAAACCACAATTATGTCCGTCTGTGAAATAGCGCCAAAAAGCTTGTTCCGAMCCCCAACGGACTAGCAAGGATATATGAAGCGATTTTTGATTGACTATTAACAATTCGAATTCTAACATGGCTGAGATTGGTCAGTGACTTGTCACAACAATCACTTCACACTTGCTAAGGTCAATGTTTTGAATAATATCTGGGTAATACTTTATAACATTTTGCTACAAATGATTATTACAAAAGTATATTAGCTTCCTTACCTGATGTGTCATCAAACTAACTGTATAGAAAAACGTCATTAACTTGTAAACAAATATTCTTTGTTGYCAAAAGGTGAGGATGCTCAAGAGGAAGATGCCATTAATCCCTTTGCACCTGAAATTGAAGAGGAAATGGAGGCACATGTCTTTAAAGATCCAAARAAAACCCTTCGTGGCTACTTTGAAAGAGAAGGTACAGTTGGACTCCATTTAAATAGTAGATTGTTGATGATATCTTGTATATTTGAAAGTTTGTGTATGTAAACAAGCTTTTATTGTGCACTAATATATCATTATCATCATGATTTGAAATATTGATAAAAGTATGATGGTTCTGATCATTAGGTTTAGAACTTGAGTATCAAGTTGAAGAAACTGGACCAGGACAYGCTAGAGTCTACCACTGCAGGGTTAAGTATGTATCTCTTTGAACCTGAGCTCATTTGATTGAGTTCCTTAATTATTTATCATTAATAAGAGATATATATTTATAATCATCCTGAAACCTAGCCTGTGTCACATCCGAAATTTTCTCGCAAAAGCTTTTGCAAGAAAATTCCAGATGTGACACAGGCTACCTGATACCWGGTACAGTTACATGCATACCATGGGATGGTAATTTGTAGTTTTAATGGTTTTCAATGGTTATGGGTAATATTATGACTCCAMACTGCTATYYGGTTTTGTTTGATGTATTGTTTGTGTGTTGTCTTAGACTCCCTGTTGAAGATTCAAATGGTGATCCATTATATGCAGAGGCAGCTGTAACTGGGAAGAAGAGGGAAGCTGTACTGGCATGTGCAGCAGAAGCCTGTAGATTACTAGACGTGAATGGACTCCTTAGGCAGTCTTCACATGGTAACACAGCTTGTTGCACAGCAGAACCAAAAATCAYTTAATGCATGACAAATCAATTTTATAATATTTTGTTGTAGAAAGTAAAAAACAGAAGCTAAAGAACTGGGCAGACAATGACTAYTATGACAGTGATGAAGACACATTTCTTGACAGGACTGGATCAAGTAAGAGATACTATCTTACTCTAAACCAGTGCTGGAAATTTCATTGAATCAAATCATTGTYCCTTTTAGTTGAGAAGAAGAGACTTAAGAGGATGAAAATGGACAAAAAAGAAAAAGAAGAAGTTGAAACATTTGAAAGCTTGGTAGGCTTCAGATACACCATTAAATCGCTTAAAATGATATCCTGTATTGTATGACAATTGATACAATTTGTGTACTTTACTTGGTTCAGGGTGCATTGCTTTGACAAACAAGAGCATTATCAAATAAAGTTCCCTGACATCTTTATTGTCCTATTATTCATGATTATTTTTGTTGTTTGAGTTTCAATTTTAAAAGTCTTTTGTTGTCATTAGAGTTCCAAGTTGCAGTCTGTAGAGGATGAAATAAAATCCATTGAACAAAAGCTAGAAGAAGCTGTAAGAGGTATGGTGACTCATCTTTACCTGTCTTACTCCATTTATTCCTCTTAATGGTTTTCTGTCATTTATGATACATTGTATTTAGAGAACGTTTTGATCATTATCACTATGTATTTCAACTATTTATAAGTTTGTTTTAAATKTATGTTAGCCGCAAAAGCTGCAGAAGAGAACGAAGATAGTCTTGAATCCTACATGAAAAACATAGATCAGTCGATGGATAGAACCTCAAGGATGAAGATGAGAAGAAAAATATTTGAACTAAAAAAGGTCTGTTGATGCTTTATCAATGATGACTCCAAGAAAAATAATTGCCTTCCAATTCATTTAAAATTTATATAATTTACTGTTTCCACCTTTTCCTTTTATAGGAGAAACAAAAACTGTCCAAGCTAGTTGAAATTTCAAGACCTGCATTACTTCCAACCCTGTAAGTTTATTGAATGATATTCAATTTTCTTTGAGTACTTTTGTGTGTTGGACTCTTTCTTTTCCTTTAATCTTTTTAGCAAAAATCAGAGATCTCTGAACTCAACAAAAGATGTCGTCAAAACAGAAGCAGACAGCTCATCTACTGTTGGAGACATTTTGTTGACTGTTGACCTTAACACTGACACTCGACATGATAAACCCAAACCTGAATCATCTGAGCCAGTCATGTCATCATCTCAGGAAAAAGAGCCCACAAATATAATAMACAGCACTGAAGAAATTTCAGATAAAATTGAAAATAAAGAAGCATTTGCCAAACCAAAGATGCCACCTCCACCWCAACTACCCAAACACAAGACAGCTCCATCAAGTAGCATAAGTATGCTGTTAGAAGGGTTAAAAGATAGCAGTGATAAAGAAAAACGCACCAAACCACCTAAAAGACCAAGGAAACAGCAGCCAGATAGCAAGGAGGTAAATAAATTACACAATTACACAAATGTTTCCAAAATACAGCGTCATTTTGGCAAAAAAATGGCAGCAATTTTTGTCCAAAGAAAGGCCACTGCTGTGTCTGATTTTCATGGTAGCAAAGCAAGATCATTGTTCCAGCTAAAATCTTACTTTTGTTTAATATTATTTTATATTATTTATAGGATTTATTTTAAGCAATCACCCTACATGTATAATCAACAGATTGTATAAAACGCCATTCGTCACAATAAAAGTTGCTTGATCTTTTATTTTCAGGAAAAAGTTGATAAAAAGAAAGCAAGGTTTCCAAGCCCACCTTCTCCAACAAAAGCAATTTGGAATGATAGTTCATCTGAGGAAGAAGATAACAGYGACGCAAAGTTTGATGAAAATTATTCAGATTGGGTTCCTCCCACTGGTAAGGATTATGCATAGGACAGGGTTAAACTATATACATGTACAATGCACAAGTTAATTGCATCCAAAAATCAGTCATTTTTAACTCCTCTTTTTTGTCATTACAGATCAAACTGGCGATGGAAGAACAAAACTTAATGAAAAATATGGCTATTAATTAGTACTGAAATTTGACTTAAARCTTACTATCAAAGACTTCTAGAAAAGACTGAACAATGGTCACTTCATTGTCACTAGTAGAATACAAAGACTTCATAAATACTGAATACTATGAACTGTTGAACATGACATGTTCATAGCTATGCAATGTATGGATACAGCCCCAGCAAAGGCTCTGTTATGAGGTGTTTCAGTGGGCTGTGCATGACTTCTTCAAGTGACCCATATTTGACTACAATTGTAACTGGGCTTTAGGTGTAATATAACCCTTTGTTTATATATATTTCATGTAGTTTATCATTATCTTCCAGTTCATTTATAAATGCTAATGTCAAGCCTACAGTAGAACAAAGGGCATTATAATTGGCTAAACATTCTTGCAATATTGTAGTATGCTTGTTACTGTTGATTGCACTGCTAATCAGCTGGTTCATAAAATGCTGTGATGTCCAATCCACAATAGACTGACAT